GGACAGGGGCGACGCGTGACCGCGCGGGGCGGGCCGGGGCCGCCCGCGGTGCGCTCCCCCTCCCGGCGGGACAGGCAGTTTCCCCGTTTGTGGGGTTTTCCTTATGAACGCTATAAAGGCCCCATCCTGGCCCCCAACGCCGAGCATTTCCGTAGCGTCCCGCCCCCCATTTAGGTGCCACAGACCTGCTGTGACACACCGCGCAGCGGCCCGCTTCCTCTCGGCCCCCGCACCGTGTGGTGCTGAGGCAGCCCGTACTCACCCTCGGACGGCAAACACGCTCCAGCCTTTGCCGGTCTTGTTACGCGAGCCTCACTGGTGACCCCTGCTATCCAAAGGTAGAATAATTTTACAAGTTAATAGACTGTGTGACAGTCAGATGTGCCTGTGACTGATAAAACTGATTTAAGAGCACACGAGATCATTGCTGAGGCGTGGCGGGAGGAGTCCAGTGCAGTAATGGGCTGTATAGTGCTTGCTTGGTCTAATTCTAAGGAAACGTGGCCTACGGGGCTGTGTACTTTGTCTGTCTGCCAGTTCTTACCCTGGCTGACTTTAAATGATTTAGCCAATTTTAGCTAAATTTGATGAAAGGATAGGGGTTTTCAAAGGTACTAATTGTTCCAGCTGTGTAAAAATTATTATCTAGGTGAAGGGAAACATGTCCCCAAGAAGGAAAACTCATGTTTTCCTTATCAGTTGGCAGGTCAGGCCATGCACATGCACAGGATTCACCTAGTTTACACATGTGCAACTGCCTAAGGGTAAGAGCATCTAAAGTTTAGGATGTCCCTGGGGGATGTGTGGACAAATCATGTGAGCTTCCTGAACTCAGAAGCTAAACTAAAATGTGCCATCAAAATAGCCCTAAAATAGATATCCCCCATCTGCTTAGTGCAGAGCCCTCGGAAACCTTCTGTAGAATCTGAAACACAACATATTCCACAGGTTACTATTATATCAGGCTGAACTTGGGTGTGATCCTGTAGGGCAAGTTTTATTCTGACCTTGGGCACTACCAACAATGGTGAAAGTCTGAATGTATCAGAAAGGGATAGATACACACATGACTTGACAAAGTCCCCCTGTTATTTTCCAGTATTTTCTCCATTCCTTCTGGGCAGAAAGGATGGGTGAACACCATGTAACCTTGAAAACAGGAAAATATAAGTAACTGATGTGGAAGATACTTAAGAGGCAATGCAGTCTCTCACAAAGTAGAGTTAATTTGATAACATGACAAACATAAATTGTGCAGAGGGTGTATTTTACTTTTTAAATTAATACCTATGATTTTTTGGTATCCTTATATTACTTCTGTTGCACCATACTCTCAAAAAAGTCAGTTCATTTTGGGTTTTATTGCTTTCACTGTATAAAAGTGCTACCATTTAAAATATCATACTAATGAATTTATATTCACTGCAGCTCCATTGAGAGTATTTTTGTAGAATGAAGACTGTATTTGCTTCCACCTGGCTTACTCATCTTCTGAGATAACTAAATAACAAGAAGGGCATTTCAGGTTTGTAGGACATTTCTTATTTTAACTTCAGTGCATTGCTTCATTTTGGTAATACTCAGTATTTAATGGGTTGTGGGAAAAATACTATATCAAAAGAGAGCTTTCTGAATTAAATCCTTCATACCGTATACATGCTATATTTGAGTCAAATTGTTTTGTTTTACATATGCATTATTCAGAGTACTTTTATTCAGAACTTTTCAGAAATGTTCTTTCCAGTCTCATCTCTAAGAATGATTTATGGAATATCATGGTGGTTGTCAGAATGAAACTGGAAATTTTAGATGAAAAATTGTGACTACAATGTATAGGAATAGTAATGGCTCAATCCAGTCTTCTTGTGGTATAAAGGATAGCAACAATACACACTCTACAGATTGGCAATACTTCTGTTGTCTTTTAAGAATACAGCAGCAATGATAATATGAAGATCTCATACTCAGTTCATTGTACTTAGTACATCACTTATTTGCCAGATCAGACACTTTAGGTTGTAATGATCTAGTTAATAGTCTATTAAAGTCTTAAAGATTCTGTATCACATAAAATTGTCTTCCCCCTGGCCCCAGTGCATATGTATATAAATAAAACAACAAAATCTCCATATGACTCATATGGTTCTGACTCATTTTTATAACTAGGACCTGACTCATTTTTTTAAAATCTTCTTGGCCAAATGAGAACAAAATTTCTTCACAAAGATGATTCATTTACTGTTTAGAAGGTATATGAAAGTGGCCATTAGGGGGATGGTGTTCCTAAAACAAAACTACCCCAAATGAATAAATAGTTTCTGTGCACGATTTTCCTCTTATTTTCATTGTGGTACATGAGTTTTATCTTCAGCATATTCATCTGAATCATCCTCATCTATGCCATGTAGGGACAGAACTTGACTCTCTACAACTTAATGTAATGAGGAGTAAAAAAAGGAAAGTCGTATTAGAGAAAGGAAATGAATAGATGTTATTTTGCATAAAGTCTGTACTGAGTTAAAACCTAAACCAGGAAGGAAGTTGCCACCACTATGCTAGACGGGTGACATGAAAGGCAAGCAGCTTTTGAGAAAATCAGAACTCTTCAGATTAGTACTTGTAATAATTATTATGTTTATTTTATGTTTACCTGAATTTTTCAAAATCCATGAAGGTGAGTGAGTGATCGGCTTTTAAAATAGCTTTTTATTTATTCTGAAGTTGGCATTTGTTTTCCTAAAAGTGATGATTAGGATGCTGTACTCATACGGACTTTGCAAAGCATATAGATTCTTTTTTGTTAGATTTTCAACCGAGTTAATTATATATGGTAATTTGAAAGGAGTTTGTCATTCAATTACATAGACTGCAAAATTTTTGGTAACTATTTCCATGCAACTGTACTTTTACTATCTTCATCATAAAAGAAGTAGTTAAAATACGTATGTTCTTTTATAGTACGTATCATGTATTAAAAAATAACTTTTTATTTTAAAAGTTTCTATACCTAAATGCCTAAAAAACTTTGTACAATTAGTATCCAGTATGAGATGCTGTCTGTGAAAGAGATATGCAGTGGTAACCTGAAAAAAAGTAAAGCAGAATAGATGTAACTGAATGAAACAAATCTTTTAACATAAATGCAACACAAATTGTTGATCCTAAAGGTTGATACTGGATTTAGGATGAATGCAAAATATATGTGTGGAAGTTATACATTCAGTGCTTTCTTAAAAATCCATAAATAAATTAGTACTAAAAAAGTTTTGTCACATCCATTCCTAGGTAAGCTTTTGAATAGATAAATGTTACAATAAAAAGCATCCCTGTAACAGTGTGTATTCCCAGGCATCATAAAATAAATTATTTGTGAAGCATAAATTTCTGGAAAAAACTGTCAAAATATGTCCAGATTAGGTTACTTATATTTACATTTCTATTTTCACTAACCACAAAGAATAAACATGACAGTAACTAAAAAATAATTCATAGGTTTTTTAGTTTATAAACAAAATTGGTAAGCTGTCATAATTTTTAAATATCATAAAACTGATGAGTCAGTTTCAGATGTTGGAACAATTGATGTTTTACCTCCATGCAGAAGTAATCAAACTATTAGCTAGCACAGACACTGCAACTAAGCAATGACATGGCTATTACTAGAAGAAAACATTGACCTTACTGTCAAACATCAGAAAGTAATTAATTTCATTTTAATGGAATTGGATTTTCTATGGAAAAACACCCTGCAAATAGTGGCTTAATAAAGGAATTTCTTAATCACAGAACTTTCTAACATTAAGCACGTGGGTTACAGATCTTTGAATATACAGCAGTTTCTTAGAGATACTTTGCATGGTTTCATCTCAGTGATCCTCTTAACTCTTCAGGCCATCTGCGTTCAAATTTCACTAAACCCTTTCCACATCCCTAGTGATGTTTACGTTTGGGAGGGTGCTTCCCTGTCCTGCAGTAAGGAGCAAGCCTCTTGTGGGTACAGCTCTCTCTCTGCCATGTAATCAAACTTTCCCAGTGTTGCAGCTCTGTTTACAGTGTTCAACAAAGTATACCCCTCCCTAGAAAGTCCACAGCCCTTTGAGCTGGAAGAAAATAAAGTTTACTGATGCTAGATCATAATTTGAATGGTTTTCTCAGGAGAGATATTTCAAGAGGATGTTAAGAACCCCCCCTAACAGGACAACATTCAAATTTTTTCCACCCAGGTAACATGCCTTTTAAAAAAGATATCTACAGCATGGCTCACAGGCAGCTCTGGAGCCTGTTTACCCATGTGTGAAGTCCAAAATGGACTTCATAGTGCTGTACACAGACTGCTGCACAGCACACTCAGCAGATTCCCAAGTCCATGTACAAATTTCTTGGTGAAAGGGGTATGGCAGGGACTTAGCATTAATTGACCTTGAAAGCTGTAGCAGTGGTTTTAGACTGGTTGCCCAGATGCATCCACACCTTGCCATGAGAGCAGAGTAAGCATTCAATTTCCACTCCTCGCTTGCCTCCACAGAGCAGCTCTGCACAAAATGGCTCCTTCCACTGGAAGAATTTGACCTCGAGAGCCTGTTCCACTCCAGGTTGCATGGGTCAGATTGTAAGCGTTTCGAGGAAAATGTTTTGTCTTGCCTCAGGGAAAGATCAAGCCCTAAATTTTATTTGACATTTTTCCTTTTTGTATTAAAATTAATTATTTTCTTACCTGCATAGGATGTACATCTTACATTTCAATTTATTATGTTTTATAAGGAGTTTATGACTCTCTGATGTAGTGTTTGCAAAATGAAGATAATTGACTTTGGCATTGGATTTTAGATTTTATTTCTGTATCCTGTCTGAAATCTTTCGCTGAACTGTTTCTGAGGTCAGCCTGCTGCTATGTGAGCACAGGTGGCCTGCTGAAGCTGTCAGATTGCAGCTGAGCACTGGAACAATTAAAGGCTATGTTTTTCTCTCTATACATAAGGATTTATGAACATATTACTCCAATTACTCATGATGGAAGTTAGATGCAAAATTTCCTCTTCATAGAGATGCAAGGGTACTACCAAAATTGGAAGCTCAGCTACAAAACTATAGTCTAGTGCTGCATCAACTCCAGGAAGTGGTTGTTTGTATTCATAAATACATCTTTCATATGGGGGTCCCAGTAGGTTTTTATTTCATCTGAAAAAACAGTTCAAAATTAACTCTTGTAAAAATTCATGATTTGTACAATAAAGCCTTAGTTTAATGTGGAAGACAGCTTTAACACTCATTAATGATTAATTCTGTGTGGTTTTTGCTACTTGACAGAACTGTATTAATGTACTCTAGCTACAGCAATTTGGTACTGAAATTTGACTATGAATTCCAAAACTAATAGTCATATTGATTTGTGTTTGTTGACTGACTGTAAGAGAAGGTGAAGGGTGTGGTTAGAGGACTCAGCAGTGTTTCTGTGTGTTTTCACTGAGTGGTTTCAATGTCATAGAATTGTAGAATGCTTTGGGTTGGAGGGACCTTAAAGATCATCTAGTTCCACCCCCCCTGCCATGGGCAGGGACACCTTCCACCAGACCAGGTTGCTCAGAGCCCCGTCCAACCTGGCCTTGAACACTGCCAGGGAAAGGGCAGCCACAGCTTCTCTGGGCAACCTGTTCCAGTGTCTCACCACCCTCACAGTGAATGATTTCTTCCTTCTCTCTCATCTAAATCTACCCTCTTTCAGTTTAAAACCATTACCCCTCATCCTATCCCTGTACTCCCTGATAAAGAGTCCCTCCCCATCTTTCCTGTAGCCCCCTTTAGGTACTGGGAGGCTGCTATAAGGTCTCCCCAGAGCCTTCTCCAGGCTGAACCGCCCCAACTCTCTCAGCCTGTTCTCATCAGGGAGGTTTTCCAGCCCTCTGAACATCTTTGTGGCCTCCTCTGGACCCACTCAAGCAGGTCCATGTCCTTCTTATGTTGGGGGCCCAGAGCTGGAGACAGCGGTGCAGGTGGGGTCTCACGAGAGCAGAGCAGAGGGGCAGAATCACCTCCCTCAACCTGCTGGCCACACTTCTCTTGATGTAGCCCAGGAAAGAAAGTTGTGATAGAAAGTTTTTTTTCTGATTATGCTTTTTTTACAACATAACTGTACTGGTGTGTTGCAGCTGTGCAGTTCTAGGACTAAGTTCCCCCTCCAAACATGAGTGCTTTCATCTTCTTTTCAAATACAATCAGATTGGAGCAGCTTTGAAACAAGAATGTGACTAGATGCCACCAAATTCAAGTTAATATTACAAAAGCTTTCATACAATTCAGCAGTGAAATCCAGCATCTAGGTTATGGGAAGACTGTGCTTGCTTTCTCTCATTTGTTGATGCATTCAGTATGTTGCCATAACCATCGAGAAAGTGTATTTCATTGTAACACAGTTAAAGGATCTGTTACATGATGCTTCCATGCACATATTGTCCATGTGTCCTCTAACATTTGTCCATGTATCTTGGTAAAATGGTACTTTTTTTTTTTTTTTTTCAGCTAACACTGTAATTGTTTCGTGCATGGATACCTGTTCAGCAAATAACACCACTTTTCCACTTTGTACTTTCAACAATTCTTGCAAAAGATCAGTACAACAAAGAAGAGAAAACCAGACTATTTTACTGAAGGCCATTGTGAATCATTCCAATTTCCAAAATATTCCATGTATTTGCCAGTCCTCCAGGAGGGAACAACAGTCCCATACTAAACACACAGGGTGTGAATCCAAGAGAGATGTGAATGTTGATCATCGAGGATCTGGGTCAGTAGTTAAAAAAAGTAAGTAAGGGAAGAGAAATACTTAATTTTTATTACAACATAAAAGACATGGTTTTATTTGTAAGTTAAAAGAAAGTTATAGTATGCTGCTGGTTCTCCATGGTCTTTGCAAATCTATGAACAATGCTTTTTTTAGCTTGTCTTTGCATGGCTAGAAAATGCAGGTTTATATGCCAGATTCTCAGTGGCATTCATTCCTGGCTGTCAGTGAAACACGTTGGTAGAAAAATAACAATTTATTTTCTTTTTGAATCTTGTATAAAATTGGTCAGGTGTGTGTCATTATTTTCAGGAGGCTTTGTATTGGTCTCAAAGGAGGGTACTGCAAAAAAAGAGCGCCTTATCCAGTGGTGTCTGGAATATTTGTGTTGCAAATTCGACCTATGCCATCTGGCTTTTACAGATGCTCTTATATCCCCATCTTTATTATTTTAATTTTGCTAAATTTTCTAAAGTATTTCATTTCTTTTTAAAGAGTTGTAGTTTCTGTTCAGTTTTCACACTAAATTTGCTTTTAAATGTCATTGCGGAACTCTACATGTAGATTTCTGATATTATATGAAGATAGGTTGTGAGTAAGTGTCTGAAGAACTAATTCAAAGATAGTAACTATTCAGATGGCAGCTATACAAGAAATCACCATTTCCGTGCTTATAGTCTATGATATCCACAAGTGTGTGGTATCTGAAATGGCCTTGCGTGCTTCATAGAAGGCAGCACTGAAGGAGGATTGGCACAGCACTACAGAGAAGAGTTCAGCAACACTCACATCTTTTCAGAGCAGTAGCAGTGTATTCCTTCTGTGCCATATACACTTACAAAGTATCTGGAAAATTTTTGGAAAGAGGATGCTCCTGAATTTTGTTTTCCTGACATTGTCAGCAACAGGGGCAACAAGCCAAGTCCTGAATATAAGAAATGCAGTTCTTTTCCAACTGCATCATTTTCTTCTTAGAAAATAGCTGTCTTAACAAAGATGGAAAATAACAAAACAAAACGTGTGGACAAACTCTGTTCTCATACCTATACAACTGTAACAATTTGACAATGTCTCACCTACCTAGGTTTCTTATTAACATTTTTTGAGTCTCACAGCTTGTGTGGTTTGAAGTAAAATAAGGACCTTCTGCAACTGATAGCAGATAGACTAGATGCACACTTCAAATCTCTGTCATCATATGCTTTTTGTTTGGTTTTTATTTTTTATCATAGCCTGACTTTTGTCTGTTATCTTTGACAACAGATAACAAAACAACAAAAAACCCGAAAAGTTCCAAAGCTGGGAGTAAAGCAAAAAAGGGGCTGTGATTTGCAGGGGAAATACATTTTGTATAGATAATCAATACTTTTCAGATTTGTTCAGAATCACTTTACATGGTATCCTTTTGTCTATTTTATCATAATCAATAATGTAAAAGCCAACTGTATGTTTTTGCAAATGATTATTGTTCTTTCTGAGAGTTGTCTCTTTGTCTATCATATTATGTAATAATTTTGTTTTAATTTTTATTTCCAAAAGCAAGAGGCTCACTTGAAGTGAAAACAGAAGATGTTATTTATTTTTATAAATATTTTAATCTCACTATAGTTTCCGAGAAAGAAGGAGAGCATAATATTTACTACATGCTGGAAATCCAGATCAACAATTCTATAGTTGGAGGAAGAAATGCAGCTGGAGAATACCTAAATCATTCCTGTCTAGTGGCAATGATGGAAGACCAAAATGACTGTATAAATATTTCACTGCAACTGAAGTCTTACGTGGAATGTAAGTTACAAAGGAGAGTCAGAATGGAAATCAAACCAGAAACACTATAAATCTTGCAAAAAATCTCCAGTAGGTAGTTCTCTGCTTTCAGCAGCCATTTGAAAAGATTTAAGTATTTCACAAGAACAGAATACAATTTTGATCAACCCTTAGTAAAAGACCCTCTTTAGTAGGCAACTGATAGTTTTCATAGTGACTTAAAGCAGGTTTAGCTGGGGCTTTTTTTTTCCTAGAAGCAACACAGCAGAGTAAGTGTCTATACATTTTTTTTTGTTTAGTGGTGACAGACTCACAAATCACGTGTATGATAAACCTTGGAATTACTTTTTAATTCTCTCTGTTAATGGCATAAGCCTGTTGTCTTGGACTTAAATTTAAAAATTCCTGTTAACTTCAGTGGCAGAAGAACCAGTAGACAGGTTTGACTTTTCTTAATGTTGTACTGCAATATCCTACTATACAGCCTTATTACAGTACACTTGAAAGAGAAATCTTCAGAGGAACTAGGCTTAGTTTTCCCAGAGGACAATCTGTCAGCTTTTTAAATTTCCCTTTATGCTGCAGGAGTTTTTTGGCTGATTGCCTGACCACGGTCAGGGCTTCCAGCCTGCCTATATGCAACACTTGCCATCTGGGATTTGCTGAATTATTGCATTCATTTAGTTTTGTATGGCAAATGCATTTTATGCTGTACCTTTGCTGGAAAGATATCTGGTTTGGAGTTGGCTAAACCTATGTTAAATAAGTCCAGGTAAAATCCTAGAGAAGAGAGGACAGCTTACTTTTTTAATAGTTGGTAGCTCTAGCTACAAGAGGAGTATAGTTTGTAGCTTCAGCCTGCTAACTTGTGTCAAAACTATGATCTACCCACCCTTTGCTAATGGTGATTCACCTGGGAAGTAGTTATGTCAAATTAACAATGAAAGTTAACCATGCATATTTTTTCTATTTACTTCAAAACAAAGCTAAAGAGGTGCTTTTACTAAGCAGGGTTGATACAAGTCCTTACAAGTCACTACAAGATGAGGTGCTCTGTTTGAAAGGAGCCTAAATGGCTGTATAAGATATTTTTAGTTCTGAATTAGGAGGGATGAGCTGTGCTTACCTCAAAGAGCCATGGGGTTATTGGCAGTTACCTCATGACTTCTCAATGGAGAAGATACACAAGGGAAGTTGATGTAGGTCTAATTATACTATTCTAAGTCAAGGAAATGAAAACAGTCCTTTGGCTATAGTCTGTAATTTGATTTTATATGAGTAACAGTAACATAGTTGTTTTCTAAAATAATTATTTGACAATAATAAGGTATGCATTAACATGCAGCTGCCAAAGAAGCTTGAAAGGTCTTTCAAGCAGCTAGGGAGTAAAGTTCACCACATCCTTTCTGTGGTATGTAGTCCTGGCTTGTACTCAATACTGAACTAATTCCCTGTGGAATGTGGGTGCATTTCTGCAGCAGCTGTTGTCCAAAAGAGCAGCCTACCTCCTACACCCAGTCAAATGCCGATTCTCCCCCAAGGCAGCTCTAGTTAAATGAACTCCTAGAGGTGTCCGGTTGGTGGCATTTTTTTACTTTTAGATAAGAAAATTCCTATATGTAGAATCTTACTTTCTCCTATAGATGAAGATGAGCCAGGAGGTTGAGAATGGCAGTACAGGCCTGTGTTGGACAGTGGACCAATTCCTTCTGTGCTCCATCCAAACAACGAGGGCATTATATATTAAATATAAACATTGATCTCTGAAGCATTTTCTTCTTGGCTGAGTTGCATATAGCAGTTTATACAAAGAGGAAATATTTTCACTTAGCTACATGTAACTATTTTAGACACAGGGAGATAAATACAGGTGAAAAAGAAGCTAAATTCTAGACAGGAAATGCAATTTCAAACAAAGCAAGCTGAAAGAAAAAGGCGTAATCTTCTCTGTTTTAAATTTTTATCTGTGGGGGTAGGCATGGTCCAAAACCTAACAAGATCAAATGTTCTGCTCTTCTCTGTCAGTGATTTCCTGCTTCCTTTTCTCTCTTCTACATTTTATGGACAGTTCCAATGTGTATGACGAAGATCATTTGGCTCACTATGATTCCAGTAGTTTTTGTGTTTACTATTTCAATTGTCATCTACAAAATAGTCCAAGAAAATGAACAAAACTGTAAGTAACTAAAAGTCATCTACATGAATTTAAATTTCTGTGCAATGAAAAATATATTAATTTACAATGACAAAGCTGTTGATTATTAATGTGGTTCAGACACCAATATTTTAATTGTAATATCGTAAAAGCTCTTTATAGAGAGACTGAAAAACTCAGATGATTGATATTATCACCTCTCACCTCTGAATTGTGGATGTAAATCCAGGTTTATTGATGGTGAATGAAATAAGGTTTTTTTGACAGATGCTTGGTGGCCTATGATCTTTGGTGATACAAACTTCTGGTTTCAGACTGATTCCAGTAGAAAAACAATTACAGATGAACCTTGTTAAAGGTCTTAAGCAGAAATATAAGCAGATCGAAATACCCTTTCCTTCCTCAAGATGATTCATCTAGGTCATGGTCAAGAAAAATTACAGGATAGACATGAGGAGATATGCACTCAACTGTCCTAAAACCTGGTTATCTAAATTCAGCAGTGGTGTAATTGCATACAGGTCAACCAAGCTGTGTCTTCTTAACCCCAGAGATGAATTAAGCCCAAATAACATTTCTTCTCTTTGCTGTTATTTTAGCAAATAAAATATTGCTGTGATTTCTGAATCAATATTATTCACTATTCCAAGTGATTAAAACTTTTCTGTGAAAGAACTTGTCTTTAGTTCAGAGACTGAAACAATTGCTTTTACAGAATGCCTTCACCAGCCAAGACAGGCTCTTCCTATGCAATTCACATGGGATATAGGTTGAAATCAGTATTTCTTCTAGCAATATACAGTGAAGAAAGCAAGAATAAGTGTAGGAGTACCCTGAGCTTGAGACTTTTAAGTAATCAAGATAAATTCCTCTGCATAAAAACAATGCAGAAAATAGACCGCTTGTCAGCTGCTGGTCCTTGTTTTTCATCCCAAGTCAGAGGTAGAAGGAGGTACAGGGAGCACACTCTCTTTCATCAGTATGAAAAGAGTGTTAGTTCACCTGTTACCTGAGATAATAGCTCTTAGATGCTTTGCACAGCAGTTTGCTGAGACTTTCTGCCTGCATCAGCCCTGAATGGGCAGAAAGCCTCTGGACAACCAGCATTTAGTTGCTGTTACCAGGCAGATGTCCATTCCCCTTGTAGTCCGGAGCTGCTGAAAGGAGACCTTGGTCACAGGGGTAATAAACAATTGATAAGCCATATCCATTCCCCTGATCATCCTTACTGTATCCACAGGCAGTTTTGTAATGAAAGAGCAATAGGAGTCTAGCTTTAATCATAACTGAACACAAGAAAGAAGAGTGCCCACACATAAAATGTTTCTGTGATTTTTTTGCATAAGGTAAATATTTCATGCATATATCTTTAATGAATAAGAAATAGTTGCTTAAAATTACAAATATGTGTCCCTCCCCAAATGATTAAAGAAACTCCTTACCCATCTTGGTTACAATACATGATCTTTTACTTACTGCTAGAACCAATTTTTGAGACCTATTTTATATATGTAAAAATCCCATAAAGTGTAAATTAGTCTTTACAAGTGGGATATTAAATGCTCTAGTTTAAAGGATTTTTATTTGTAATTTGAAAGCTACGTATAATTGTCATGAGTATGATTTTCTATGTTTGAGTCATAGCATCCAATTTTTAATGCAGAAATATTAGTAGTGATGATTAATGATTTACTGCTTTTATTCTGAAACATCAGTTTTCTGTTAAATGCATGTTTTTCAGAATTGTCATGGACACAAGCAGGAGGAAAAGATGCCCTTTTGAGGCTTCTAATTATTGATTTGCTTCTAGAATACATTTTATGTTAGTAGAGGAATAGTGGTTTTATTAGTTACATTTATAATATAAAAATGATAAACAACATGAATATGTTACTTATAAAAAGACAAGGTGCATAAAAATCAGATTTAAGGGTTGTATTCCTTGTGTGTATATATTATGATGCCACCTTTAATTGCAGGTCTACATACTGCTTTTTCCCAGTGGTGCCCAAAGAACACAGCAGAAATACTAGTATGTGACTCAAACAGCTGCTAAGAATTTTTCCAGTCATAGTTCAGTTAGTAGTTTTACTCTTAATTTCTGAGCACCACTGAAAGCTGTTATGAAATATGGAATTATTCATTTCCTCTTGAGACCTTGCAAGGCATTCTGCTAGGCAGACTCTGAAACATTGAGTTATTTCCATGAGTGCATAAAATAGAATATCCAAATAAACTTGGTGGAGGTTACAACTGATCCGTGACAAAGGAGCTAAATTAGAAATTAGTCCTTTTGCCTTTTTGTTTCCACTCTTGTCTTACGACCACTTCCAGAGCTTCCTTTGACATTAACCATTACAGTGCATACTTAGGGCTTCAGTGCATTAGATCTCCACTGGTTATTCATTAAAAAATAATGACCTAAATAATGCTAATTTAATTAATTTCTTAAAGCTGAAGTTTTCTAGTGTTCTCAAAACAAAAAGACAAAAATCAAATCTGTTACATAGAATTGGAATGAGCCTGTCATCAGAAGCTGGCTGAGCCCTGAGCTGCTGTCATTTTAGAACAGAGCTAACCATAACAGCTGCACAATCATCTGCAATAACCCCACCAAGAGCACAGTATTAAGAGAGCAGCAGAAGGATGGAAAGACTTGAGGAGATTATGAATTGGGTGCTGAGGAGCAGTCAGAGGTGTTCAACCCAGTTCTTTCTTTTTCACTCTGAGTGGTGTAGAGGTTGCTCTCAAACTGTGCTTCCAAAGATGAACACCCCACACTTGCAAAAAATCTGTCAGCTTCCTAGGACAGTACTGGAACATGTACTTTTTGGATAACCTTCAATTTGTTCAAGGTACATGGTATAGAAAAGGGAAGGAATAATTTAAGAGGGCCAGACCTAAATGGAATTTACAGAAAATTTCATTCAGGGAAATATAAAACATGTGGCCCTTGGTTTTCCTCATCACCTTATTTCAAAACCTTCCTGTTTTTTCATGGAAGGTGTTCAACAATTTAAGAATAAGGGCTTTACCAGTTTTCCTTCTAATCAGTGCTGTATCTATAGCTGAGGATAACACATTTTGTTTAAAACAGATTGTAAACACAGAGTAGCAACATTCATTTCTACTATTCTAAGAAGAAAGGGTTCCAGGCATGCAAGAAGAACCATATCTGCTACTAAAATTCTTCCTTTTCCTGGTAAGTAATATAAAATAAAACCCCAACAAATCTTGAGTCATGAGGAGGTCAAGAAAGACCTTTGAAGTATTTCCTGTCAAGGGATGCTTCAGGTTTATTTCAGAGTTACCTTGATCCTACACAAATTTGATCTGGCTTATTTTATGGAAACATTTTTATATCATAAAGAAATAATTCTGACAATAAAACTATAAGAAGACTAATTTATATCATGTGGGAATGCTTCTCCCAGTCTTCCAAATGTCTTGCATTAATGACTTGTTACCTCCTTTTAATTTTTGGTCATGTTGTGTGCCACATTTAAGGTTGGACAGCTGAGTGCTTTGTGTGTGTATGAAAACTATAGAGACATGTACATATGTATATGTATGCTCTATGTGTTTATGACCCTTGATAAAATCTGCTACCAAAGGATGGAATGTATGGCTGTAGCAGGACTCAGAGAATGGCTCTGCTGGCACTCTGTAGCCTATTTCCAGCAAAAAATTCTCTCAAAGTGCAATTTTCTTGTTTCGGATAGGAATTAAAATGTGGTCTTCTGAGATTGTAGAATGTTTAGCACAGATCAATTAAATGACATGGATAAACTCAAAGTTTTGGTTCCAGAAATTACAATTTGATAACAAATCTCTGAGGGGAAATTAGGAGCTATAGCTCTGAGTGTTACAGATATTGATCAAAGTCATATGCTTTAATAAATTCCATGGATTCTGGTTTCACGAAGGGAGCTCTATCTTTAAAAAAAATAATGTGAACACATAGAATAATAGCTCTGAATGGCAAACCAACTTCCCTCCAAAACAAGAATAACTAAAAAGCCAGCAAATGAAAAAATGGTTTTATATTTGTCTAGGCTTGGGTACTTCACTCTTTGTCTTGTTAGTTCTTCAGGAGTTAAGAGGAGACTCAGTAATTCCTCTCTACAACTCAGTAACTCATGGCATTTCAATTTTACCTAGAAAAGAGCGAATAGCTCCTTGTCTGTCTGAACTCTCCTGCAAGTAAAATTTATGCTCCTCACTTTTAAAGCACTGGCTACCTCTAAGATATATTTATGAGCTCATTATTTTTGTCCCACAGGAAAGGAATTGTCTTTCTGACATCTTTTGTGTTGAGTAGCTTCACTAACACCATACCTGTTTTATCAGCATGTTCACATGGTATTTTTAATGTTGTATATCCAAAGGCATTTTTGATAATGGAGTTTTATGGAAATTCAAATCTAGTTTTACTAGATTTCACTGAAGAGAACAGGAACCCCTTATTGGTCTGTCATTATTACTTCTATATTTGTCCCACTTCAATCTATATGTTTAACGTAGAAAGATGCTTAGTTCTATGAACTGCTGTAATGAGTTTTATTTTAATATGAAATTCCTTGATTTCATACACCATAATTCCAGTCAGTGCAGTCAATTTCCCCAGTTTATACTAACATAATTTAAATTGGAATCAAGACTATATAAAAAGAGTTTATTCTTTCTATAGATGCTAAATTTTAAGATTTGCTACGGTGATAATGGATTATAAATAACTATGGCTGACTTCTTCGACAGCCCTTGCTAATATTTTCACTATCATTAGTGCATAGCTTGGAATCTTGAAACAAAACATTGAGGTCCACTGAAGACAATATAACCACCCTGGAAACACGGTAACAAGACTAAACTATATATCTGAGAGGATGTGACAGTATATCATATAGCTGAAAAGATGTATAGATATTACACTAAAAGGTTATCCAAAGTTCAGAAAGGATAAGGGAAGAAAAAGAAAGAAACCTATACTTCCAGAATGAGGATGATTTCCTGGGTAAATTCAGGAAATTATTGTCTTAATATAACTGTGGTCCTACAAAAAGATAATTTACAACATGGGTGCTTATTTTGTGAAACTGTTAGTGACTCTGTGCCCATGAACCATTACCATTAAGTCTGGTGGCCAGAGGAAAGAAGGAAAAATGTATAGTATGTTCTCTAGAGTACGATTTAAATTACAGCCTTCCAAATTCACGGTACTACAAAGAATTGAGCCCATATAGTGAGGATAGGGGGGCTTTAAAGCATTCTGGTCATAAATGTTGACTAACCATTGTCTGTGGTGTTAAGCCAAAAAAAGGAGACATTAGTGCATAGGCTGTACAGAATGTGTTTTCTAGACTTTGGATCTGGTCCTGCCATTGCGTTTATGTAAAACAGTCCCTTGAATGGTATGAATTGACAAAGTACAGTTGCCCTTAAATGCAGCCACAGGAAAAGGGAAAGAGGATGCTTTTTCTGTAGTGTGAGAAGTAAGTACTCTTTAAGTGGCTGATCTGTATTTCCAGACACAGAGCATTTTTGTATCAAATAGAATTTGATAGTAGTAGAACATGGAAAATAATCCATAGAAGAAAAGTCAATTCCTCGCTTTGTGTGTTCATGACAGAGAATCTTAGGGAGATTCCCACATAAGAGACTGATTGCAAGAATTTCTTTGAGGAGCTTTCTCAAATCAAAGAGGCAGTAGAAGAGGTTTTGCAACAACTTAATAAATTAATAATAGCAATTAGGAGGACTAGACAGTATTCCCCACAGTGTTTTAAAAGAACCCAGATAGAAACTGCCAAACTGTCATGTGCATCTTACTGCTTAAATCAGCCTCAGTTCCAGAGAAAGGGAAGGCAGCTATACTTACCCTGCTGTTATAACTTCTCCTGAGCCCACTTTCCCTAAACCACTTTAGTACCTTTTCCACTACCCGTAACAGATTAAGTATAGCTATTCTCATATAGCTATATCCCCCAAAAAATAAGCCTGTGAACACAGTACAGAATTACTTGTTGGGAGCAGCGAGTGTGTGAGAACAGTACACTACATTATTAAAAAAAATAAAAAGTTGCACAGGAAACAGATTGCATAAATCAGGGTGTTTAATACCTAGACTGAATCTGCCTAGCAGTGTTTTTTCATTGCAGAAATTTCATTACTATAATTATACAGGTTATACTTAAATGTCAATTTATATTACTAGAAGTCTATCACTATAAATTCCTTTTTAGACCTTCTTTTCCTAGCATAAGAATGACATTCCTTGTTTATTTTTATCCTATTTTGAAAGTAGCATAAGGCCTATTCTGAAAAAAAAAAAAAGGCTTGCTCCCATGCCTATGCTAGAATGGGACTCATGTAATTAATATCATCATGTTATTACTCTACACTCTGTGTGGACAACCTTAGTTGAAACATAATGCCTTGTTCTATGTTGCTCGAATGGTATACTTTCATTTTCAATGATACTCCTTTGGCTCATGCAATCACAGTTTGGTTCATTACATTTTAGGATACAAATACAGAATTACTTGACTGACTTGTTGGGCTCACAGTAATGCAAATTTAATTCTGATCAATAGTAATTTTATAATTCATCCTGAAAGAAGGACGTTGCAGGATCGTGGTGACAACCAGGACTCAGAGAATAAAACCTCAGGGTTTCTGGCCTGCAGTTGTTTTCTGGACTGTTTAGATTTTGTGTCATTCAGAGCATTTGACAGCTGTAATTTGCACATAAGAAACAACAAGACAAATTTCCTCTAAGTAATTTGAATTCCTGTATTCTTTTCTATGCTATCTGATTAAAATAACAGCTCCTCTCCTACAAGATTAGGGGAAACAGGCAAAATTCTGCCACCTCTCTGATGTGTTGCTACAGCTTCAGGTTAGTTGATGGTTTGGAAACAGAAGCAAATGCTGACTCGGTAGTGTCAGGGCGGGCATCCCAATGAATTCACTCACTCCTTGTATTCTGCAATACATTGTAGCAAAGAGGACATGCAAGATACATATTCTACAGCAGCAAATAGATGCAAAGCCAAGAAAGGAGAAATTTGTTTAATGATGGCCAAATAAAGCATCACCTATTTGATTCTGATTATTCTCAGTTCCTGACATAGCTGAAAAATAATTTTCCTTTCCTCTGCAACTTAGATGAATAATGCTGGGAAAAGCAAAGCTTGTAAGAGTATTCAATATTTAACACAGATTTACATGTTTCTGAGAAGAAACATTTCCAGAGAAAAATGTGAAACCTTATTACCATTTTGGGGCTTTCCCTTATTTTTCAGATGGGAAGATAAAATCTATAGGATGTAGGTAATTTTAGGGAGCTTTTTATAGCCCCTTGTATGCTTTCCTTAGAGCACTGATGCAAAAGGGGCCATTTCTCTGCTCAATTTGAATGCATGCAGAACACAGGCTCTGAAGGGAGTATCAGCCTACATTCCCCTTCTCTCCAGGTTCATCCTGAAGGCAAAACAAGATCCGTTACTATTTTTAAAACTACCCCAGTTTTATTTTAACTTTGCTTTTCATATTCGGTTTCTTAATTTCCAAGATCCAAACTCTACTTTTAAATTGCATCTGTAAAGAGAGAAGCCCAAATGATATAGTCAGTGGAGAAGGGATGTAGCTAAATCCCAGTTCATTCTCTTGTTATGAACTCAGTAGAAACCCATTTGTAGGTTTGCAGAAGTTATGGATGATCAGGGACAGGATACAAAACGTGGCTAGTGCTTTCAGGAGTTCCTGACATGTATCTGCATCTCTAGGCATTGAAATCCCACTGAAAAACTGGCTGTCCACCTCTGCCTTGTGTTCAGATAGGTCTCAATTATTTTTGAGTTTGCAGATTCAATGTTTAGCACTATGCAGATGTATTTGCAGTTTAATAATATTGATAAAAATTATTTTAACTTTTAATAGTGAAAACCAGCAAACAAGAGAGTCCACTTACTGCACAGACCACAAAGATACTGCCCATAATTCCTGAACAAGAGCACTGTCACGTGGGTGCATCAACTGTAGAAGGTAATTACCATACAGCTCCAATTATTGTTTGCCTCATATTTTTAGAATTAATAGTATGCAATATCTGCTCAAAATAAATTACTACTTCTTTTAGTCAAGTATATGAGAGGACTAACTGGAAAATGTGTTTTGTGAGAGGTAGGTGGGAGGGAAACAAAATCAACTTTCCTTTTGCTACCAAGAGTAATCTATAAACTATTGTGTTAGCCTTTTAAACCCTGTGTGTCCCTGAGGGCCTAAGTGCAAATTCTGACCCTATTTTTCTGGTGTAGCATATTGTGTTCTGGACTTCAGCATTATGCTGGTATTTGTTTCTGATAAGGGCAGTGGAAGAAGCAATTTGCAAATGATCTCTGAAGAAAGTCACATTTGGAATAGTTTGCTGATCAAATCCCCCAAACAAAAGAAATCAATCGCTCTGTCATTATGACACCTGTCACAAGGAATGATGAAAAGTTGGTTTCAGCTTGGAGCTAAAACTAGTCTTCTACTTCTAACATTCTCCATCCCCTTACTCCACTAATTGTTTCAGGAAGTCCAGATGTAAGGAAACAAGTTTGAAAAAAAATGTGCAGTAATAGATACCTCTTCCTGGCAATACTTGTAATGCCTAGAAACAGAACAGATGCTACTTGAATAAGTAATACAGACTAATACATCAATTGCATAGACAAGGTTGTGGCTACGTGCACACATTATGTTTGTTACTGTTGATGGTGAATTTTTTAGGTTGAAAGCTTAAGAATGTCCTCTACATCTATTTAAATTGAATGGAGTTTTATTGGAAACTCAATAACATGTCATGCTATCTTTTTAATGTGTTAAAAAATTGATGTACTGAAGAGCAGTATGATTTTTGTGCTTCATGCGGAACCATAAACAATGAAATTGTATATTGAGAACAGAGTTAAAGAAGACATTTTGAACAGCATTGCTTACAAAAGATGGGGTACTGCCATAATAAATTAGTAATTGAGCTAGATTGTTTGGCTTTTGAGAGAGACTAGCTGGGTTACAGGACAGTGTAATATAGTAATTAAAAATACTGACCACTTTTTAAGTGATTCTAATCCATAGAATTTACAAGGATTTACAAAAAATAAAGGTTGTCATTATTACTATTCTAAAATGAGGATTTCAGGGGGCAGAAACAGATAGCATGATCTGGGAAGTCCGTGACAGATAAGAGCAGTTCTCAGATCATCTGAGTTCAGCTGTTTGCCATTTGTACATCACAAGCCTCTGCTGAGTGAGCAGGCCCTTTCTGCAGGCCAGCTTCTTCCTTTCTACAGGGACTCCTCCAAACCACTTCAGTACTGGACTGTTTGTTTTTCTGATACCTGTCAACTGTCTCTCAGGTAAACCTTTATCTTCCCATATCCCTGTCTGCTACTTACCTGCTCACCTTAATTGTTTCCTGTGACAACATTTACTCTCAGGTTAAAAATAAGACATTTCTAAGGTTGTCATAGGATGTGTTGCTAAGGGGGTGCTCACTGGTATTCAGTGCCTTCATTTATACAGTATTATGGCTGATCAGCAGCATGCTTTGTCCTTCCAGGATGTTGAGTTCACCAAAACTCATTTTTTAGAAGCAGAAAAAAAAAGGTTACAGCCCATTCCTGTGCAAATGTAACTTGTGTTCTTAGAGGTGGGAGTAACCACTGGTATCAACCTGCTAGCACTCCTTTTGCTTTCATTATCTTAAGTGATATGTATTAGGGGGTAGAAAGAAGAGATGGAACAACTTTGCAGATCTTTGGTTGCTCTGTGAGACAATATATGAGATCCAGGAGATTTTGAGATTAAGTTATCCCTTTCCTTAATCTCTGGGTCAGTGACTGAAAGAAAAAGATTTGGTATCTTGACAAACCCCAAATACCTTGTTCCAGTGCTGCTCTGTTTAGAAGCAGGCTCATTTTCCAAGTCACAATGGAGTCTTCCTGTCAGAAGGACTGCTGGCAGTGAGGTGAAAGCTGGATGTGGTACAGGGGATTAATGCCAAATACATGAAATTGTAATGTTACATGACATTGTGTGAGATTAGACCATGTGGCCAGAGAGGCAGGAACTTAGATATAGATCGTGCCTTTCATCATGTTAGGTTTTGAATAACATTTCTCAAAGGAATACTGTTTTAAAGCTAAATACTCTGTGAGAATAATAAAAGCACTTTCTGCTTTAGTTTTGCTTCACTTCCTGCAAAGAAGCACTTCCTCCTTCATCTGATAAGGTCAGATACAACTCATTACTACTTGTGTTTGTGGGTGGTTTACTGGCTAACAACACTGCAATTACAGGAAAGCTTGCTAGCTAAAAGTCCTTTTGGTTACTTAGGCTGTGGAAGGAGATTGTGGTCTACTTCTTTTATGAGTGCTAGGGTTGTCTCTATGAAGTCTCTTGAACGCTAAAGACTAGTTTACTCAACAGGGAGGAGCTGGCTGCATTAGAAGTGCCACATGTGAACAGCTGAGCACTGAGACTGAAAAACACCAAGATTGTCAATTCTGTTAATTGAATCAAGACACTTACAGACTACATCAACTTGATAAAAACCTGGGGTTTTTTGTCCAAGAAGGAGGTAGGGCAGAGATAAGAAGTGTGTACCAGGTGCTGCTTGATCAAAGCATCATCTTTGTATCACAGTACCAGCTGCTTCCCTGAGTCACATGCATTTCAGACCACTAATAACAAGAGCCTCAAAGAGGAAGGGTTCCAGCCTGAGCTCCACTGCGTTTAATGCTACCATCTGCCCTCGGTCTGGCTGGCAAGAGTTACCTGCCCTGGATCAGATAGGCAAGATGAGGAGAGACATAGCATTTCTGAGTTATGATTTTCCTCATCTCCAGCTAGCTGAAGCTGCACTTGGAGAAATCATTAACCACAGCACAGTGCTTATTTGACTTCTGTGTAAGGAGGTTGGCTACACAGCAGGCGTGGTAGGTATAAGAGGTAGGAGGAGGAGGTGGAAAAGCAAGGATCACTCATCACCATCATTATTGCTACTGAGTTGCAGAACCTGCTGATGGCCTCAGCAATGGCCCTTAACCCAACACACTGAAAGAGGAAAGGTTCAACAGCATTGCTTTTAGCCACAGGAATTTAGTAAGTTAAAAATCCGGATCAGACAGGTGAGCAAATTAAAAGGCCTATTATTTGCTTGTTGCTCCAGTCTTGATCAGTAATCAATGACACATTGCTACTTTCTGGTGAATTTTTACTTTTATGTCAGGAAAAAGACATGTTTCTTTTTATAAAGGTCTCTTTAATGTCTTTATATTTAGGACAATACCGTTGATCATAGAATGTAAGTATATTGATAAACATATGACCTGCATGGTCAGGTTTAGCAATATACTTATATCCTCTGTGTATATTTGTATGTGTGCACAGAGATACATGCACATGCTCCATTACTTACTGTACATTGGTTACTATCACACTGATGGCCAATTCACCTAATAAAAAAAATGTACCAACTCTGCACTCATACCTTTGCCAAGGGGAATGTTTTCAATAGGTAGCTTAATGTCTCTGTGTATTTTCACAGTAACTGTTATTATTACATTTGAGTGCTGAAGTTAAGAATCCTCCTCTGGTTTTGATATCTTTCATTAAACCACCATATTAGCAACTGTTCTGGAATAAATGAGTGACCCAAATCTCTCAAGTGTCTCAAGACAGTCCTCTTTTTACATATAACAGCAGTAGATGTATTTCCTCAGTGCTGTCAAAGGGTGACTTTAATTACTGTAAATTTCAAGGCTGCTGTTTATTTAAGTAGGAAGCATGAACATTTTATTCAGGGCAAGTATTTGCATTCAGAGGCAATGCTGTTCAGGGGACAGCATGTTAGAATAAGGCTCTGGAGACCCAACTTCTTATGTCTCTGCCAGCTCATTACTAATTTGCACCATGTTCCTCCTCAGCTAAAAGAGACATTGTGTAGTGCTTTTAACTTACAAAGCACTACTTGCATCAACGGGTACTTTTAACTTTAAGAGTACTACTTGCATCAGCTATTATTTTTAGCAGCTCTGAAATGCTGTGGGATGTGTATCTGGGTCTGCTTTTTTTTTTTTTAAGTGCCAGCAATGAATATGCTCTTCCATGACAGATGAAAAGACAGAAACAAGAAGCTGGACTGATAGTAAGAGATCTGGGAGAGCAGATCAGAAGGATAAATACTGAATTTATATATTGAAGCAAAGCTAACAGCTCCCTTTACTTAAAAAAAATGCAGCATGCAAAACCATAAGAGGACTAATGTTTCTGAACACACTTGATTCAGTGGCTGTTCCCTAAAACAGCAGGAGCAAAGCATAACTGGAGTAAGAAATAGAAGCAGGCAAGTAAGAGTCAAATCACCAAACGCCCCTATACATGACAAACAGCCTATCTGAAGGTGTTGTAGCATTCAGCAAGATGATTTTACTGACGGTAGCCTGGAAATCATTGTTACGTAGGGAAGGTTTTGGCTAAACTTGCCCTTGGAAGCTTAAGAAATCCTGTCCCAAGGAGTGACCTCTCTGTGTTTGTGTCCTGCCCTTGTGGCCATGCAGCTTTTCCCAGTGGTGGGGTGTTTTGCCAATTATCAGGCCTCGCATAAAGGACACAGCCAGCATAAAGATAAACCAATAACCAAATTGTATCTGATACAAAAGGGTCAGTACAGGGGTGAGCACTGGGGGTACAAAGAAGTCAGATTATACGTAATCCACATCAATCCCACTGACCCCAACACCACCACCACACAACCAACAATGGGTGGAATAAATGGTGAAATGCAGTCTCCCATAGAAGGAATGGGAGACAACCAAGTCAGCAAGCCAAACACATAAGACCAAGGAAGCCACACACCGAAACTCTACACAGACCACATTTACAAAGGCCAGACCTGACTGGAGCCCAGTCCCAGGAGGTCCTTCCCCAACAGGAAACTCTGCAAAATGCATCCACCTCACAAACAGACACTGTCCCTGCCTGTAAGTGGTCCCAGCTTTTATCCTTAAGTGGGACACCTGACCTTTGCTTACTTAATGCCGACACCTGGGGCTCATTTACCCAATGGCTCTCCCTGCCAGGCCGGCCGCACCCTGGAGGGAAGCCTAAAGGCAAACTCACCCCCCCTTTGGGAAGGGCTGTGGGAATCACCCATATGTCAACCTTAATTTGGGGCTTGGGGTTGAAACCCCAACATTTCATGGGGCCACATGGGGTCTGGGCAGACTGGCTGTGCAGGTCTCACTGGCCTCTTCCAAAGTGCACCAAAGGTGCACTTCAGTTTTACAGTGATCAGGGCAGAATAAAAATCGCATGTGTATAGCATGAAGCATAATGGTGAGACCTCTCCTGCCCTCTCTTCTGTCCTCTACCTGTTTAAGGGGAGACACCATTGTATTCTCTGAATCCAAAGAATATTAATGGATTTCATGAATAATGAAAAACAGAACAAGTCTTCTCTCTTATTTGGGGAAATCAGAGACAGGTACAGACCTGACAGTTCCTGGATGAAGTACTGCCATTTTATGAAAAAAGAAAGCAGGAAAACTCAGTGCCTTAAAGCCAACTGTTGTGGACTTTCTTTTTTTTTGGAGGGGGGTAAAAAATGTCTAGTGTCATGCTCTGAGCTGTTGCTGGATCAAATTCATACAAATTGGTCACTATTACCCTTAACACTTTATTTACTGCATCAATCTCTTTGACAGTCAATGCCCCAAGGCCAAGATGACACAATCTTGGTGTCCTGCCTCCCATTAATTCTCTTAATAAAACCAGTGGACATGTCAAAGGCTGCATAAAATAATGAAATTTCCACATCAGCAATCACCAATGATTTTTAGTTCACTTCCTTTCACGGTTGACACTTCCATCTCTCTTTGTAAAGAGCTTTGAGATCTTTGGACACATGAGGTGCTTCACATCTCTGTATTTCTTTCTGAATAACAGTGTAGCTGTATAGTTAGGTAAGACAAGTTGGTCTCCCAGTGAATATAGAATTTAAGGCACAATCTTGTCTTCAGGTGAAATGGATAATAAAACTGGAATGTAAGGTAGATGACAGGTAAGTGACAGGGAATGATGCACAGGGGAACCGTGTGTATGGCTAAAAAGGTGAAAACCTCTTTCGCAGAAATTGTAAAATAAAAGGAGTTGACGGGTCCCTTTCCTCTCTTACAACCTAAAAACACGTGGACACAAAACCTCCCGTGTGGGGTGGTTGGCACAAGAGATCAGTAAGTAACTAAGTGTATGAGAGGCTGATTCCTATCCAGCTGCATTCAGAGTATCACCACTGCTGACATTTTCTAAGGATACCTTCCCCTAGCAATCTAGAAATTTAATCATACAGATTCCAATCTCATGCCAGGAAAATTCAATGCAGGTCCACCTAGGGTATTACCTGGGCTTTGGCTCAGGCCCCTGCTTTCTTCCTGAAGAGATCTTTAAATGCCATCATTGCAGAACTTAGTAGCACAAACAGAAAGGGCAACTAAAAGTATTCTTTGCCTGCTTTTCCTTATATGATTGTGGCTTTACAAAAATGTTTTCATATTTAAAAGAATCTCTCTCTCTCTCTCTCTGTCTTTGAGCAAGACACCCACACAAACAACAGAAGATACAAATTATGCAGGGAAAACAGTGAAACTCATAGTTCAAAACATTCTAGCAGAGGCATATACCAGTGTACTCAGGAGAGAGAGAAAGATTACAGTTAAGCTGTTTTTATAAATCATGTATATATTTGTAAAGAACAGTAGGTGTGATTTTAAATTGCTGAGATCTTTCTAATTAGCCTTTTGACACTTTTTCTGAAAAACATAATTTCAGTACTCCGAAATGATAGTACTGTGGTTAAAGTCATCATAAAATTGGACGTGATGCTGCTGAAGGCAGGAGTTCCTACCAGTACTGGCATACTGGGTTTGCCAGTTGGCCATTTTTGTAAGAAAGACCTCAGTTTTTATGCTTTCATGAATTTCTGTAGACTACTATGAAAAAAATGTATGCCCACATGCAGCTTTAAATTGTTTTCAGGACTGTATGCAGTCATTCAGTTACATATTTATTTTTTTAATATCATGAAAGAAAATTTCTCTCCTGTTTCTGCTTCCATAATAGATTCAAGTCTTAATCATACACTAAAATGAAAACTCTTCTCGGTACGAAAGAGCTCACAGAATCAGATTGCTGAGCACATTCCAGGGTACTTGGCACAGTTATTGGGCTCTGCATAAAATGCATGCCAGGATGTGCTTCTCTCCAAAACAGACACTTAAGAGGTTTTTGAAGGGAAGCTCTCCTGCTTGCTTGCAGAACTGGACTGTAATGGGTACTGTGAAGGCTGTTTAAAGCCACTGTTCCATTAGCCGGCATCAATTTTTGATGCATTGTATCCTGCCTACACTTGCCATTTTCTAGCTCGTCCCAGCACCTACTGCCTCCAGTATGATTTCACAGCCAGGGAACTTTTCTTATTCCAGTTCTTATGATGTAAAGGAAAAGGGAGACAGATGTTCTTATTGGGCCTGCAGCTACATGAACTACCAGAATGGGTGACAAGCTGCATTTGCTTTTCACTCAGTGTGAGATTAAGTACAGAAATCCTGTGCTTTCCCCTGCCCCGCCCCAGGTTTTTAGGTTCCCCAAAAACTAAATTGAGCTTCATTGGGATCTGGGCATTTTTCTATTTCAAGTTCCTTATCACATGCTACTCTGGGAGCTGCAGTGCAAATTTTAAGTCTCATTGATAATTACTGAGGAGTATTTTTCACTTGGATATTGTGAAAAAGCTGCTCTTATTTCATTGTTTCCAATTTTGTTCTACTGTATACAAGTATAGTACAGGAAATGCAGTTGGGCACAGGATTGCAAATTCTTCCATCCAGCTGGTGGTTCAGATTGGTCTGTTTAAAATTTTTCCCATTGGGATAATTTAGCTTATTTTGGCTCAGCTGTAGTAAGACCTTGTTAATACTCCAAATTTACTTCTGAACACATTGCTGCAGGTAGAGTAGCTCATGAAGAGATGTCCAGGAGCCAACACAGAGCAAGAGATTCTGGAGTGGAGGCAGATATCACACAAAACTCTTCTTATCTAAATGCCAGGAGGGAAGAAGAGAGTGAAGCCTACTCAGATATTTGAAGGAAATCACCACTTACCTTTAAAAGTCAGTTCCAGACGGAGCTCAGTGTAGATGGAGACACTGCAGAAAGCCAGTTTGAAACACTTCAGCCAGGAGGACATGGTGAATGCCCTCTAGGGCAGCTTTTGGTTCTGCCTGGTCCCACATTGCCAAGCTTCCCTGGAAGTGAATAAGGCCCAGTGCTTCCCACTCAGTTTCCTGTATCACTCATGGGGCAGGCACTTTCCCAAATCCCCAGGTTTCATTCACAGGTCTTTTGCTCCAATCTGATGTGTATCATCTGTCCGCCTCTTAGTGACAATGTTGTTTTGTTTTGTAATAAAGAGAATTCATTACTGTGAAAGACAAAAGAATGGCATCAGTATAAATTAGGAAAGAATTAATGTCCTCTTTTTTTTTTTTTGATACTGTTTTCTTTAGTTTCAGATGCTGACATATGAACTATCACTACTACTGGATGAAAGAAGACACATCATACACCACAGAAGAAAATATCTTCGTTTCCAGTTTGGGGAACTAAGTTATCTGTCTTTTCATGAGAATGCCAACTATGCATTTTAGTTGAGAAGCTCCATTTTATCCATCACCAGAACTATTTGGTATTAAGAAAACATGAATGATGGACAAACATGTTTTGCTATAGAAACAAGTTCAGTAGCAGAGTACAGATTTCACATCTATTTTCAGTTCATTCAGGATTAATAATTATACTGTTGTGAGATAATCCTTGCAATAATTTAATTTTCTGTCAGAGAATAAATTTATTTTATATTCTTCATAGGATAAGAAAGTCTGTTTAAAGGTAGAAATTATCCTCTGCTTCTATGAAGTGAGCACACTTGCTCTAGGTGATTAAGGTCCTTAAAAGATACAATTTCTGGCTGTTGAGGAAGGTGGCCAAAGAATCACGGAAGGAGATAATTCTGCAGTACACTTTGATTTATGCAGTGAACCAGGAAGACCTTCATAAACTCTGCAACATCTTAGTGGATAAAGATGTGGAAAAATAATAATTTGGCTTCAAACCACAAAATTGTTATTATTGTTTTTTAATAACTCATTAAGACACCAAATGGGTTTCATACTTTTTGATAAATTGCATTTCTATCTTTTGTACTAGATTAGGTCATTAGTATTCAGACTCATTATCTCCTGGAACTTTTCCTTACTTTCCATTTATTAATGCTCCTCTGGGTGTACTGGAGCTTTTTGGGCTAAGCAGGGTCCCAAACTCATTTGGTGCTCACACATTATTTGTGGGTACAACTTAACCACCAATTACTAGGCAGAGAGAGCAATTGCAGAACCAGGACTTCAGAATCCCTTGTGCTAAATCCATCAGGATGAACAGATTGTAAACTGCCCATTGCAAATATGATATGCGGCAATTTAGCATCGTGTTAATACTTCATAACCTCCATCCCTTCCATTTATATAGCTTTTCCCTCCTGAAGCTTTCTGAAATTGCTTCTCCAATCATTATACTGCACCAAGCAGTTCAGATTTAATAGGAATAGTTGTGAACATTAGCTTCTAAATGAGTTGAGGCCATATGGAATTTTTTATATTTAGTTGGATAAATTTGAAGCATTTTTTTCTATTGTTTGTTACCATCTTATAAAAAAAGTCAGAAAAAAGTACTGACTTTCTTGAATGGGGGCTTCTGAGGCTTTATTGCTTATCTGTGGTAATAACTTAAAGCTTTTCAGAAATGGATTTTTTAATACAGTCTATAAAATAAACCTGTCACAATTTGTTTCTGGTTGAGGTTTTTTCTTCTTACTATGGAACAGCAATTTACAGATGAAGAGACATATCTATCTGACATCACTGCAGAAATGCTAAGGCCATTTTAGTCAATGTTTAAATGCTTCAAACGATAGCACTATCTCTCACTCTTCCCCTTCGGTAATCCAGAAATCTTGTCGATAGGGACAGCCCTGCTCCTTGTAACCCTGATTTAATTTCCTTTCTGCTCTAATTCTGTTATTCTTGCTGCCTGTAACTTCTATCTTCTCTTTTCCTTGGATGGCTAAGCTGTGATGTACTATTTTATTACTCACGGTTATCCCACAGCTCTCTCAGTGTTTGCTTCTACTGCCCTGGGAGGTTCCATCTTCCAAGTTACCTTTAAAACCACCAAGAACAAGTAAACCCAAAAGGTTGTTATAAGCTTTTAATCTCTGTTGAGTAGAGCTTACCTTGTCTTGAAATTATGATCCAAACTACAGGAAACAGTGGGAGAATGGGGAGACACTGGTAAGAATGGTAAGAAAAATGATCCTAAGGTAATTCAGGTTGAAAGGGACCTCAGGCAGTTTCCAGTCCAACATCCTTACACTGGAGGAGGAAGGAGGGGACTAAAAAGCAACTGGCTTAGTGTCTTCCCATTTTCTCCTGAGATCCTCTTGGTTTCTCTCCTCCCATGTCCTCTTAACCCCCTGCCTTCATGTCTGGATTTTCAAAGCTGAACATGTGAAGAGAGAAAGGATGCCCTGGTGCAGCCTCTCAAGCACAAGATGATGAGCAGGAGGGAAGAACCTCAGAAACCAGCAGGAGTGAGACATGAAGGTGGAGGCGAGTGGGGTGAACAAAACTGGTGGAGAAGGCAGAACTGGCAGCATACAGAAATGTGCAAAGTAGACACGGGGCAGGGCTGGAAAGGGAACTGGAAGGAAGGCACAGACCATCTTAAATACCCGCTTCGTATAAGCTGCTGATACGGTGTCTGAGACAAGCAAGGGCAGAAAGAGTAGGAGTGCATTTTTCCAAGTCTAGCAAATGGGTTGAGAGGCTTCTGAAGGTGTTTGAAATTTGTTTGAATTACCCAGTGTTCTGGCTTTCATTTAGGTGACACTGAGTCCAGAACTGCACTTTTTGTTGAATGCCTTTCAGCCTCAACCTATAGTGCAGAAGAGAATTAGCACACATTTATCTGAGTAACGTCTTCATGCCTTCCTCTTTATAGCAGCAGCAAATTCAGTTCATTAAGAGTTATGATTAGTCCTTGCTGCAGGTTTTTTTAGACTCATTTTGCACATTATTCTGGTGTTGCATAAAACTTTCACTCCTTGGGTAAAATGTTTGAAAGGCAGAATGGTTAGTACTCCACTTTGAGTCTGAGAGCACTTCCTGAAAAGGCTGGAAATGGAAGCTCTGAGAAGGAGATCAAAGTGGGGAGACAAGGAGCCCTTAGCAGATGTGTGCTCAGGGAGTTTTGGGGTGCAGGTAATAAATGGAGAATGAGCTCTGCAGATCCAGAGTGATCAAATTATCTGTCTTCTTCCCTTCGAGCTCTTCCTCTTTCAGTGTTCTTATCTTTGACTTCCTTCAAATTCATGCAGATTTTCATGTTACCTCAGAAGTGCCATTATTCCAGTTCTGCTGGAACTAATCAGATGTCTTCTCTTGTTTATTGTGAAAAATGCTGAAAAATTGAGAGCATTTTCTCTAATGCAACCTGGAAAATTATTCCTCTTTCCAGAGAGCACATCCTTTTTTTTTTTTTTTTTTTCCCTTTAAAAACCATTTTTTCTCTCTCACCTTTTTAATACAGCTCAATTTTTAACATTTTATTTTCAATTTTTTAAAACTGTACACCATCGTCAATATTATGAATGCTGAAGTAGGAATCAGAGCACAAAAAATGTACGGGTCACACACTAAAAGCAGCTTCAGCAACAAAGGTTGACCTGAGACAGAAAAAAAGGATTTGAAGTCCAGAGGGCCTTCCAGTCAGACTGTGAGAATTTCAAAGTAGGTCAGACTGGCTGATGGTGTCACATTTAGCCTTGCTCTGATATGGTTTTAAAAAGAACTGAGGAAAGTCCTTTTCCACTCTACATTCTTTTGAGACTAACAGAAAGGACAGGGCTGTCATTTGAAACAGAATGTCTCAAAGATAATCCTATGAGCTGGGTGACTGCTTGTATGATAGAAACACTTCTGTGAACCTGAAAAAAAGCAAAAATCTGTATGTGTCACTCAAAATACTGTGGTGTTTCAGACTCATTAAAGTTGTTATGAATACTGACTGGTGGGTGATACTCGAAACATCATCAAAAAGCATCTCAACTTGTAATGACTATGATTTTGTATTATATGACTGAGGCACATTTTAGAGGAAAATATTAACAGCTTCAGTAGATGATCTAAGCAGCATGAAAAAAGTGGAAGAGACAGTTCTTTTGTTTAGCTGTCTCAAGCAATGGATGCTGGAGTGTAGGAGGAAATCATGGGGAAGAGATGTTTACACATGAATAGACTATACCCTCAAAAGCAGCAAACAACTTACAGCTTGCTTTTTTTTTGTTGTTTGCCTAAAAAAAATAGCAAATACCTTTAATATACAAATACACAAATGACTTAGCTAATAATTTACTTTCAGCTCACCCTTCTGTGATGACCTGTAATAGCAGATCATCTGCAAGCTGTAGGTATGCTGACATTGCTTTGTTTCATCTTGATAAATTTCTTAACTTAGTGAGTGCGAAAGCCTGCCTCCTTTGTCTCTGCATAGCAAAGTGTGCTCAAAAGTGAATGGAATGCCATGAAAAACAGATCTGCTCAAGACAACAGGTAATTTTCACAATCTTAAGTTATTTCATAAATAAGTACTTAAAACCTAGTAGTTTGACAAGTGCCGATGTACACTCAGTGTACTGACCTGGAAAAAGGTGGTGATGAGAAAAAGAACACTCTCCCCTAAAGGTTTAAGGCAACATCTGTTTTTGTCAGACACTCAGTAAAATCAGTCATTCCAAAGGTAAATTGCAAAATCAGAAAGTGAAAGACTTCGAGTACATCCACCCATCATATCATTCTTCAAAACATTCTTTTCTAGTATACTGTTTCAGTTTAGTGTCTCAAATGATTTATTTGACTGATGGAAAAATACAGACTAGTGTAACCAAAATATTCTGGTTACATCCACACAGTAGTTTTCTACTGAAATACTATTTACCTAAAACTGATTTAAAGATGTAACATTCATTTTTTTTAGGACAAAATGCTTGCATCTGAGATCAGATGGAGTATCCCTATGCTCATATTCTGCCCTGTTTCTCTTCCTACATTGTATGGATGCAAATAAGTCCCCAAGTTATTTTTTACAGCTTCTTTTACTTTAGGGTAAGGTACTTTATTCAATACATACATAATTTAAGCAAGACAGTGAAACCTTTAGTAAGGAATATCTCAGACAAGCAATCTTTGTCTTAAGAATGCCCCTCAATGATTTCAAACATTATCCCCTGAGGCTTCTAATGCTGTGTTGTTCAGCCACTGCTAAAAGGCACTACTATTAGTCAACACATATTTCTGACAGGCATAGCACTATATATTCTGCACTGCATCTCAGAGAAAAAAAAAAGATCTGCATGAAAAAGTTACTAAATTAATTTATGTCTGATAATATTAACTCGGCATAGGAACAGTATGAAACAGCTACTGCTGTGTTCTATGACTCATTTGGCAGTAATACAATGTTCACAGGTAACTGATGCAGAGCTCTGCTCCAATGTGGACAAGAAAGGCTACTTGATGAAAAACAACGATCAAATTAAAGTAAAAATAAATCCAGGGTGTAACAATTGATAGGTGAAAACACTAGACTTGACAGTCTTAATGTGAAAAAAACCCAAGCTTTTAACCAGGTGTAATATTCTGCTTGCCATCATAGAACAACAGAAAAAACCTTTTTAAACAAATAGGCCTTTTTACAAGCTACTGAATGCTTTCACCAGTGTCCAGATCTTGAAAACTGAAAACTGCTCATTATCAAGTATATGGAGCAAGTACATGGTCCTCAGTAATCTGTGCTGAGGAGGTGTTCTTCTGGGTCAAAGTGTGGATACAAGAATGACCACTGGTCAAGTAAGTACAAGTGTGTGTCTCTTCCAACAGCCAGCCAGGACTGCTAGAGGAGTCTGCTTATTCCCCTCGAAGTGTAGAAGCCAGAGATGAAATGTTTTGCACCAACTAAACACAAGAAGTGTTGTGGATGTAACGGTTGGTGGGAGCTGTATCCTACCTTTGGGCTAGTGAGCCTGCTGACCAGTTGCACTTTCCTGTGTCCTGCTTTCTCCCATGTTGAGGTAATGATGTTAGCTGTTCAATATGGCATAAATCAATATGGCAATGCGTGTCAAGCTTTGTTTGCCTTTCAGCTGCCAAGGGGCTTCCTTATTTTTGTTCACATTGCTGTAATTTTTTTTACGTTCTTTGTAAGTAGATTTGCAGACTGCAGCCCTTCTACTTATCAGGAAGATATCTCAAATCTGTTAAATTACAGGGTGACAGAAAATAGATTTTGTGTAATAAACCTTATTTCAAGGATAGTGAAAATTTCATCTCTAAATAACAAGTCACAATGCGTGTGACAGCAGAACAATAGTATAAGACACAAACAGATCTTTCTGTCTTCTTATATGGACTCAAAGAAGTTACCAAGTGCAAAGCAGACATGTGGTTTCTCTTTTCTAACAAACAGGAGAGTATTTCCTCATACTCTATTTCATTATTTTTATGATGTATGAACTATGCTTCTATGATTAAACGTATTCAGATGTTAACTACAATTAAAAAGCATTTAAATACAATTCAAGAGTGTATTGAGAGGAGAAAAATACAAAATAGCTGAAAGAAATGTAATAAACAATGAAAATCCAGGGAATAGGCTACATAAAATATTGGAAGGTTCTTCCTGTCTATGAGGTAAACTATCCTAAACAAATTTTGAGGCTTACAGCTCAGGATTTTAAGCTAAGGATATGGACAAATTATCACGGTTGCTACTGTTATTAAGAAATGTCATTCCTGCTGCTCACTTATGCTCTGTTCAACTACTACTCCGACATATGATGTCCCCACCCAAAACACTTCTCTAATAACTTCTTTTCACAACTTCTTTTTTTGTGCCCAAAACCTGTATTTCTGATGTGTCAGGAACTCCATTTGAAAAAAAGTCATAACGCTTGAAGCCTAAATTAAACCCCAAAGTGCTAACCTAGTAACACCTCTGAGAGGAGATTATTTTGAGGATGTTTCAACTGACAAACAAAAGGGAAATTTTCTATTCCTTGCATATTAAAAAGATCACTTTGGCCTGTGATGTAGTTCAGCCGTTTGAATTAAGAAATAGACACGAAGGAATATAATATCATGGGTCAGCAAATATAGAGCTTTACCTGTACTCTTAATTGGCTCAGAAAATTTCTCTTCAGTATAAATCTTTATGCATATCCTCCATAATTTTCATTTAGTAAAGTTAACACCTATTACTGTACAACTCTTTCAACACAAAGTGTTATGTAGGTGGTACATATTATTATGATGTTATTACTTGCTACTGTAAATAATATTTAACAAGCACAACACTAAGATAATTTGTTCATGTTGGCTAAAATTAAATACCAAAACCAACTTTTGAAATATACATTTTGAACTGAAAGTTAGAATAAAAACAATAGAAATGGTCATTTGGGCCAAAATGTTTTAAAAAACTTTACATTCTAATTTGCTTCATACATCACCTACAACTGAATGGGTCAACATTTAGAATCCGTATTTGTCAATGCTGATATCAATAAACTTGTTTAAATTAATGCAAATGATATACTCTAATACAGATGAAATTACTCACTTTACTAACTACTTCTAAAGTCTAAAAGTCTGAAAGAGTTTAAAAATGTTTTTCAATATTGTATGTGCAAAACCGCGTATAGTGTCTTCAGAGGACTCTAAGTGGCCAGACATCTCTCATACCAGCTCCTCTATCTGCATACATTAAAAACATTATGTCTGTGGTTTCTGTTAAGCCCAGTGGTGACAACTGTTGGGAAATGGTCACTCTTGCACTTTCAAACAACTGGTCTGGATATGTGAAATTTGCAGAACTGGAAGCAATAGCTGGAAAGCATCCTGAATATAAGTAGTGCTGTTGCAGCCCTAATGGGGAGAGAAAACGTGGTTCATCAGTATAGCTGTCAATATATTTCAGGAATTACATTATACTTTTAAATACACTTTTTTTTTTTTTTTACATCTGCATCATGCTGTAGTAGCATATGCATTCACACAAGATTTTACAATCTATAGGTAACAAAAAAGATAAATTGCAACAGTTTACAGCTAACAAGGAGGGCCTGAATCACTGTATAAAAATCTGATTTCCCCTTAGTTTGAACTCTTGGACAGTTTTGTTTGTAATATGAGTAGAATAAAATGCCACAGTGTTCAGAAGTAGATTTGACTTTTTATTTACAAACCAGCTATCTTTCCATCAACAGAACTAATTCTGAATTTGCTGTATGTGGAGAAAGTGTCACTGATATTAACAGTTTGTATTTTGAATTTGCTTTTAACACATAGTACTATTTTTATAATTTCTAATACTGAACAGCATAGCAGCTTGTAATTCTCCATGAACCTAGGCTGTACTAATAAATATTTGTATACAAATATGGGATTTAAGAAGTACAAAACATCATATTCTATAGTTCTGGACATTCCCAGATTTTGCTGTTCCTGGAGCACAGAAAGATACATCAGTTGCAACAGCAAATTTACCCTATAACAAAAGGAACCATATAATAATCTTTACTACAGCTCTGTTCAACTTCACATGATTTTCCTTATAGGTACTGTTAATTCAGTGCAAAATAGGTTATTGTAAAACAACCTTTTCCTCATTTTTAAGGGAACACAGCTATTAGATACAGAATGACAATTTGTAGTCACTACTATATGTTTATTTATGTTTAAAGAGAAGTGTGATCTAATTAGTGGAATTAGAATTTGTGCTGCCAATAGTACACATTTTGGTACTTTATGAGCATATTGCTCCCTCTTGACTTCTTCTCAGTAAAACTGAGGCACACTTTACTCACTGGGCTTTTCTGAAGAAAAATATCTCATGGTGTCTAATAGAAGAGGTCACTCATAGCTCATGGTGTCTAATGACAGAAATCACTCATGAACATTTTGGTGATGTCTGACACATGGTTATCCATGTGCTGACTGAGTCTGCTGCTAGACAGTGAATCTGTAGAAATCTAAATGCGCATGGATGGGAAGCACTGTAGCACACCTGCAAACTAAAATTTTAAAGAAAAGAATAGTCTGAAACTATCTGTGTATCAGAAATACTTGCAATATTTGAAACAGGTAACAGAACAGCAACAACAGACTTATCCCAGGCAACTTGTGAATAGGTTAGAAAAGGCTAAAAAGCACACTGCAAATTGTCTGTTGTGCTCTGACTGATGCAGCAGAATATAAGAGCTGGCCAGCCTCATTTCATTCATACGGTTCTCAAGAATCCTCAGTGAATGCCATATTACTACTATAGTATTTGTGGGAGAGGCTGTACACAAAACCAAGAAGTTTATGAGCTGACCCTGAACAGTCAGAAAGATATTGTCATCACTTTTTTATGTAGTTCTTTTTTCAGACATAAATGCAACTGTTTAATTTCAAAATCATTTTACTAGAACATTTTCCTAATGTGAAAAAAGCAAAAGCTTACCTCTAATAGCACACAGTTGATGATAGGGTTAAGAACCTCTGCCTTCATACTGCTCTGTAAACCAGAAAATAGAATGAAATGCCAGGCCAAGAAATACCTTTAACAGAAATATACTGATATCTGAGCAGTGGTTTTATTAATTCTATAAAGGTCTTGCTTCACTTTGATTCTTATTCAGACTGTTTATCACAGTATTCCTGATAACTGTGTCTACATTTCATGCACATTTCAGTAGACCCTAGATATTTCTATCACTGAATACACAAACTAAGACAGGCCCAGGGTTTTACTTTTTCATTATTTCATGTACCTCAGAGTTTCAAATTGCTTGGTTTCCCATGGATGTGAGATTTATGTGATGACATTGTCTGTCCATCTGTTTGTCAATGCCCTTTTCATCTCCCCCAAAATGTTTGTTTACACCTTGTTCATTTTCAAGGAAACAAGAAGGAAAAACACAGGTCAGAAAAAAAATGAAGTTCTTAGAAGTTTCACAAATATCTGTGGTTAGGAGGAGATGAAAAGCCCAGATTAACACCCGTACAGGAGGAAAACCAGCTGAAACTCAGATCCCCAGAGCAGAGACAGTATATATTAGGCTGGGCAATGCAGGCTGGCCAGTAAATGTAGCTTAGCATGCACAGCATTTTCCTCTACCACCAGAAAGGAATAACCATGGGTACAATGAGTAGTGACACTACTAGAGGCTAGAAAACCAAGATTCATCAGCTCCTTTGCTTTTAAAATGGCAAAAAGTTCTTTCCTTTTTTTATTCTCACTGTTCTTTGCGTTGTGTTTTTTGAGAATGATAGTAACCTCCAGCAAGAGTTGCCTTATTTCAACACCGAACAGTGGACTTTATTAGAACAAAGGAAACACCATACTGATTAAATTAACTGAGGGATTTCCACTTAACAGCCTTGTAGCTTTCACATTACAGATTTAAAGAAACATGAAACACCTTAATTTTAGCTTGGAGAAAGATGGCAGAACAACAGGAAGGTGGTGAGAGAAAATAAGAGCAATTTTACTGTCAGTTCCTAGAAAATCCATTATGAAGTGCAGTGTTTAGTTGATTATCAATAAACTGAAACAGATAGAGAGCAGTATCAATTAAATACTATTGATTGTATGGATCAATAAGTTAAAGTTTGAAAGAAATCTTGCATAGCAAGCAAAGCTGCTATTTCTTACTTCTGCATTACTGCTCATTCAGAAACATCACCAACATTATAGACTAAGTGTACAGCCAGCATTACAACTAATGTCTGAATTATACAGATATAACTATAGGGATGGCATTATGTTTGAAAAAACCCAGTATTTTCTATCCTAAGACATTTCTCAGTTTCCCATGAATTAATGCACTTTGCAGGATACTGACATTTGTTTGTGAACCTGGGTGCTGTTGACAGGTTAAGGAGGAAGTTGAACCACTGTGACATGCAGGAAGATGTATTTTCTACAGTCCTATGTGACAGGTGCTCCTTAATTTCCTACTGATCATGGTGAGCAGAAGGCCCACATCTTCCTCCAAAAGCTTACAGGGACAGGAGAGAACATAAAGATCACCACACTGCCCTACTAAAACTCCTTTCCAGAGAATAGTTTGGCAGTAGGAAGTGTCTTTGTGCTCAATTTCTTGTGTGTCCACACAAATGTCCACAAAACCAGTCTGGTCCCAAAATCTGAGTACAGAGTTGACAAGAACATAACCTAGTGCAATGCTTATGAAAGCTTTAGTTTCCAAATTTCTGAGCTGGCCCAGCTTAATATTTCATGTGCAATTTATTTTTAAATGTCTGTGCATGTATTTATTGCAAGTGTCACACAAAGATATGCTAAAATACAATCCCAAAATACGAAATAAGCAGTTTCTCCCTGAGTAATGGGAAGGAATGTAAATTATTCAGAATAAAAGCAACCCAATAAATCATGTTTTCTACAAATAACTCTGAAAAAACTTGCTCAGAGATATGTTGGAAGAGCTCATGGGAGAACTGGGAAAATTTCCTTTGATGTAAATTCATGTTTTCATGGAATAATCAGGACAGCCAGAGTTTGTTCTTCTCTGACATTTACAGAATAATTTCAGCAACAGCACAATTTTTGCCTCTGGATCCTGCTAGAATACTCAGATGTCAGTCATCTTTGAAACATCCTGAAAGGCAGGATACTACTTCTAGCAAACATGTTCACAGATAAATTGATGTTCCTAAATAGAATATCTTGAGATACAAGACAGAGTGATTTTTTTTTTAGGATGGACGATCGAACAGATTTTCTAATCTCTTAAACCTTTTGAAAACACAGTGGCCCTAGGCCAGGGGATTTAGCAAAGGCTAAGAAGACAGCTCGTGAAACCATCTTTAGGTACTACTAGAAGTGTTATCTGCTAATGACTTTTACACAAATGCATTCAAAAGGGATAGGCTGAGTAGGAGAAGAAAATATCATCAACTTGTGGGACTTCAAATGTGGGGCCCTTTCAGTACAAGAAGATAAGAAGTGCCGAGTGGTGATCAGGACAAATGGGAACTGTCTAGAAGAAGGATTTTAGAAAGCAGGGGACACACTGCAGTCTATCAAAGCTTATAAACTTTCTCTGCAACTGGGAATCTGCTGTAAAAATGCTGTGTGTCCTTGATCTGAAGTGCCCTCTTTGCTGGTACCTCATGCAAAGCCATTGGACTCAGGTAATAATCTGTTTCAAGAAGTGAACTATGTTAAAAAAAAGCACAAATGCTACAGAAAATGCTGTTATCTTACCCCAGCTGCTGTTAAAGAATCAGAAAACTTCTTGGATAAAGATGAAACTTCATTACACATGGCACTTGTTAAACTGGTATAAAAAAAAAGAAAGAAAATATAAAAATACATCCTTGTCATGTCAATGGATAAAAAACCTATGACTGTTCCAGGCACAAACTTCATCTTAGAAATCAAGAATGTTCTTAAGTCAATTTTGCTTCTAGTAATTTTAAAAATATTTTGGGGTAGGTTTTGTTCATGGTATAGTTTTTCTATTCCTCCACTGAAAAATCTGTTGCTGACTACAGCAGCAAAATGATGTCATGAACACCAGTACTTTTTGATAGGGCAACGTTTCAATTTTTTAAATTCTAAACTTCTAGTTCACCTGTTGTTTTTCTGATGATTGAAGTAACATAACTCCTAGAAATACTGTTGGAAATAAGTCTAACTTTAATGAGAACAGTGAAAAGTTTCCTATCTAAGCAATAAAACATTTCTCTGCACTGAAAGAGGAAGCACCCTTGTGGTTAAAATACAAGAGAACAAGGAGATCTAGTTCTATTCCTAGAACTTTCACTGTTTTGCTAAATATTCACAAGTGCCTCATATAGAACGTCACCCTGCAAGGTGCACCATACCTTAGCTCTAATTCTGAAAATACTTGTTTAAGTACTTTGTTTTAGACTGAAGTGTTCCCTTGGACTTTGCTATTATTACCAGCATTCCTAAGGATAAAAACTTGCTTAAATATTTTACTTACTTAGGACCCAAGTGCTTAAAACATCCCAACGTCAAAACCCACTGAAATCAGTAGACTCTGTTACTGCAGAGAGCTTGAGATCTGAATTTTGAGTCCCCCTAGAAAAACTGGCTTCTTGAATTTATGTATGTTTTGTTGTGGTTTACTCCAAAGTTACTGACAAATGTAGTCTTATTGTTTAGACCTACGGATTGATTTTTGTTTATTTTTGGCAGATAAACACTATATAATGAAACTCTATTGGCAGATACGACGACTGCCTTATGCACTCTAAAAGCAAAATCTATATATGCTAGCACATTATCTTTTGCAGAGGGAACAGGAAATGCAACCTAAATTAGCTTGTACATTCACTTGCTGAAGCAGAAACAACTTTCAGTCTGTGAATAGGTCATGTTCTTGTAAACATACCAATATTAGCCATGTCAAAAAATAACAGGGAGCCTATGTAACTTGATTACACAAGAAAAGAGAGCACCAGGATCCCATGCTGTTTGTTGATGCATAAACTTCTGCCTTCAGGTGTCAAATGTCAAATGTTCATATATGAAGTAGATAAATACTCACTTTGTCAGTACTTTTGCTTGATCTTGAGCTGTTTTTTCTACTTCCTGCCCATGTAGAATTAATTCTGCTACTTTATGAAGCTGTTCAATACAACGAGCAGTTACCTCAGCCAGACTTTCAATGGACAGCATGTAGATTTCCTTAAATTAGGGAATAATATAATCAATAATAACAACACTAATAAATATACATCTAGATACATATATATAAAAGAATTTGAAACACAGGAGCCCTCCCCCCCCCAGATGGAAATACCACCCCATACATAGTGAAGTAATATCAGTCATAATGCCATCCTCACAAACAATACTGGAAAATGAAATATCCACAGATTATATAATACAGACTTTATACTCATCCTGAAAAATTAGTAAGAACAAGTCTACCATTTATTTGGATGGGAACAAGGTCAGGCTCTCGGATTTTCTAACATAGCACTTTTAAACCTAGTCCTAACAAACACAAAGATCCCTTAACTCTAGAAAAAGTCATAATTACTTTCATATGGAGCTGAAAGTACTGAGTCATTCCTCAGATGAATCTCCAGAGCAGAAATGGATAATACTCCCAATAAAAAAGTGGCTTTTATCAGCAATGATAAAAAATTCTACCTAGTACTATGGTGTTAGAGATTTCACAAGCTCATGACAGCTAGAAATCTTCAATCACATAAAAATCTGTAATATATACAGTGTAACTCTGATTCCTTTGGACCTTTATTGTAAGAAAACATGACAGATAATTTCTTTATTAGAATTAATTTTAAAAAATTTGACAAAGATACCAATCACGTTTAATATTGCTGTAACCTGGTGTAAAATATTCAATCACAATTAACCTTATCAACAAGAAGGGTTGTCTGAATGGACACTATACTTTTAGCCCTAAGAGCTATCTTTTATAAAGAGAACAAACACTTGTGAGTCTCCTGAATAATATTTTAATTTTGTTAGTTTGTGATTTAAACTGTTTAAGAGTTTAAATAAAGTTTGAGAATTTTTTTCATGTATTGTCACTGGGAGAAAGGGATGCCAAGGAATGTTGAGATACAACTTTCAATGTGCTATCAACATTACACTACAGAATCCCTCAGCTCACTGTACGTTGTGTATATACATGCAGACATACAAAAGCATAGATATAAAAAAATAAAAACTATGTGATAGGCAGAGGTCCTGCTACTTTGATATTTACTTATGGAAACAGAATAATAGTAAAAATATTTATGTAAGTTAGTTTCCTAATTGGTCTACAGTGAATAGATGTAATTTTTTTTTCTTAATATTTCCATGAGTTTAAAAAATAAGGACAACATATGAAATCAACACACAAAGATAAACAAGAAATCTTATCAAAGTATGACAATTCGCTTAATGAAACATCCTCCAAGAGCTATTTTACCTCCACAGTTTTGCTTTTATCTACTGGTTTATCACTGTCAATTTTATCTTCTTTTTCAGTCTTTTCTTCACCAGGTTCTTCAGGTTTTTCTTTTAGCTCCTCTTCTATGTCTACTGGGGTGGAAAAACTGGCTTCTTCCAGCCATTCATGAGCTTTTTTCCTAGCCTGCCAAACAAAGAATCCAACCCCAGAGTTCAGTTCCAATAGGGAATATCAAATGATGTTCCTGAACATTAATTAACAATACATTTAATTACTTCCTTTTTACATTCAGAAGTCTAAACATATCAAGCCTCTGTGGCACTTAGTTAAGTGTATATTTAATAAACTGTAAGAAGTATTTCTAACTGTACAAAGATGGATCAGCCAGGGATGATTCCTCTCCAGGTATGATATTCCTAACCAATACATAGAGTTGGGGTTAATACCAAAGTTACTAATATTTCAGCTTTATGAGGTATCTTTCAAAGGAATTTAAATAGAAATAATTTTCCCAAATAATAAAAATAAGAAGGTACTATAAAAAAAAGAACAAAATGGAGAGGTAAGAGATGTACAAAATTCTTAAAATAAATAGAAAATCACTGCATCTTCAGCTGCTTTTGCAGCCATGAAAGTAGATCAAAGTAGAAAGACCTTGAAGTTTTATACAACTTCAGACTACTGTTATGGTTAGTAGGAAATTTATGATGCCTCTTTTTTAACATGCAATCAAATCAAAATATGTTAAGACCTAAGCCTAAGCTAGTTATCCACAGTCTGTCTACATAGCCAGAGAGATAAACATACATCTGATCCTAAGATCAGCAGGTAAATCACCTTTAAAGGACCCCGATAGTACAGATGTGACTAGTAATGTGACTAGCTTCTAGCCAACTGACTTTTAGATGACTGCAGCTAGATGAGATAAATCCAAGACTATGCTTCTAGCTAAGAGGGTCTGGAGAAGTCCCTCAGAAGTACAGACATGATGAGCAAGAAAAATAACTGTAAATCTGACCCTTGTTCCCAGTACGTAAGACCAAATTTGCTGTGCTCATGAACTCTGTTCTGCTGAGACATCCTTGGTTCAAAGCTTTCTAACACAGCCCATTGTGCTAGCTAGTCATTGCAACTGTACTGACTTACTAATCTCACTTCTTCTACAAAAGCTCTTCTGTATTCATCATTCTAGTTCCACCCTCCTGTACTTTGCTTTCTGAACTGTCTGGACTAAGCTAGGTACTGCTCTGTGTCAGATTGCAGAACAAAGCCCCCCCTCTTTGTTTTTGTCCAAGAAAGAGAGGGCAGCGCACTAACAGGTGCTAACCTTATTAAGTTTGTCAGGAGTAGCGGCAACGTGCAATTCAAACAGCAGTTCAGTGAGCATGCTGACAAACTCTTCTCCCATATCTGCTGCAAGAAAAAACAAAACAATTTTTGTTAGGGTTTTATCATTGCAATGTTTTACATGATCAAATACATCCAGTCAAATAGTTTCCCCAAGCACTCCAGCACTTGAAAAACAGTGACAGTGATACAAGAAAGGGGTGTGTGGGTGTGGGTGTGTATATCCTCAAATAAAGAACAAGAAACAGAGATACCTGTACAACCAGATATGCTAGCTTGGCACTTTGACTACTCTTTCCACCTCACTCTAAATTCCACTAAGTTTCACAAAAACAGGTAAGAGGAGAAGAAGCTGCATGATCCCTAGTTATCTGACAAAAATACGTGACCCACAAAATAACCAAAGAAGAGATACTAACCTCTTCTTTCAAACCAAGGAATAAAAACTGCTGCAGGGCCAGATACAAATAAGTTTCAGAGGAAGCATACTGCAAAACATGTTCTCTATTGCTCTGTCTGCAAACCACAGCTAAGAGCTATGTTTTCTTTCTATTTTAAGCTTGAGCTCACCCAGAATCAAGTCTCCCTATGGTACGCACTGGACCTCTCCATCCTCATGCATCACCCACCAGGTACACCCAGGTCCTTGAGCAAAAGCAATCCCGTGGATGGGTTTCCCTTTGCCTGATGCAGGACTAACCCAGACCATTTTCCCAACACGTTCCTCATGCACACCACAGGGACTCCATCCCCATCTACAGCACATGGAAGTTTTGACTGAGCCGGGCCACCTCAATTGGCAGATCCTCTTGTGTTGACTAACTAAGTGGCCTTTGCCAGATGTGTGTCCCAGTCTTTGAAGGTGCCACCTCCCAGTGCTTTCAATGTGGTTTTTAACAGTCCATTGTAGCGCTCGATCTTCCCAGAGGCTGGTGCGTGGTAGGGGATATGGTAGACCCACTCAATGCCGTGTTCTTCTGCCCAGGCATTTATGAGGTTGTTTCAGAAGTGGGTCAGATTGTCTGACTCAATTCTCTCTGGGGTGCCATGTCGCCACAGGACTTGGGTTTCAAGGCCCAGGATGGTGTTCTGGACGATGGCGTGGGGCATTGGGTAAGCTTCCAGCCATCCAGTGGTTACTTACACCATTGTGAGCACGTGGTGCTTCATGTGGCGGGTCTGTGGCAGTGTGATGTAGTTGATCTGCCAGGCCTCTCCATATCTATATTTCAGCCATCATTCTCTATTCCGCTTGGCATGTTTGATTGCAGCACACATCTCACATCCGTGGATGATCTCTGCGATGGTGTCAATAGTGAGGTCCACCCCTTGATCTTGAGCCCACCTGTATGTTGCATCTCTACCTTGGTGGCCCGAGGTCTCATGGGCCCACTGGGCTATGAACAGTTCACCTTTGCGCTGCCAGTCCAAGTCCACCTGAGCCACTCTAATCTCAGCAGCTTGGTCTGCCTGCTGGTTGTGTTGATGTTCATCAGTGGCCCGACTCCTGGGTACATGGGCATCCACATGGCGCACCTTCACAACGAGGTTTTCCACAGGGGCTGCAATATCCTGCCACACTTCAGCAGCCCAGACAGTTTTACCCTTATGTTGCCAGTTGCTCTGTTTCCATTGCTGCAACCATTTCCACACTGTATTTGCCACCACCCTGAGTCGGTGTAGAGGTAGAGCCTTGGCCACTCTTCCCACTTAGCAATATCCAAAGCAAGCTGGATGGCTTTCACCTCTGCAAACTGGCTCGATTCACCCTGTCCCTCAGCAGCTTCGGTGACCTGTCATGTGCAACTCCACACAGCAGCCTTCCATCATCAATGTTTTCCCACAGTGCGACAAGACCCATCAATGAACAGGGCATATTGCTTCTCCTCATCTGGCAGCTCGTTATATGGTGGGGCCTCCTTAGCACGTGTCACCTCCTGTTCTGGTGACGTCCCGGAATCTTTGCTCTCCGGCCAGTTTGTGATCACCTCCAATATTCCTGGGTGGCTGAGGTTCCCTATTTGAGCCCGTTGTGTTATCAAAGCAACCCATTTATTCCACGTGGCATCTGTTGATGATGCATGGAGGAGGCCTTTCCTTTGAACATCCACCCCAGCACCGGCAGTCGGGGTGCCAGAAGGAGCTGTGTTTCAGTGCCAACCACTTCTGAGGCAGCCCAAACTCCTTCGTACGCTGCCAGTATCTCCTTCTCAGTTGGTGTATAATTAGCTTCAGAGCCTTTGTATCCCCGGCTCAAAAAGCCTAGAGGTCGGCCTCGGGTCTCCCCAGGTGATCTCTGCCAGAGGCTCCAGGTAGGGCCATTCTCCCCAGCTGCGGTGTAGAGCATGTTCTTAACCTCCTGCCCTTCCTGGACTGGCCCAAGGGCTACTACTTGGGCAATCTCCTGCTTAATTTGTTCAAAGGAGTGTTGTTGCTCAGGGCCCCATTCAAAATCGTTGTTCTTACGGGTTACATGGTAGAGAGGGCTCACAATCAGGCTGTAGTTCGGGATGGGCATCCTCCAGAACCCCACAGTGCCCAGGAAAGACTGAGTCTCCTTTTTAGAGGTTGGTGGGGCCATGGCTGTTATCTTGTTTATCACCTCCATTGGGATGTGGCGATGCCCATCTTGCCATTTTATTCCTAGGAATTGAATTTCCCTTGCAGGCCCCTTAACTTACTTTCACTTTATGGCAAAGCCGGCCTTCAGGAGGATTTCAATTATCTTCTTTTCTTTTTCAAAGACTTCCTCAGCTGTGTCCCCCCATACAATGATGTCATCAATGTACTGCAGGTGTTCTGGAGCCCCACCTTTCTCCAGTGCAGTATGGACCAGTCCATGGCAAATGGTGGAGCTGTGGTTCCACCCCTGGGGCAATCGATTCCAGGTGTACTGGATGCCTCTCCAAGTGAACGCAAACTGTGGCCTGCACTCTGGCGCTATCGGAATGGAGAAGAACGCGTTAGCAATGTCAGTCGTGGCGTACCACTTGGCTGCCTTCGACTCCAGTTCATACTGGAGCTCTAGCATGTCCGGCACTGCAGCACTCATTGCTGGCGTAACTTCATTCAGGCCACAGTAGTCCACAGTTAGCCTCCATTCACCATTGGGCTTTCTCACCGGCCACATAGGGCTGTTGAAGGGTGAGTGAGTTTTGCTGATCACCTTCTGGCTTTCTAGTTGATGGATCAGCTGATGGATGAGGACCAGGGAATCTTGGTTGGTGAGGTACTGCCGCCGGTGCACCGTCCTGGTAGCAATCGGCACTTGCTGCTCCTCAACCTTAAGCCGCCCCACCGCTGAGGGATCCTGAGAGGCCGGGTAAGGTGGACAACTGTTCAACCTCCTCCAGGGCAGCTACACCAAAAGCCCACCGGTACCCTTTTGGGTCTTTGAAGTTCCCTCTCCTGAGACAGTCTATGCCCAGGATGCACGGGGCATCTGGGCCAGTCACAATGGGGTGCTTATGCCAGTCCTTACCACTCAGGCTCACTTCAGCTTCCAGTAGGGTCAGCTGTTGGGATCCCCCTGTCACTCCGGAGATGCAGATGGATTCAACCCCACTGTAGCTCGATGGCATCAGGGTGCACTGTGCGCCAGTGTCCACAAAAGCCTTATATTCTTGTGGGTCTGACGTGCCAGGCCATCGGATCCACACTGTCCAGTAAATCCGACTATCCCTTTCCTCCACCTGGCTGGAGGCAGGGCCCCTCTAATCCTGCTCATCATCACTCACTTCTTGTAAGAATGATTCACTGGTCCCCTCAAGAGGGTCAGACATAACATTGGCCATTCTATTCTGTCTGGGGGATTTCTGACTGGACACCGGAGCTGCGCTTTTCTTGGAGGACTCGCCTTTCGTGATGGTCTCTCCTTTCAGCTGCTCTACTCGTGCAGCTAGGGCGGCAGTGGGCTGTCCATCCCACCTCCTCATGTTCTCTCCATGGTCGCGGAGGATAAACCACAGGGTGCCTCGTGGTGTGTACCTTCTGCTGCCTTTCTCTTGGGTGGGGAAACGTTTACTTCTAATGGCTGAGACATTAGCCCGTGCAGGTGGAATGTAGGACATGTCCTCTTCTCTTTTCTGGACCCTCTGAGACAGCTGCTTTACAGCTGAACCCCAGGAATGTTGGGATGAAGGGAGATTTCCCTCATATTGCCGGAGCTTGCCAACCACTCCATCCACTGTTAGAGTGTGGGTGTCTGTCCACCAGGACACTATTGCCAATGCTTTCGAGTGTGCTTCTGGTGCGCTCTTCAGGAACTTACGCCACATTGGGTGTGTGCAAGGGGCCTGATCTGGGTCCATGGGTGACTGCTCATCATTCAGATCACCATAAACCATATCAAACACAGGCAGTTCCCTGAGATTCTGAACGCCTTTCTCCATGGGGGTCCATTTGCTTAGCTGACATATGATATCATCCTTGTAGGGGTACCTCTCCCTTACACTGAGCAGGAGTCGCCTCCAAAGGCTGAGGGTTTGAGTCTGTCTCCCTATTGCCTTCATAAAATTACAGAATCATCTAGGTTGGAAAGAACCTTGGAGATCATCTAGTCCAACCATTCACCTAGCACTGACAGTTCCCAACTACAGCATATCCTTAAGCTCTAAATCAACCCTACTCTTGTCACTGCCAGCATCCCTGGACAAAGATCCCAACTGCTTAGCCTCTCTCCCCTCCAATTCCAGAACACCAGCTCTACCAGCATCGGAGCAGCCAGATGAAAATCTGCTCTCCTGGAAGGTGGCTGAAATCCTTCCGCATATCTTGCAGCTCACTCAGGGGTAGAGATTCAGTGATCACCTCTGGCTCATCCTCCCGTTCCCATGCTGGGCCTGGCTCATCTCCGTCTCCCACTTTGCGAGCTGACTTTTTGGTGTATTTGGTTTTCTGTATCGGGGCGACTGATACTGGCTCTGCCTGTCCCTCTGGCCCAGCTGCTGCATTAGTGGGGGCAACTGATACTGGCACTGGCTGTCTCTCTGGCTCAGCTGCTGTGCTGGTGGAGATGACTGATACTGGCTCTGACTGTCCCCCCGGCCCAGCTGCTGTACCAGTAAGTTCACTTTCAGGTCCTGCAGCCCTCTCTCCCCCCTGAGGGCAGTGAGTAGTGTTAAAGAGGACACGGTAGGCATGGGCAAGTCCCCAACACATCGCAGCGAGCTGTGTCTCCTGGGATTTGTTAGATTGGTAACACATCTGTTCTAAGCACTCCACCAGTTTATCAGGGCTCTGCATTTGTTCGGGAGTGAAATTCCAAAGCATTGGAGGCGACCAGTGACCCAGGTACTTGCCGGTCTTTACCCACATACCTTGCCACTCACTATTATCTGACCTCGGGGCAGGTTTCTGGGTACTGCTATTGTTGGAGAAATACTGCATGGTCAAAACCAAGATCTGGCAAGCATTCAGAAAGCATTGTGCCACAATCACACTGGTCTGGATGCTCCAAGGATAGTTAAAACTCTGCAAAACCAAGAGGATCTCTTCCCCTGGCTCACCCATAGAGGGGGTGAGACCCCTAACAAAAGCCCAGGCAGCGAACAGGTACTGGCTCAGCCCCACAAGCACTGATAGGAGCACATTATAAGCAGTCAGTAGCCAGTATAGCAAAGTAAGACCCTTGACACATTTTCTGACAACAAACACCAGTACTGGGATGACACAGTGGATATCCTTTCCCAAAACAGTCCCCCACAGATCACTGCAGTAATTTCTCCTTATGTAGGATTGAAAGTGTTGACTGTAGAAACTAAAAGCAGCAGTAACATCTCTGAATGAGATCCTGAGAGTTTAGGATAAGAAGGGATCCTGAAAGTTTACATAAAACAAACAGCCACCCTTATCAAACACTTGAATGCAAAGTACTGGTTTTCCTCCCAGCTAGTCTTATTTTTGCTAAATATATATATAGCACTGACATGTGACACCATATAAATAACATGACTTTGATGACGAGAAAGTGGTAACAAAACAGCAAAAAGGGATAGTTGTTTTCAAATACTGCTCAGTGGCTAGATAAGATTTAAGTTTCAAACACCGTTAGTTAATCTCTGGGTTTTTTTAGGGGGGTGGCTTCCTTACATAAAGGAAAAACCCACAAGTTTAATTGAACTAGGAAGCGCAAATCAAACTCCTACTGAAGTCATATTAGTTGTAGTTTAAAACTGTTTAGTAATAAGGATTAAAACTCGAAATTCCTCCACAGAATTTAACATAGACTGCTACCTCTTGCTAGATCAGTTAGCTTAAGTAAAAATATGTAATTCTGTATAAAAAAACACACTATTAAAATAGCATATGGCTTACTGACTTGATTTTGTAAGTGTAAAACCTATTAATGTGCTTAACAGGTGCTTAATTGGATTAACTAGCTCAAGCTAAGAACACAAACTAGAATGAAGCCTTCTCTGGACAGCAAGACACGAGCTGCATTTAATTCTGATCAGTGAACCTATTGCCAAACTTCCCTGTCTTTTACCTATGCTGGATGTCAAATGAAGTTTACAATTTCTGGTAACATTAAACACAGACCATTTTCTCAGTATAAAAATTATGCCATTGAAATATGCTTAAGATCCCAAGAAGTCATTTCAAGTAAACAGTTCCAGTTAAAAAAACCCAAACCAAACAACTCAAACCTAGACCCTAAAACATCAAGTGTGCTCCCAGAAGTATACATATCGATGCTCTCCAGAAAGCTAGATTTATTTGTAAAATATGACCAGGATACTAAGTGTAGTCACTGGAATCCAACTTAAATTATGTAAAGATTGGCAAACTAAAGTATCAATGAAACATTAAACTGTTCGATAAAACTGTGCTCCATGAAGGGAAAGGGACATGCAAATCACATATGACATTACATGGAAAGGTGCTGGATATCGTTTTTACCTAAAAATGGCAGACAATTGTCCTGTAAAGGCCTATTAATGGAATTTTTTAAGTTTTAAGTTTATGCATTTGTTGCATAAATGCACTTAATAAAAACACTTAAGATCCTGTGCATTAAGAAATTCAGGAAAAGGTCTGTTTTCCCTGACTCAGGAGGATCATATGAAGCCTTCATTCACTCTGGCAAGATTTTAATGAAGCTAACACACTTTTGTGCCTGGGAAGGGTACACAGATGAGGACAATATCTAGAAGGGATGTGTCAAAGCACTATACAGTGTTAAGAGCACTATCAGTGCAGTGTTCCACGTACTATGGATTATGCATGAGAGGCTGAAGAAAGAAGTAAATGCCACATGTCCCAGGCCAGGAGCCTGACCACAGGAGTGTAGGCTCAGTCCTATCAGAAAGCTACTTTGAGAAGTGATTAACCTTTCTATTCTTTTGGTGTCCTTCAGTGGAACTGCAATTTATCCAACTTCATACTAATAAATAAAATTTATTTGTAGTTCAAATACTAATAAATCTTGAGCTGAATTGCACTAGAGGACACGAGTCGTTTTGAACTGTATCCTGAAGGAACACCCATTGAGCTGCAAAGTGGAGTGAACATGTGTGTGGTTATTATTTTCGCTGTCACAGAGGGGAGCATATGTTTCACTGCTAACTGGTTTGCTTTTGCAGCAGAAAACCTGCAGCACGCTCTGATCTGGTCTTTTTTTTTTTTTTTTTTTAAGGTGCTCACTGCCTTGGTTTCAGCCTATTTAAAAGGCCAGTTCATGTTTCAAGGAGCATGATCAGCATCTGTACTTTACTGAAAAAACAGGACTTCTGACCACCAGAGAAAATACCACTTTGTGCAAGAAACAGCTTTTCCTGGGTTTCAAGGCAAGGAACTATTTCACACAGAAATTAAGGAACAACAGCCATCTCATGAATCCTTACTCTTAAGCAAGTAATACACTTTCTTGACTTCTATTTCTCACAACCCCACAGAGGAATGTGGGGTTTTAAAGAGTAGCAAGGTAAAAAACCTAGCATAAAACTCCACCATACTAAGACTTTACACTTGCTCTGCCTCAAGAAGAAACAAACTCCCAGTGAGAGACATCAGGCATACTAAACACTGCTGAAAAGAGCAGTACAACTGGAAAAGACTTTCCATTTAGAACATGTGGATGTTATCACAGTGTATCTAACTTTTCTGAAGGCTACAGAAATCATAAGTCACCACCTTGCGAAGCACCCCCAAGATCAAGAGGACGTGGAAGATATATTTTTTTATGTTTCTGTGTTTCTGAAACACAACAATACCATGTTCAGTGGCATAAGCCAGTCTTCAGCCAGGTCAACGGAACTGTTTCTATTAGCTAGAAGAGGTTTGATATGGATCTTAACAGGTCTGGAGACGAACTATGGTGGCTTTAAGCTAACTTCTTATCCTGTTCTCAGCCTGTTCCAGGGGATGCCAAAATTCCTGAGGTGTTTAAGACACCTATTTGGACCCTCACCAAAGCACCTGCCCATTTTATTGAATCTTATGAGTTATTCTATGGACTGTTATGCTGCTTCCAATCTCTTCAACACTGTGCACTATGTCACAGTTACGGCATGCTTCTGCTGCTTTAACTTCTTTCTCGCACTACAAATGTCAAATCTTGCCAAACAATACCTAGAAAGCAGTTTTGCCACTGTGTGTCAAATTGACTTTCCTTCAAAATCTTTAGGGTTTTTAAGTCTCTTTATTACTCTAATCTTTTCCCTATCTAGCAAGGGAGGGTGCAAAGTGAGAATGATGTTGCTAAACAGAAAAGCATTGCTAATCACTCAAAAACTTTAAAATTAGGCAATTTCATGAACAGATTATGTAAGAAAACCTGTTATCCAAAAGGTTAATATTTTCCCTTTTTATTTTTGTTTTGCTCTCACTGATGATATAGCAAAGTAATATAATACTTCCTTACATTATATTTTCTGTATCTCACACTTCAATTACAATACAAATTGAAAATTAAGCATTGATCAGCTTCCAGAACTTTTAGAGTATTAATTTTAGCGACTATGAATAATAATAGGATATCAGAATTACAGTTTGGATTGTAATTTTTTAAATGACTACATACAGAAGTAACAATTATTTATATGGTTAAGTTTCTGTATTTCTAATTACCTTTCTGTGCCTGCACCACTTCGTCATCTGATTCCTTTGGAATAAAAATCTCTTTTATAGAAATTAAATCATTTTTCACAGTCTCCAACTGTTCTCCATCAAGTGTTGCTAAATATGACTGAATCTGAAAAGAGAGGACAGTAAACATTCCTAAACAAAACAGAGCATTTCTTAAATGCTAATTTAGAGCCTGATACCAAAATAGGCTGAGAAATGGAAACTTCTGTTATGCTCAAATCTTGTCATAATCTTCCAGTATAGACACATTCAGTTCTCATCAACAAAATTTGTTGAGTATCACAAAAATTACACCAGCCTTGCAAGATCATCAGGTGTCTACCTTCTCCCAAAACATCAGTTTTGTATTATAAATCTATGGTTTAATTGCAGACTGTAATAAGCATTTTGGGATTGCTTGGATGAAGACAGCAGGCAAAAAGAGCACAGGCAGAATTAATGGTTAGTCTGAGCATTCATAGGAAGAGTTGGAAAAAGCAGCCTGCTTCCCCTCCTTCAAAATGCAACCAAAATTATTGGTAGTCCACTAGTCTACCTGTTCTGAAGAATGTATTGACAGGTCTTTGCATGTCTCAGTATCTGCAAGTGCCTGCATATCTAATAGGGTGGCATGCCTAAGAGGGATGGAAACAAATTATTTGAATCACTGTTTGCACTACAGTTATAAGGTGTTAATCCGATGATCGCACTCTCTGCCTATGGAAGCCAACACAAATGCCTTCTCTCCCCTTGATGCAAAATTTTACTTTTAGGTATGTTTCAAAGGGGATTTTTAAGATTGCTTTACAGACATGTAGTCTGGCTCATTGAGAGACTGGAGAAAGATATTATTTTCTTATGTTCCTCCTTGTTGTGTCCAGTTCATATGCTCGGATTAAATGCCAGATAAAGTTGGTAGACCCAACTCAGCTGAAGAACTACCTAGCGCTTTTTTGTCCCTCTCTATAGCATTATCCACTTCATAGGATTACCTGGGAACTTTTTAAAATGGAAACTTTTAAAATAAAAGCTTATTTTTAAATCCCTGCTATTAGAAGTACACAGGACATTAGCAATACCTTCAGTCTCATGTTCCTACAGCTTTTGGGCTGTTAGTATAGGTCTCAAGCTTACAGTACCAGAAGTATTTTGTGCATCTGTGTATGTATGGTAATTGGAATATTTATCAGGGAATTGAACTTGTTGAGCCACAAAGTTGCATACAACCCTACTGGAGTGAGTAAGACTAAGGACAAGGGGTTATCTAGGACATAACATGAAGCACCTCACAGTAATAACCTGCACAAGTCTGAATTACTCTATGTTATTTCACAGTAAAAAAGAAATAGTGTTGACACATACAATTAAGTGGAACTTGTTTTCTATTTATCTCCTTCCTGTTTTGTGGGGTCTTTTTGCCTTTTTTTTTTTTTTTCAAAACCATGTCCTTGAATCTTACATGTGAGTTTCAAATTTATAATTTTTCATTTAGACATAATTATAAAAAATAAAGCCAACATGGACAGTATGTACCTAGCTGTTATTAATATAAGTTCTTTTATTTGTGAGAGCAAATTTTAACAAATAAGTTGGTTATTTTTAATTAAAAATAACCCAGAGGGCAAGGAGTGTTAGTTACAAAAACAAAAAAGAAGAAAACTTAAATTTATTCAGAAAACTGTACAAAATACCACTGCTGGGAATTTAGAAAATTCTATTAACCTACTGTCAGAGATCTACTGATCTACTAGCAGAGGCAATAATTTAGTACAGCTAAAATTAAAAAATATATTTATCATAGAGGCCTGAGTAACATTAGCATGTTCTTCAAAGAGACATTTGTATACTTCCAATAATAATATCTTGGGGTAGTTTTATGTAACTTTAAAAACTAACACAATAAGGCTTAGGAATTGAGTAGGTAATCTGGAATTCATTTTAATTCACTAGCCTCCATGTGCAGTAGGTCTGGAATTACTGAACGTATCGGTGCCTGATACAAAACCAGAAGACTTCAACTTCCTTGCAAATTCTGAAAAGACATCTGCATAATGTCACAAGCTGAAAAATACAGACCATATATGGTCCTAACAGAAATAACTTTCACTTATACAATCCAGCTTCCTCTGAAGTTGATGGGAAACTTACGGTTCATTCCACATGCATCTGCAAAGTGAAATTAATGTAAAGATAAATTTTTTATCAACCATTTTGATTTATGCTGTCTGCATACTGTACCTGAGCTTCACTTTCATTTGATAGGATTTCCAGAGCTTCAAGATGAGACAAACCTTGGAATTCATCAAAAAGTAGTCCATAATGTGCAGTTCTTTCAACTGTAACTTGCTGGGCCCGCCTCTGTTTCTCTTTTTCTTTAGCTTCTCTCAACAGCTGCAAAAATATACATCATTCTTGTTGTTTATTGGTAGTGCTGTAGGTACGACAGATTTTATTACTTTCTGCTTGTCTAGGAAATAGTAATAAAATTTGGGACTATATCACACCTGCAGAGCTGAAATTTTTAGAGCTGAAATATCTAACTTCTTTTTTGATAAATGTCTCTAATAAAATATTTAAATAGAACTCTAAGTGTGGTTTTCCCACTGGTAATTGCTAACCATCTTTTTTTTAAAAAACAATGAACAAACAAATAATTTTGCTTATGTTCTCAACTATTATACGTTATCCATAGCTGCTTATGTCAGCTATGGATACCGTATAATAAATTTAACCACCACTTAAAATGAAAGAAAAATAAAAAGGACTATTTCATACACAGCCTTAAAGAGTCATGCAATCCATTCCACAGACCACAAAATGAGAAGAATATTATTTTCAGAACCTGCCTACCTACTTGCATAAATAATGCACCTACATAAATATGTCCTCTAAAATATTTTTAGCCTTAATAAGGTACGACTTCTACTAAAGGTGGGGTAGAACTACACTCCATATACTTGGGGATATTTTGGAGTGATCTTCTCATACACATCTATTAGTGTATAAGAAGGACAGAATAGTTTACGGAATAGGGTCTTCTATTCCTTCCTTCTATTCCCAGGAAGGAATGGCCTCTCATATTTATCTCCTACAGTAAAGCTGATAAATACTTTTGAACTATATCTTAAGTAACACATATACCTCTGAATACAGAAGAACTCTCACCACTTACACTATGCCATCATTCAAAATTCCTACGGTATTATTTTCAGTTATTTATTTGTTACAAAAAACATGATGGTAGATTTTTCAGTCTCCACATTCAAAAGATCACTCACAAAGTTTTATGTACGAATCACTGAAAAGGAAGCACTGTGTTATGTGACCCACGAGAACTGATTTATGTCACTTTGTCTCAGATTTTATGTGTGAATTCATGCATATTCTTTAGGAAGTTTTTCTCTAAAGCTCATTTTAACCCTGTGGGCCTTAACAAGAGTTACGTGCTTTTGGCCTACAGTATCAGTCTGCTCACATTTACAATGACAAACACTAAAGATGAAACATCTCATTAAAAGAAAAATACCTTACTTCTCTCTACAAGGAAGTAAACATGTAGTAAAATTAAAGTTTTTTTCAATGTCTATTGATTTCCATAGCCTCCTCTCAGTGTCTGGAGAGCTAATATAATTTTGTACTGACAGCACTTACGCTTCTGTTTTTATCATGTCTCCAAACTTCTGAACATATGAGTCATGAGTGTGTAAGGGTACCATTAGTTTAGATGGACATTATGATATAACTTTTCACAGCTTTAATTCCTAGTGAAACATATGTCATATTCCAGTATCACTCATTTCCAAGAAGATTTGTATAGTGATGTTTATGTGGGAAGATAACTATCTACAGCTGTAACAAAAACACCAACAATTTGATTCTGTCTCCAGAGAGTAATGATTTATCACCACACATATTAACTTATTAAAATCAGCTATTGCACATGTGATTATGCAGAAAAGATGATTTTACGTTATCTTCTGTGGTTCTGTGAAGAAAAATAAAGTGGAGCAAATATAAAGCATAGTATTTATTTCCATAAGCCTAGCCAATATCTACCACAATAAATAAAGCCTCTCCCTGAGGCATCTGAAATTCTGGAAAAAGGATCTGAAACTGCATTAACAGAGCTGTATTTAAATAAATCCAACCTGAGATAGAGAAACTGTTCTTGCCATCAGTGTTTTGGTTCTCTTAAATCCAGGATCGCTTTCTGCAAGGACATTCATGGTTGTCTTCCCAATAAATTCCAAAGCATCTAAGCCTCCAGATAATACACTTTTCCCCTGTATAAAACAATGCAATGTGGTTATTTTCTTTCCACTTCATGCTAATATGAACTGTAAAGAGTACTGATTTTGCTGACACCATCTTTGAACATTCAGGTTTCTAGATTTTCTATGCTTTAACAAATAATAGAATTGATACATTTATAAAATTATGTTACTCTGTTCTGAATACATTTTCAAAAAGAAACAATGAACTATAAAAATATTTCTAGTTAGTTAAAAGACTCACACCAGAAGAAATGTAACATCTGTTGCCAGTGAAAAAGATTATGAATAATACCACTTTAATTTCATCCAAAGTGGCATCTAGTACATAGGAACTATTTTAGACGTGAATAACATGGAGCCAAAGCCCATCATGAATAGGATTACCCTGCCTTTCCCAACTGATTTCTAAAATTTTAACAGTTGCGATGACTCTGGAACTGTCAACAGAAATACAGTTGTTTTTCCTGTGTCTTCATACAAGAAAGCTGGATAGGAACTTTTTACAAGGGCATGTAGTGACAGGACAAGGGGTAATGGTTTTAAACTAAAAGAAGGTAGATTTAGATCAGATATAAGGAAGAAATTCTTTACTGTGAGGGTGGTGAGACCCTGGTGCAGGTTGCCCAGAGAAGTTGTGGCTGCCCCCTCCCTGGCAGTGTTCAAGGCCAGGTTGGACGGGGCTTTGGGCAACCTGGTCTAGTGGAAGGTGTCCCTGCCCATGGCAGAGGGGTTGGAGCTAGATGGTCTTTAAGGTCCCTTCCAAACCAAACCATTCCATGATTCATATTAACATTAGCCATCACTGACAATTTTCCATGTACACTGAAGAACAATTTTCACTGGCTAAAGACTTCCATTTCAATCTGGATTATGCATCTGTCAGATACTCAAATGCTGATGTAGCCTGATATATAATGGAAAACTCTACCAAAATCTCAAATGGCATTACAGGTAACTGAGACATTAAGTTATTCTGTTTGTTGACATTCATCACTGTGGCATAGTAGCCTCTCTAGGTTTTCATGAGAGCACATTTTTCTCTTACTGCAAATCTTACATGACACTCAGGTAATCATACTGATGTCCAGCTCTCACAAACCATATGATGCTCCAGATTCTATAGCAACAGTCTTAGGAATAATCTATAGGAGTCTCTCTCTGCTCCCAAAATCTTTGATATTAAGAGTGATGAGGCAGTCAGAATGATCTGAATATGCACTAAACAAGAATTGCCACTTTGTAAAACATCCTCAATGGGGAGTTAGTCTTCTATGCTTCTTTAGCCAATGCTTAAAGTCTCTTACAATTTCAAGGGTAACACCATACAGAAAAGCTCAGAGGAAAATATTTGCTATGACAACAGTGTGTAAAAATTATTGGGTAAGAAGATGATGCAAGAATTTATTTGGAAATGGCATGGTACAGGATTTTGCAAAAGCTGAAACACAGAAAAACAAAAGGATAAAGTGCACAAAGATAACTAGAAAAGGATAAAGTGCACACACAAAAATACATTGAGGGTGTAATATGAATGAACCATGGACAAAAGATTTTGCCTCACTGCATCTGCAGTCAGACCATCTGGGCAAGCTAATATGAAATGAAAGACAAGATACAGAGGTGCAGGTAAGGGCCAGGGACTAACAATACAGAGTTTAGTAAAAGTCTTAATATAAGCAAATGGAGTATTTTCTTATTTTATCTGCCTTCAAAAAAGATAACAAATCTTATCATACTTCCTCTGAAAGGACTTAACTGTAAAAAAACCTAGATGATGGTACCCTAACTATAAAAAAGATTTCGCAAGAATTTGCAGAATTTTACATAGTTTATAAGACCATATATTTCACTGAAACTGGTGCCAAAGTAGTAAGCGACTTAGTTGTGTTCGAATTCTTTTTTTCGTAATTTGATGCAGTTATTTTACCATGAGACTCTAAACAGACTTACAACAGAACTGTCTTTACAAAGACCTACAACTTAACAAATGTGACCTACAGTGAACTTGCATCTAAAAATAATGAAAAATAACTACAGCAGAGAAGCCAGCTAAAGTGACTCACTGTGTTCTGTACAGCATTAGTGATAGCTGACAACATGCTGCGAGATCCAGATGAAGGAATATTCTCAGAAGAGCTTTGGTCCAGAGAATCTTCTGCTTCTAACAAAAGAAAATAAGAAAGCTACAGCATACTTCCAACTGTACAAGTCAAAAATTACAGCAAACTGGATTCTGTGATCAAATTCTTAAAATTTTATAAATTGGACTAATTTGGCAGTGTCAAAGAGTTTTGTTCAATCTCAGTGAACTCAAGCTTACGTATAATTAGTGTTTCAGCTGCAGGAGGCTCTGCTGTTTCCGAAGATGTAGAACTTGTGTTATGAATTCCTAGGGTAGTTCCTGCTTTTTCCTTCACTGCTGTTATGCCATGACCTGCACCAGAACCGTATTTTAGATTATATGATTTGAAAACTTATTATGAACAGTCCATAGTAATCTTATACTCCACGAATAATGACAATCAGAATAACTATTAAACTTACCTCAACTGCTTATTTTTTTTCTTGGTTAACAATTCACTTGTTCTACTACATCCAGTATATTTACTCACTAGAAATTATAAAGCTAAAATATACAAATGACACTGGATCTGAAATGTGAAACCTGTTTCAGTGGCACACAAAAGTTTAGTTACCTGCTTTTCAAAATGCTAAATATTCTATTACAATCAGTTTAAACAGAAATTGATGGTTCTCCTAATGCCATAGGGTTTGGTCTCATCTAGTTTTCAGATGTCTAGAACAATTAACCCAGAACTAATGGACTGTGGATGACTGCAGGGCTGAGGTAAGAGAACTGTTCTTTAGTGCTGCATAGGTGCTATGTTAGGTAGGTATTTTGGGAATACTGACGAAGTCCTCAAAGTTATTTCAGGATATAAGCTACTCAGTTGCTCACCTGAAGTCAAATTCTGAAGTGTGTCTCCTCAAAGGTGCTATTTAAATATACTTTGTTAAATCTGTTGGTGTCAGATGACACAGACAGAATTATTGTTTCAGTGGCAGGTGATCTACAGAGATTTTACCACCTTTACCTGACACATACGTAGTGACTCCCTAACTCTATGTTCTGTTAAATGTAAATAATATTTTAATGTAAAGAATATGTGTTATTAGTGTTTTTATCTGAATAATTTTGACAGAATGGGATTGCTTTGCTGCTTTGTCTATACAGAGTTTATTTACACTAGCAGGTCACATGGACTGGTAATATCCTGCTATAGGATAGAGGGGGATTGCCTGGTAGTCAGCAAAAGCTTCCTAATCTGTATCAGCTGTAGTTGAAAACCACTGCCCTTAAAATAGACTACCCTCAAATTGTCTGCCTATTCTGCTTCTGGATATATCCACAAGTATGTTCATGATATGCTTCTCTCATCACAAATAAGGTAGCACATCTTCTTTACCTAGAAGTTTCTGCACACCAGCTGAGATGCAATAAATAAACAACCAACCAGGTGAGCAATACTTCTTTCCAACACAAAATGAAATGGCTTCAGTGACTCTATTTGAATTTTTCTTGCACAGTACACCATTTACATCTCACATGAAGCTCATAACTAGTAGTAAGAAAATACTGGGTGCTTTAACTATCTGCCTAACTATTTATGAGAGTATTAATGACAATTTCATACTTCTTTGCTTTGTTACATGAAAACTGAACTGTAAATAGATAAATGATTTCAGAAAAGACATTCATACAGATGCAGAGGCAGATACCTAGATATCTAAGGCATAACAATTAACTAAACATGGTCCATACTTTCCCACAATTGTGTGCACTTTGTATTAGAGAAGTTCAAAGCATCTTTTCTATTAACTACAGCAAAATAGCCTATAATTTGCCAGCGCTCTGCAGTGTTCTGAATAAACATATACATATGTATGTGTGTGTGTAGTCATACAAATATACTTTTGAACACCTCATTAAAGAAACATGCAGCAGAACTATGTGAACTGGAGTAGGAAGAAGGAAGGCTTAGATTTATAATTCTATGATTTCCAGATGGGTTGCACATCAGGTGCTCTGTGGATTCAGTAATAAATATACTCTAGAAAACATATGTGAAGCAGCACTACTGAAGGATCACATACAAGAAAACTGGAGTATCTGGAGCTAAACAAAAAGAACAGATATCTCCTAAGAACAGTACAAGTAATTTTCTATATGAGAGCATAAGCTGCATGGGCTCCTGATGTGTTACACCAAAACAGAGAGACCGGGCAGGTAAATGCTTTTATGTGTCTAAAGAAAATATGACCTTTGTTTATTGTATTTCATGTCTTACAAAAAGTAGCAGTATGTCCATCTGTACAGGATATACCATTTTGCAAAACCTGTTCCAACACAGACACTGGAAAGCAGCATACTACTTTGTCTAATCCCAATCTCCTGCTCATTTTAATTGGTTTGATGAAAATAATAGCATGAATAGATTCTGGAGTCACTTAGTTACTGTACAGATTCCCAGGACTCACTTAAATAAGGCAGCATTTTCAGGGCATAGTTACATGCACTAGAATGATAAGAAAGTATTTCAGGTCAGCTAGGAGTGGTTTCGCTGAACTAAGCTGTATGTAGCACGTATGTTTGACTACAACAACAAAACCAGACGAGATCAGAAGACCACAACTGAGCCACATCAACACTGCTAGATACACGTACATGCACAAACATGACAGAAGCACATGTTGCTTTGGAAATGAAAAGGATTATTTGTAATTTCAAAAGTCACAGAAATAAAAGAAGTTATGGGAGATGAGCCTACATATTAAAGGTGCATTGGTTCTGTTAAACTGGATGTGGTAATGCACTGAGCTGACATTGTAAATTTAGAACACCTCTGATGCCTCTATTTACTCATCTCTAACAGCAGAGATATAAGGGCTATGCAGTGGGTATTGTTAACTGGATGCTTTCTGAAGAAAGCATGCTTTTTTCCTGTCTTCTTGCTTTTGGTTTTCTTGCCTACATGATTTCTTTTCTTTCTATTGGCTGGCAATTTCAGCAGAATATTGTTGTTCATCTTGCTATCTGGAAACTTTCATTTGAAAAGGAAGGTTTTGCAAGCAGTGCCTAAAAATGTGGCCTGCCTTTGAGTTTGCCTGATCTGCCCAAGGCCTGATTATAGTGCTCACAAATGCTTTAGTCATACATCCCACTTCACTTCAGGCTCTCTTATCTTCTACCCCCCAGTTTAGTAGTTTCGGATTCTCTGCAGAGCTGAAAGAAGCCAAAAGACACCTCTGAAGAGCAGTTCAGCACATCTGAAATCTAAATCATTCACTGTCCCTTGTCAAATATGCCCAGGCAACTGGACTCCCCACTTCAGTGGTACAGATAAGGAGGAAATATTTGAGATTTTTGTCCCTGGCTACCACACAGTCTTTGTCACCTGTGTTATACCCTGGGGCATTTCTGATGAACAACTGATCAAAACTTAGCCTAGTAAGATGAATGAAGCTTCATCTGGTTCAAGCTAAAGATGAAGATCGAAGCCTTGGCATCTGACACTGAATGAGAAACTGAGGAACCTGAAGATGGCTGGAGGGAATCATTTCCCTATATAAAGTATAGGTTTGTTGAAAAGTCAGGTGTCCTCTGGTTTTGTACGCTAAAAAAGTGGTACCCCATTGTGCTCACTTTGAGGCTATCCTACATGCACTCCATTCATTTCAAGGCTTTAGAAAATTCTCCTCCTTGTAGTTAAAACAAAAACACAGGCTAGATTCTGATAATATGTATGCTGTCCAGTCCGTAAATCAGGATTAAGTCCAATTAAGCTAGTCAATGTGCCTACCCTCATATCTCTTTATTGAAATGGTAAAAGGTTTTAATAATAGTAATAGGCATAAAGGATGCTACACAGATTATTGGTTCTCCACCTCTTCTGAACCATAAGCCCATGTTAAAAGACATAAAGAAAGCAAATGGGACTGCCATCCCTAAAAGCATGTCCACAATTCCTCCCATCTGTTACTTGCTTTCAGTATTCTTAAAAAAGAACTGTGAAAAAAGGGTTTGCTGCTACAGCCGTTGTAAAGTGTTATTTACAAAACAGTTGACAGACCACCATGTGTATTCAGGCCCAAAACCAGTTTTCCCTTAATCAGCTGATTTTATTTAAAAAGTCTTCTGAAGAGATTAACTGTCGTTTTTATGACCACATAAAGGTACAAGCATAACAGCCAGCCTTCGTTTTTTTTAATGTTGTTCTTTATTTCACAACAGGGAACAGTATCTAAAAAATGGAAAAGATATGCACAACATTTCAATACTTTAGTTTCACATTATCTAAAGCATTTGCACTTCCGTTCCACACAGACTTCAATTTAAGCTATGCAATGCTGATTATTACACATATCCATGTGTAATAATACCCAAGCTCATGAACACAGTGACATCACAAGCGACACTTCGTTCTGTTATACTGTGACAAGAAAAGGTTTTCAGCATACCAGGGAGAACTATGGGTGTCTGATATTTTTGTGTGCCATTCTACTAGGTGAAGAACTAGATGAGGAATATATACAAGCATAAAATAAGATAGCAGAATATTAATTACAAGCACTGCATGAGAGATGCATTAAGCAGCCTTATAGTATGAATTTCAGAGACCATGTAAATTAAACAGCTGGGTTCTATTTTTGTTACTTTTATTGTATAAGGGGTATTGACAAATGTTAGTCTTACCACTGGCACTAGAAGTTTAAAAACCCAAACTAACCTGGTATGAAGCACATGCATACAGCATGGTAGAGAACAGAATTTGCTTGGAAATGCAGCTTGCTGGGCGTCATAACTTAAGCACCTTATGAACACCATAATTCACCCATACAAAACAAGTGTATGAAAGGCAAGGTTTGTAGGAGAAGGTAGTAAGTCTCATTAAGCGAGCACATAGCTTAGTCAAAAAAAAACCCAAACCAAAACAGGCAAGCTTTCAAGCATACAAGCTGTTTTTAAAAATGGAAGTCATAAGGTTCAAGTACAGCCTGAGAATATATTTTGCCTCACTTAAACCCAGGGGATAAAAGGTTTGCTGTTATAGCTAAACTGACCTAATGGCTTCTGGGTGCTGGTGTGGGAGGTTCTGCTCCTTCCATGTTCCATATCTGTCCCTTTTGCTTGCCTGGGCACTTATTTCAGTGAGTTGGTTCAAGGAACTGAAGAGGCAGAAAATGCATTTTTCTTTCCTCCAAAGTAATTCTTATGTCAATTTAGCTTCCTGAATGGATTACCAGGAGCTCAGCAGAGCATGCGCACTGGCATAGAGACGAAGAAGAAACATACAAGGAAAAGAGAGGTGCAGGACTGTACATTTCAGTGGCTATCTAGCCACAGATTGACTTAGCTGCAATGGAACCCACTGTTAGAGCAGAGTTTTATCAACACTGTTACTAAAAGACTGGATGGTGTAATTGCTGATTTACTGCAAAATACATTTTAGAAGAAAAGGGTAAAATGGTGGCAATAAGTGCAACAAGTTGTGTCCTTAAATCACAGTGAGCCTACTCCCATCTCATCATCCCAGCAACTATTTCAGTGGATCTACTCCACTGTGGTTCTACCGTGGGGGGAAACCAAACTTCCTGCATCTTTTAAAAACAAAAGAAAACTCTTCACCTCATTAATGAGGCAGATTCAATAGCTTTCTTAGTGTGACATCTAGTGTCAGACACTAAAAATGGTTCAGGCAATGACTGCTACTAATTCAAAGGCATTATATATTCTGTTGTGTAGAGGAGTATCACATCTGCCTTGTGCCGGGGACCTTGATACAAATAATGTCAAAATCAGCTTGAAGACAACAGACATCTTCTTTAGAATACAAAACCATTGCCAAAACAATCACTGGCTACAGGTGCAGAGTTAGTTAAAGAGAGGTAAAATACAAATTATATGGAAACTTATTATTAGAAACTAAAATCAGCTATGCTAAACAAATTATAGTCATGCAGTAAAAATACTAATCTGTTTGGGAGCCCCTAACCAGGAATTGAAGGATAATGAAACCGAGATCCCTGGAACAACTATTTCAGCTCGGTCTTCAAGAGAAAGGAATGTAAGAAGGAAGAACGGTCATTCACTGCAACAATCTCCCCAGAGATGTGGCAGAGTCCCCACCGCTGGAGGTTTTCAAGATGTGACTGGACAAAGTACTAGATAATCTCATCTAGGTGCTGCTTCCCACAAAAGCCTGGACTAGATGATCTTTTGAGGTTCCTTTCAGCTGGGCTTTTCTATGATACTATTTGTTAAAAGCTGAATATACTTGGTTAGGCCTTTAGGATGCTTTCTAGTCCTCAGACTGCTTCTTCTATTTTTACAGAGTATAATTTTGAAGAAAAATACAAGGAATGGTATGTATTTGTCATACTTAACCAAAGAAGCACCTGTGTTGTACAAAGATAACCACAGAGCAACAGAAAAGTCACACACTGAAGGTGTTGCTGATAAGTCTGATTCCAAGAAAGCAGGTTTACTTATACTATTTGCTACACTGAAGGAATAAGCAACATTAAAATAGACTGGATCGTGGCAAACCTATTTTCTGATGTAGAATAGGAGATGAAGCATTGGTTGAACTGCTCAGATATTAAATGGAGTAACTTGAATGAGAATAATAAATATTTAATTAAAAGAAGAAAACTTATAGAAATTCCCAATAGCTTTATTTATTTTTCCTTCTATATCTCACTAGGAATTATCATACTGAAGCAGATATACACTATACACAGTCCCACATCCTGTCTATGACAGTGACTGACAGTAAATACTTCACAGAATCAAGGACGAATTTCCATAACAAACAACCAGGAAATAAGTCCTCTATATCAGGAATATAAACTACTATCTGCTGCATTGATTTCCTGGAACAAATCTAAGATTATCTATTCAGTCTTCAAAATTACCTTGGGTTTTGTGAACAAGGAACAATGTACATTTGATTTCTGCTTAATTCATAGTCTGTTTTATTTAATAAATTCACAGAGAAAAGTTAGATCCAAATTTATTAAGTAATATGGGAACTCCACCCTACCCTGATCCCAGGGTCAGGAAGTCTAAGTTATAGATTCCAGGAAATGGGAAGAGAAAACAGGGGAAGTACTGCTTTACATACACCTGGTTTTACGCTCTTTCCGCGTTGCTCTTGGTCACTGCCAGAAACTAGTCGGTAGATGGGTCTTTAGTGTGACATGCTACAACTTTTTCCATGTAAAAACAAAATTATTTTAAAATTTTCTTTTTCCTTCTCTGCATGTGGATGCTCCTTTGCCTAGGCAACTTGACCTGTTTCAACTGTGTTCATTTTTAAATAATAAAAATTCTAAAGATATATATACATGGTGATGGTATGCCTATTCAAAATAGACAACACCACACAACCTTATCAAGCCAGTGTGCCTAGACAGAAAACTCGTTAGCATATCTGCACTCTGTGAAGGTAATGATGCTGATACAGTCAGATTATTTGTTAAGAAGCCAGTATCAATTCAGCATGAATTTTTAATGTATATGAACCAATATGTTATATGGCCTATATAAAAATCAGATCGTATCATTAAGAAGTCCATGGAAATCCACAGAGATACAATGTTCACAGCAGGTTTTATAGACAAAAGCAACAAACAGCTGCAAAAAGCTATGTTTTGTTTACTTATTAGACAGTAAGAAGGGATACAACACACATTCTTGTTTGTCTCCCAAACTTCTTCCAACAGCATTCATCATTTTCAGGCAAGCTCAGGTCAGCTGGGCAAGAAAATATCTATGGCCATACTGCTCCACAGAAAACGTATACACATTGTGACACTAAACTGATTGCTCAGGGAGGCCCAGACCTCTAAGCAACAGAAGACTGTGAGAATGCCACTGCAAGCCCGCATGAACAGTAACTGTTTGGTAACAAATAATCTTATTACTCACGCACAACATTAGAATGGCTATTTGCTAGAATACTATTTATTGCAAAAGCTAAACATAATATAAATATGGCTATCTCACAGGCAACAACTAAATGACCTGAAAGAACTCTGTTCCAAGAAACTCACTGTGTAGAGGCAACTATAAAAATGAACTGAAGAATTCATCAGCATTGCAATTCCAATTGATCAACAGTAAAATTACTTCTGTGCCCATATATTTTATTCTTCAGTTATTGACACTAAGACAAATTCTTTCCAGAATGCTGTGATGTTGGTCTGAGAATGTAAGGGAGGCAAGGCTTGTGGAAGTTTGTGAAAGCAGTACCCTTTATTAGACCTACTCATAGCGTGGGGAAAAAAATGGGTAAAATTTTCGACACAGAGGCCCTTCTTCAAGTCTGAAAGAGAAGTGCTAAGCTTTAAGGTTAAATACAAATTGAGAACATTTATGCAGTTCCACAGCTAGTTAAGCTGCCCTTGTCCCCATCAGCATATTCCATGTGTTCCCATCATTTCCCATTCAGTAGCATTTGGGTGATCAAATGGTGAGCTAGATTAAGGAATTCACAAACTGATCTAGCTGAAGATTCACCTCTTATTTCATTTGTACTTTTCAAAACCAGTCCCATAAAACAGCTCCCCAAATCACTACATGAAGGCTACCATTAGCATAAGAGAAGGAATAAATAGATCGCTGGGACTGGAGAGGCCCACTCCTTTCAGTGGCAACCTTCACTTATATCAATTTAAAGACTTCTTAAAAACCCATTCTGAGTTTAATTAAATATGTTAATTGGCTGGACTGTCTGAAAGAAAAGGCAGTTATGAACTCCTGAGTGTAGGCATTACTGAAAAAAAGAGGGGACAGGGGAAGTTCCCTCCTTCTCTGAGTAATACACAGAAATTATTGCCCATAGAATAGAGGAGGATAAGAAGGAGAATTATTTAGCCTTATAAAACCAGTATCTCTGTTGAATCCATTATTTTTGGAAACTAGCAATTAATTTTAATTCCGAGGTTCATCTTTTGAATGTATTTTGTGGATCCCTTATGAGAACTGATTAGTTAACAGCTTACTACAGTTTTATGAGACATGCTTTCCCACTGGTTACTAGGTATTTCATGCTTCACTTTCCGTCTGTGAGTTTTCTATGTGTAATGATTAAGTTTTACCTATAGTCTTCACAAGGACATTTGTAGTGACATAGTATTGGAAATGAGAGTATAGGGAGAGGGAGTATAGGGTCCATGTTTCAATATGTTGTTCTACTCTCTAAAGTCTGGTTTTGCTAAGTGTCAGTGGAAAGCTGGAATGATTTACAATAAATTAATTCATATTGTATAGATAGAAGTCATGGTGTATAAATCAAAAACATGCATGTGTACAAATCTGGGGTGGAGTGCTTTGATTTCCAAACCCATAAGCCTTCGGCTGATAGTAATTGTATCAGATTATGTATCCTTTCTGTGAAGAAGACACAATGAGGTAACTCAGTAACTTTACAAACAAGCCTAATACTTTGTCCATAATCTGACTCAAAGAAATATTTCTGTGCTTCAACAGTTTAGGGAGGTCATTCCTATTAAAAAAAATCATGCTTGCCAAGCATATCAGGACAAAACTGCCTATGAATCTTTAAGATACAACATTAGTATGTCCAATAACGCATTAAAATTACAATTTATTTCTATATATTTTACTGACTGAACACTTACCCACTGTGGCAGAAGCTGATGACAGGAGAGACTTTCCCCACGTACCCCAAGCTCCCCATCTACTTGCTTTAGATGAGGAGTCTGTGGCCTGCAAGAACAAAAATATTACTCCACTGTCTAAAATTCATGTTTTCCAAAGGCAGGAGGAAACACAAAGTACCTGTCAGGCAACAAAGTCCACCGTTTAATAAATGATGATAGATTGGGTATTACATGGTATTCAAGCTTCTGTGCACAAGAAAGCAGAATGTGAAGCTTATTTCAGATCACCTATTTGTGAAAGCACCTAAGACCTCTAGAGATGTCTTTACAGATGTCCTAATATTCCTTCAGGTACCCAGTCCTACAAAGCCACACAAGTTTATTAGGGCTATTATTAGGGAGAGGCAGGAACCTGTCTCCTTCCCGAGTTCTACCAGAAGCCAGAGTTAAAGGCTTCTCTGCCTGAGTCTCCTCAGAGATGTAACCCAGTAGATGTGCACAGGGAACTCCTAACAACTGTACAATAAAAACAAAGCCAGAGGAAGTGCTGCTGACCTTTACATTAATGTGTGGTAGTAAGAGATAATCAGTATTCCACATTTAAATCGTATTAAGAAACTGTTGTCTCAAGAAAGTCTCCAGTAACATATCATCCCACCACAATCAACTCAAAAACAAAAGCTGAAGTATCCCAAGACAGTTCTGCATTGTGCAGTGTACAGACCTCTGTGGAGAGGATCACTAGTAGAAGGAATAAAACAACGTGTTTTAACCTTTTCCAACTTGAGGATGCCTAAACATTTTTTAGTGGAGATGACATCTTTAGCTATGTCACGTGTATTGGATTTGGATACTGTATAGACTATAAAACCCCTTGGTTTTCTTAGTTTTCTTTTATTAACTTCTTGCAGTTACTCACAGGACTCCCAGAGGTCTGTGGATCACAAATCAAAAACTACTGGCCTAGAACAAATCAAAAACTACTGGCTGTTTCACCAAGCCTGGTGAAACATACTGTGTTTTCGTAAAGTCAATGACTTGAAAATTAGCAAGTATAAGATTCAGTGCTGCATATGCATCTTAAATTCTGTCCTTTTCTAGGTTCATTCTGTGAACTGAATGAAGCAGATTTGTACAGAAAGCCAGATACAAAAATCACAGGAGTATTGTATCTATACAAAATTGACTAGATTCTTAGTAAGATTTAGGATCTGGTATAGTTTCACTGCAACCAGGCTAGAAAGACCAAATACCTTACTGGCAAAGACAAATTCCACTATTCCTCTTATTCAAAAGCTTGGTGTCGCAATTTAACTTATTTTATTCCCATGCAGGCTTTCTGTATATAACTCCTTAGGCTTTTGTGAAAAAGTTATGTACATTGTACAAAATTCCATCCTTACAAAGCAGGGAGGGGAGGGCTTTTATAGAAAAGAAAGTATTACTTACTGGACTGCTTTGTTCATGCTGTGTTTCATGAGATTCAGGTTCTGCATCAAGGCTTACGGTCTCATTACACTCAGTGGGCATATCTTCAGTTGCCTCTCCATTGGAAGGCAGACTTTCAATTATTTTTTCAGTCAAAGGGTTTTCACTACTAAATATGTCTACTTCCTGTTTATTACTGGCACTCTGAGTGGCCTGTCCATGTTCATCTTGTGAAGACTCATGCAAGATCTCAGCTTCCACGAGGTGTGGTACTGACTCATGAGGCAATACCTCATTGCTGGGCATTTCCATTACTTCAGATTTTTCTTCAGATGGGATGCCGTCATAAACATCTTCAGACATTTTCAATTCTGAATATTGAAAATAAATTAGATCTTTTAGGTTCCATAAACATTTGAATGACTATAAAATATGCAGTGTTTACCATCAGCTATTGCTGAAAAACAACACAGCTTTGATGTAAGGCCTCCTGAAGCATGGAGCCCTGTGGCACATGCATCATACCAGCACTGGTATCACGATGGTACTCTGAATACTATATTCACCTTGCATGATCTCATTCAAGTACAAAGAGCAGCATTACTGTTTTCTAAAATACACTTTGGTGAAGGAGAAAGGATGTTCATTTGTCTGAAGAAGTCAAATACGAGCTTCCACATGGTTAATTCCTACATTCCCTATCAGATGTGTATGAAAGGCCACTGGAGAACAGGATAATCTGAGCTGGAACAGTCAAGCAGCTCTTGCTCTCTTTCTTCTTTCCAGATACACAGGTTCCTATAGCCTGCTGACTGATGGAGAAGAGGATGACAAACACAGTGTGACTAAAACTGTGGTGATATTTATGTGTTGGAGAAGGTGCATAATTTGAGAACATGACAGGCATTTCACAGACAGGAAGCATTCATTGTTCACACCATTTCTGCATCACTTGTCTCAAAGGCTTAATCTTTGCGGGGGTGCAATGTTTCTCACATGCTCCTAAAATTCCAGCTGTGTGATTAAACTTCAGTTTTGAAGTCAAAGTAAGCTTGCATAAGATACAGTTATTGATTTTCTTTTTGGTACATTACGAATCAGTTTTCTGTTATTTACTCATCTTCCAATGTAACTTTCTTTTTCTAAGTATTTTCCACTGCTGTGCAGTCATCAGGCTAAGGATCCAGGAAGGGAAATAAATGGCCATTGAGCGCGCTCTGCAGCTGATTAAGGAGCAGCACTGGCAGAGTCCAAAAGGATTACGGTACAGTGATTAATACCACTTACTTGTTGGCAACAACAGTATGCATGGCACTCTGATCAGATGGCAACCCTTGACAGAGTTGTCATTACAAGCTCTTGACTATATGCTGAGTTGCGTGGCATAAAATAAACTCACAAAGTTCTCTCCATAGATGTTGTCTTTTCATTGACTCCCATATTAATTAAATATGGTTTAAAGCTTTGTACCTGTTAAGAAGGACTGAGGTTTTAAGAGATTGAAGAACAGAGAAAGAAAAGGCAAAAAAGGAAAATGTAACTGTGATTTAGGAGAGAACTGCCTGAGAAGCATGTATTTAAATTAGTATATTTTATTAAAGACTCATGTACATCTGTGGCTTTAGTAGCTTCTTTATCTACCTTGAATGTAGATCAGCTGTTTGAACAATTCTAAGAATAGCATTTGGAATCAGTGAAACATAATATAAGAAACATAAATAACATAAGAAACATAAATAAATAAGCACTTGGTACCACTAATATTACACTTTAGCTTATGCTATAACAATTATCTTTAGAAAACATGCATTTACAAGTCAGAATCTTTGCATTTGACACAAGTATTTAAGAGTTTTCCATTAGAAATACAGCAAATATTAGAAATGCTTTAGTGTTAAGTAAATATCCACATTAACAATACTCACTGTGACGGGCAGCATCACCTAAAGAAAATTTTTGTATTTGTAAACCAAACTCCACTGCCACATATGAGGATCGTCTAGAAAACCTGCAAAATCTGTACACACATGCATCGCAATTTTGCACGGGGATTAGATCTGCATGAGAAAATGCCCAACACCAGGACAACTGTTCAAGGATCACACGTACACGTGCACATGAATTTTGGCGGGGCTGGGTCATCTTTGGGAGCCGCTCGGGCCAAGGTCCCTGCAGCTGTCAGCTCAACCTTCCTCACAGGGGCAAAACACGTAACTGCGAATCACCCCAGGCCAGAGGCCACGGGCCGGGCCTGACGCGGGGCTGAGGCGTCCTTCGAGCCGTCGGGCGTGAGACTGTCCGGATCGCATCGGCCCCGGCACCTCCGCCCGGAGGGGGTTCCTCTCCACAGAGCGCTCAGGGTGGCACCTGCCGGCCCGCCGCCTGAGGAGGCAGAAGGGGTAAATCCGGCAACGCTGATGCGATAACGTTCTGACTGAGGCATTTTAAGTATGAATGTCTAGTCACTGAGCTGGCGTCAACTTTCATTTTTTCGTGTAGAAAGTTTAATCCTTCCTCAGCGAGCTGCAGCTAACCACCTACTGAAGCGTGGGGCTGCGGAATTAACTGAGTAGCTTTTCAGATGCCATTTTGCACCTTCGCTCTATCTGTGTTTACAGGAAATGCCGCTTAAAGAAAGTAAGAGGTGTGCACACACATTTCTTGTAAGTTAGTGTCAGCACTGGGCTCCCGCAATCACACGAGAAATACTTGGTTTAACAAGTGAATTGCAGGCTCTTGCCCAACAACCTGTGGTTTTTGTCTAATTCCTCATACCCTTTCCTCTTTTTGCTGCTTCATTTTAAGGCGAAGCATGCCCTTTAACTGTGATAAAAGGCACTTCCCCAATTCATCGTAGCATCATCACCAGTCTTCCTTTGCCGAAGAAATACTGTTGCCACAGGAAGCAAAATAAATCAGGTTGTGAATTACTGAGGAGAGCTGCTATGGGAAGTCACAAAATAAAGCCCCGGTTCTCGGAAGTGTGCTTCACAAATACAGATCGTGTTATGTGACTTACACGCTTATCAGGCAAAGGTCTCCCATTAAGGTAGGTGGTAGCAGAACAAATGTTTGTATCATTAAAAAGTTTATTTTGAAGGCATTTCAATGACAATTTAAATATCAGGGCATGCTGATAGTTCTAGCATCTTTTAGGTTAATTTATTAATGTTTAGATGTATTCGTTGAAAATGAAATCTAGAGTGGCCCTAAGGATTTCTCTCTGCTTTTCAGTGGAGCTTGTGGAAGAGTAAGGGTGGTGTCTTAGGAGGAATCACAATAGATGAATATCAATAGCTGGAGATTGGGTTTCCCCATGATGGGTGGTAATTTTGACTGTAGAGTGGATCTTACACTGTCAGTTTTGCAGATTCTGTACAAGGCCATGTGTGTTTTAGAACTGCAAGACAGTATTAATAACTACTGTTATTACTTCAGAATAACATTAACATAAGTGCGTAAATGTGTATGTCTGTCTATTGGGATAGAACGGTGTATTTGTTTCCCAGGTTTCTAAATTACTTTCTTGAATTTAACATTTGCATTTTCTATTTTTTTTTTCACTTTTCAGTAATTAATTTCACTTCTATTTTCTCGCTATAGTAATATTGCAAATGGGTTTGGAATGAATGGGCAACAGAGATTGAACACTTCTCATCTCAGATTTCACTGGCTTGGTATTACTCTGAGTGTTGTCATCTTCTAATGGGTTTCAGAAAAGATACTTGCCTTTCAATAAATAGATAAAGAAAAGATGGAAGGAAACAACTACATTTGGCTACTTCTAACAAAACACAGAAGTATGCATAACATTTGAGGAATATACTCATCCTCTTCCAGTGATTGCACTGGTAAACCTGAGTGGTAAATATGAGAGCTAATGGCATGCAATTAATGGTAATGGTAATGGTAAATTTGCTGTTTAACATATGCTTTTTCTTTCTTTATAGTACATGGGAAGAACTGGAGACCTCAGACTATGCCAGTGACCTGCTCATACTGTTGCTAAATTAACTCGTGAATAAGCGTCTCTGATTTATGGCAGTTATTGGATGTTAACCAAACATACATCTGGTTCTGTATTCATCAGAGTAATAGGTGGGTTATATTCAAGCAGTGAAACTGTTATATTCCAAAACAGGAGTGAATGTTTGGTGGAAGCAATACTTACCATAGTATTTTACCTCATGCTATGGATGGATAGCAAAAACTTTCCAGCGAAGGGCAGACAATGGTGAGGTTTGTATGTAACAACATTATAAGGTGTTATTTGGAAACCAGCTGTGAATACTCATCTGTATTGCCAGAAATGGAGAAAGAATCATAGAATGATAGAGAATCATAGCACCACAAGGCTCATTGACATAACAGCAGACAATATGAATTGTCCATATTCTGTCGCTTACTACTACTACCTGTCCTATCTTTCCCTTCCTTTTTTGGATGACCTCTGTTCACTTGAAGCTGAGAAATGAAATATTATGTACTGAATAAATTTAAAGTGAAAAAGTAATTTTTAGGATAATATCCTCTGCTTCCTGAATCATTGAAATGTTAAATCATTAATAGATTATTGTATGCTAACCCAGAAAGGTAGGTTGTAATGTGGCAGTTCTGCATTTAGATCTCAGCTAAGACGGAATTTCTGACTAACATTGTACAGAAATAAAGAGGGACCGGTTTATGTCTTTGCCAGGACAATAACCCAAGTGTTTGGGCATTCAGTACCAAAGTGGAAGTCACTGCTCTTGTTTTAATTAAAAAAAAAAAAAAAAAAAAAAAAAAAAAACTGCTGGAACAGGAGAGAGAGATTATTTTTCTATTCCCATTAAATAGAAATTAAAATAAGACGAAGAGTACTTTTATAAACCAGCCTTGATACCAACTTGACAACTAAATTGGTATAGCTAAATGGAAAAAAAATGATCAGAATAATGTGTACAGACTTAGATCATTATTAAGCTCAGAGAGGATAATGTTTGAATTTCAGTGTAAAACTTGCTCAGAAGAAGAACTTATTTTCACATTAATTTGATGAAGCAGAAAGTTGGTAAAAAGATTAATTCTTTTCCCCAGCTTAATCCATTGCAAAGCATTAAAACACATAGTTCAATAATCATTAAATAGTGGGGAAATTACAGTAATGTTGTATGTGGAAAATACATCTGAGAGGAAAGCAATGTCATTTCATAAACTGTCAGTAGATGGCACAAACATTTATATAAAAAGTTTGGGCGTTCCTAAGTATTCTCATACAGTAGGATAGAGTTACAGGAAGTTTTCTTTTTGTCTTTTCCTGAGTACATTTTCTGCTTTTTCGGAGAGCAGGGATTGCTGGTGAGAAACTTTGTTTTATTGATTTTGCGTGGTTGTTACTTAGTGAAAACTTTTATATACTGTGTCTTATTTGAAAACGAGACATGTTTTCTGTAGAGGGTTTTTAGCAAGTGTATGGTGTACTTTCGAGTGTATGGGTAAGAAATGAGAGTAAAGTTGCTTATGTTCAGGAAATTTATCCAAAGAAGGTGACCAAATAGCAGTCTCTTTGTATTAGCACTACTCCCATAGTGAAGGGAGTCACAGTGATTTAATGGAGGTAGTTTCTCTACAGTTCAGGAATGTGTCTAATTTGATGATATGTTTCATCCATGTGAAAGACGTATTTTTAACGTTTTTTGTATTGTGCCGATAACTTGCGAAGCACATGCCTTAATACTGAACCATCATAGCTCAGTGCATTCTGTGCATTTCTTACATGAATGTTGAGTCAGTTTATACCAAATTTATATTGGAAAAACTCTTAAAACCTAAATTTTGATCTCTTCTCTTGCTCTTTAAACATTGGGACAATTTCTCACTATGATCTTGGTTTGCTCACTCTACTGCGTTGCTTCTCTGCTTGTATCTTGATAATGATCTTTTTGTCAAGTTTGAAGACCTGAGGATACTTCTGGATTAAAAGGGATATGACTATACAGGATAATTTCTTTAACTGTTGTTAGTTTTGTTGCTTCATAAGATATTCTAAATAAAGTTTGAAGATACTCATAAATAATTTGACTGAATGCCAGGATATAGGAATGAGAAAGAAGATTAAGCACATGGGGAAGAATTGTATCCTTCTTGCACGTAGTCCCTGGATCCAGGGATATTGCTGAAATTTTGTCCTAAGAAGACAATGATTTGAGATAATTATTTTTTTTTTCAGATTTCTCTTGAAGAAACATATTTTGTTTGATTATATACACATTAGTAGTGCTGCCCAAACAATTGAAAGAACAGGATAGAGGATGCTGATTATCTTTTGTTCTCTACACATACCCAAATGCCTTTTGAGGGCTATGATGATAAAACCACATATAATTTTTCCAAGTGAAAATCTGGAAAAAGGCTGGAAAAGTTTTGCCATATTGCCCCACTATTTCTAGATTATTTCCAAGCTTACTTTCATGCATTCTTTACAAAATAAGAACTTAGTGGACTGGTTTATTGTGGGTTTTTTTGTACAGTTGAGATTTTGTAATATTGGGTGTGTTAGTTCAAGGAGAATGGACATTTTAGACCCAGTTATGTAATTCTAAGAAAGCTTGTGGAATGGTTAATGGTACAGAGGATGTAGTCCTCAAGGGTGTAGCTTTAGTCCAATGAGTGACAGCTATTACTGTCTCATTGTAGAGTCACTAGAAGTATAAACTCACACTTTAGCCATTTCAATATCAAGGGAAAGTTGAAAGCCAGTGCAGTCATGAATAGGACTATGGAAAACATCAGACAACAACAACTACTATTTAAAAGTAAGGGGAGGAAGTGGGGAAGAATGTTCTGAGGAAACAAAAATATTTCAGAGATCTGGAAAACAACTTTAAGTCAAGATTTACACATATAAAATGTTACCTAAGTTCGCACCAGTTCCTCTTTCAGAAAGGCATTCTGATGCATTTATGGCAATATCTGAAATGAGATTTAAGTCAATAATCACAATGGCTGACTTACACAGAGGGAGGCTGCCTACCCTAAACTCCTACATCCAGAAAGAAAAAGTGTCCTTCATTAGGGACAGTAAAAGCAAAGCCACAGTTATGATTTTCTTTAAATTGTGTTTAAATAAACCTCTTTCATGACAGAGAAGTTAGTGTCCTTAGATCAGGGCTAGATATTGTGTACAGAGGTTCTACAACTGGTATTTTTTTCTGTAGCATGCAAATATTTTCAGTGAGTGTTTGGTGCTCTCTGTGTACACCTAAAAAATCAGACATGGGGACACCCCACTTTCAGAGTCTAAATTGAGGAGACGCTCAAGCCCAGACAAGAAGCGAACACTTCTGTGGACTTTCCCATAGCATTAATATAGAACGTCCTACTCTCCACGCTGGTCTCCCCAGCTAAAATAAGCACTAATGACCAGTCTCAGCTACCTAAAGACATTCAAATTTTGTATCACTCTCTTGAACCTCCATCCTGTGTGTTTCAGTCCAGGTTATATACTCATGAGTCTATTTAATGTCTCTGAGTCTAATTCATATCCTTCAAGAGAGAATCTGAGGAGAGGATGACCATACGGACCTCAGAATTGTACTCTTTGATCAAAGTGTATTATACGGTTGTGGGAAGTCCTCATAATACATTGGATCACAGCAGTAATTCTGTAAGTAAGCAGCAAATTTTAGTCACCTATGAAATTAGACATGTTTTGTAAGAAACAGACTCATTGTATATTAAATACAGTGTATTTCCCAAATAGAAATTTCAGTGGTAGTCTTTTAATAAAGAATGCCTCTCCTGAATAACAGTAGGTGTCTTCATTGCCTTTTGAGTCAAAGGGAGAGATGAGAAATTGGAGTCTTAAAAAAATCAGTCTCTATGATGTGTCCTGCATAGACATTTAGTGATAAAATCTGGTTTTGTTTTTCTTTGTTTTACTACAGGACTAGAACAAAGACGGACAGCTAAGAAAAGTATTGAGCATTTCCAAGGATCCAGAAACCAGTATGACAGAAAATATGAGATCTCTCAGAAACTTTTTTCTTTATAAGTGTCTGTTTGCATTAACATTTTGGAACCATGTCAGCCTGTCTGTGGAAAATGAACTCTTTACCTCTGTTTCTAACAATTTTCCGGAAGATGATTCTGACAAAAAAATCAAGAGCCTGCCACTCCTGTATACAAAAGGTCATCAGTCCAAAGCTAATTTTGACTGGGTTGTGATACAGAATACTACAGAAAGCCTATCATTGTCAGAAATCACAAATGACAATGTAAAAAAATTAGTAGCTTTATTATCTAATTTCAGGCGAGGCTCCAGGTTACAAAATCTGACACTGACGAATGTGTCAGTGGACTGGAATGCTCTTATGGAAATTTTTCAGACTGTATGGCACTCATCTATTGAATACTTCAGTATTAACAATGTAACACAATTGTCAGACATCAAAAGGTATGACTTTGACTATTCAGGTACTGCTATGAAAGCACTGACAATAACCAAAGTTTTAATCACAGATCTGTACTTCTTACAGGATGTTCTATACATAATATTTGCAGACATGAATATTGCAGCCTTGACAATAGCTGAATCAGAGATGATACATATGATGTGTCCTTCATCCAACAGTCCCTTCAAATACTTAAATTTTTTAAAGAATGATTTAACAGATTTACTTTTTCAAAACTGTGACAAATTAATTCAACTGGAGACATTAATCTTGCAGAAGAATAAATTAGAGCACCTTCACAAGGTAAGCTTCATGACCAGCCATATGAAATCGCTGAAATATTTGGACATGAGCAACAACTTGCTACATCACGATGCCGCTGATGTGCAATGCCAATGGGCTGAGTCTCTGACAGAGTTGGACCTGTCCTCAAATCAGCTGATGGATGCTGTGTTTGAGTGCTTGCCAGTCAACATCAAAAAGCTCTACCTGCAGAACAATCAGATCACCAGTGTCCCCAAGGAGATGGCTGAGCTGAAGTCCTTGGAAGAGCTGAACCTGGCATTGAACAGGCTGGCTGACCTGCCAGGGTGCGGTGGCTTTACGTCCTTGGAGTTCCTGAACGTAGAAATGAATTCGATCCTCACCCCATCTGCCGACTTCTTCCAGAGCTGCCCACGGGTCAGGGAGCTACAAGCCGGGCACAACCCATTCAAGTGTTCCTGTGAACTGCAAGACTTTATCCGTCTGGAGAGGCAGTCTGGGGGGAAGCTGTTTGGCTGGCCGGCGGTGTATGTGTGTGAGTACCCGGAAGACTTGCAGGGAACGCAGCTGAAGGACTTCCACCTGTCTGAACTGGCTTGCAACACGATGCTCTTGCTTGTGACAGCTCTGCTGCTGACGCTGGTGCTGGTGGCTGTTGTGGCCTTTCTGTGCATCTATCTGGATGTGCCGTGGTACGCGCGGATGACGGTGCAGTGGACGCAGATGAAGCGGAGAGCTTGGCACAACCACCCCGAAGAGCAGGAGACCGTTCTGCAGTTCCACGCGTTCATTTCCTACAGCGAGCGGGATGCGTTGTGGGTGAAGAACGAGCTGATCCCGAACCTGGAGAAGGGGGAGGGCTGTGTACAGCTGTGCCAGCACGAGAGAAACTTTGTCCCTGGCAAGAGCATTGTGGAGAACATCATTAACTGCATTGAGAAGAGCTACAAGTCGATCTTTGTGCTGTCTCCCAACTTTGTGCAGAGTGAGTGGTGTCACTATGAGCTCTACTTTGCCCATCACAAATTATTCACTGAGAATTCCAACAGTTTAATCCTCATTTTACTGGAGCCGATCCCTCCGTATATTATCCCTGCCAGGTATCACAAGCTGAAGGCTCTCATGGCAAAGCGAACCTACCTGGAGTGGCCGAAGGAGAGGAGCAAGCGTGCGCTTTTCTGGGCTAACCTGAGGGCAGCTATTAGCATAAACCTGCCAGTGCCTGATGGACAGAGGTGGGGGGAAATAGATTAAGAATCTTTCTAATGGAGTTTTTTCTGTTTTTTCTTGGTGAAGCAATAAATATTTTATGATTTACATTGGTTGTGAATGTATTTAACTTTTTGTTACAGAACCTTGTTTCTACATATTTGTCTCCTAACTGTAGGAAAAATTCAACTCACCTTAGTGGAAGTCTCTTGAGATTGATACAGAGATAGCAAGTCACAAACAAATTTGGATGTGGATTTTGAAATACAACTTGAAATACTGTAGTGAATTTTTCTCAGCAGAATAAAATCTGGAGCAGTTAATATAGTCATCTGAAAGAGTGCTTGTGTTGCTGGAGAGTTTGCAAGAGCTGCATTAATCAAAGATTAGGCAGCTTGGTCACAGGACCTCTTTTGCCAAAATTAGTTCGCAAGAAGGAATATTACACATCCTGAGAAGATGTCTAGAAGTCCAGGGATTGATATGATTCCTGGGTAGTGTTTTCTCAGATTCAGTGAAGCTTAGAAGGATAGGACCCAGATACAGGACACTGAACATCCAGCACAGGTGGACAGAAATGGCCACACCACAAAAGAGGGCTGAGTGATTGGGGTTTTCTTAAAAAAAAAAAGATAGATGAGCTACTTCATCTTTTGGGGCTCATAATTTGCACTGCTGCAAGGGAGAAGCACTGACTTGACAATCGGATTTCCAATTTACATCCTCTAATAAGAGTCCTGGTGCCATTATGATCCTGAGAGATACCCTGACCAAAGGGACTGAGGGGGTACCTGCAGTAACAGAACTGCCCTCACCATCATTGGCTATATCTTGAGAAACTCTTGACTTCTCTACATCATGTTTTGGGGTTTTTTTAGCTCTCGACTTTTTTTCTTCTCACCCATATATCTTACTTTATGCTTACTATTAAAAGAATCTTTTCAGCTGGAATAGTATCTTTTGCAGCACAGCTATGAGTTCTAATCAGAAAGGCAATAACCAGTCAGAGGCTGAAAATACTTGCTAAATCTTGGGACAGCAGGTTAGACCTTCTATTCACATTTACAATATTTGCTTTCTTTTATAGAATTACAGCAGGGCCCTTTACCCATACTTGTGCTGTTTTGGCTTCAAGAAAATATGGCTGGGCTCTGACATTCACAACTGCTAAAGATGATCACAGCAAACTTCCTCTTTGCCCCCAGAAGGTGAGGTGTTTGCCATCTGCAATACCAGACTTAGATGACCACCAAGCAGAAAGTTGTTCTTTCAGAAATATGTTTCAACTTGAAGATAAGAGAAGAAGCGAGATTGAGATGGGATCATCATTTAGTATAGAATATCTGCATTTTATCTCATTCTTTTCTTCCATTATTATTAACAAAATATTTTAATTTTGATTTTTTTTCCTGAGGTCTCTTGACTTGAAGTCTTGAACTGTGAGTAACTATGATTTGTAGGGTAAAGATCATATTTAACATATTTAGGTCTCTCGTTCCACTTACCAAATTGCAGGCATTTCATTCAGGACTGCAGACACAAGTGTTTTCTGTGCTTCCTCTTTCCAACTAATGCTTCAGTGTATGTCCCATTTAACCCTTAGAAAACTGAAGATGAACAGGCTTAGCTTGGTGTGCCTATCCCTTTCAAACAACCAGGTGAGCTGGATTGTTACGTGGTGGCTCACTTGAAAATTTTCTTCGAAAGCCTCAGAGTTTTAAGTCAGTAGCCTGTGAAATTTCTGTAATACAGTTAACATCCCTTGTTGTGTGTGAAGCTTTAAGAACTCATATTGCTTCTTCTGCTGGCTGGAGGACCTCTGAGAGTGCACCAGGAATCCTTCCTGTTACTAAGGTGGGAGCATATAGCTGTTGCCAGAAATTAATTATTTTTTTCAGGAGTGGAAGATTTTAGCAGGGGTTTGCTTGCCACTTTGGAAAGAACTTGGGAACTATGTGACCTCTGGCAATATAGCTGATGTGATCATGAGCAGAAATACATAATTACAGGTTTCTGGTATGTGTCCAAAATCTCTGAGTGAATAATGTTGGAAAGGGAGGCTTGTAATGAGCATGGGGAGCAATTAAAACTTGTACATCGGAACCAGAAGACCACACACTATTAGATTTTTGTCCATGATGTGTGCCAGGTAATAGATGAAACAGCTACACATGCAATGAATGACTACATCTAGTTTCTCTGATTCTACAGGAGACAATGAGTTTCTCAAGTAATACATATCAGAATATTTCAAACAATTATTTTAGTCTCTGCCATACTCTGAACACTTTCTATAAACCCAGTTTTAGTCCACAAAGAAATTTTTCCGATACATGGGGCCATGTGGAGTCTCACAGCCCATGTCAGTCACTTTATCTGCACATTTTGGAAAGTTGCTACCCTTATCTGTGCACTCTGGTGATGTGAGTCTGCAGCTAGTTCTGTACTGAAATCTGTAACTGCTAATGCACTCCAGTTATCAGGAAAAGAGAATAAAAGCATTGTGATGTCAGATACCATATCAGAGCAGATCCTGGCATTTGACTAGTCATCTCGGTGACTATCAGGAATGCTATTTTTAGTTACATAATGATATCAACATACAAAACTGGTAATACTGGGATTAAACACCCTTCAAAACCTAGAATATGTGCAGAGTGAAGTGAAAGTATAAATGTTTTCATGTATATTTAAGTAGTGTGTAGTATAAAGGAAACTGAACTGTGACAGACTAGGAGTCCTGACACAACGTGGGTTGCCCTGCTGAGAGCTCGGCTCTTTTTTTAGCTTTAGAATTGTTACAGAGCATCATCATTGAGGTTCAACTGCAGAGGGTTAGAGCAGGGAAAGGCGTTTGAAGGAAAAGAATGGGACTCTGTGGGAGTCATCCTGCTGAGAGGAAGGTTCAAAACCTCAGTGAAACCTGTGCTTTTACTCAGAACTTCAGTCTGGCTGTTTTTTTCTCCCAGAAACATTTACCTAGATTGACTATAATGCTCATTTGTAGTCACTATTTGGTCAAGAGGAAGTAGTATTGATAAACCAATAAATGATAAAGTTCTGTATTCTACAAGGTGGCTCTGTGTTACCAGTTTGAATTCCACAGCTTTTGATCCTTGCGTCTATTTATGGCCAAGCAAAATAGGCTTAGGCATAAATGCAGTACGATCTCTGCTCACTTTGAGTTGTGGTGACATTTACCCCTTGTTTCACCTACTTGATGCACAGGGTTAAGTTGTGACAATGAGAGTTGCAGTCCAAGATAAGGTCCTTGATATGACCAAACACTGGCTTTGCAACCTTTAGTAACTTTACACATGTAAGTTCCCTTCTGAGGTTCTAGTTGGAGAGATTCTTCACACCTTTGAGCATGGTGCTGGTCCTGAGTGGCTTCTGATAGCCAGCCAAGTGCAGCTGCAGTTCGTCTCTGGGTAAGTAACCACAAAATACAGGCAGACATGTGAAATGTACCTTGAAAGGCTGTTTGTGAAGATACGTGCTCATTGATAGAATCAGCTGCAAGAAAACCCAGTAGTATAAACTTTAGAAATATAACAAGGCACATGAGTGTACGAATGCTGACTATGGAAAGGGTGGCATTTAGCTGGTACATTTCAGAATGCATGAACAGAAATACACTGCTTTTTAGTTTTTGCCTATCATGCAAAATTACTTAATCAGTAAACTGAACCCAGCTCCAGACAAAGCTTTGCTGAATTGGTAGTAAAAATAACATTATGCAATGTTCCTAATGATTTAACAGAGATGTTCAAGAGTATCAGGGGTTTTTAAACTAGTTGCAATTTTTCCTTTATCACAAACTGTTTATTTGAATGTATGTTAGAGTCTCATACATAATGGTAGTAAGGAAATTGGACATACTACAACTAAATGTGTACTACTGTTGGTTTTTTACAGCTGTATGTGCACTGGAATCAGTTCTGATGAAAGCCGATGGTATATTTGATCTTGTCCATGTAGCGAAGTTTTTTCACGGATTATATTGGAAATAAATCTGCCACTAGTTTGAGTAATTGTGATACTGTTGTTTTGTCAACAAGTGTCTTAGTTTATTCATTTTCATGGATTAATGCCCAGCAATGAGAACTTCTCCTTTAACTTGAAGATAAGACAGTATCAGCTGACAAGACGACTCCTGCTGCTTATTGAGCAACATTCATGATCCCTGGTCTTGTCTTGGGTCACAGATGTCTCAGAGTTTTCTGTCATGTAGTGTATGAGCTGACACAGGCAGGACACAGGAACAATCACGAAACCACGGGTGAAATGCAAACAGTGAGTTTATTTTCATTACCTCACGGGTGGGGGGATCCCCAAAGCAGCACCCAGGCAGAGGAACACAAGCTGGAACACAGGCACTGCGGAGCTCGGTCCTTGCTAGAGGATTGCTGAACCAGCTGTTTGCACCTGTTTGTTCAGGGATTTGCAGAGGCATAGTTCACCACTGTGCATTGATTTTTCCCACAGCAGGGCAGGAATCTCAAGCATTTTCAGTGGAGTCCCTCTAAATCTGTCAAAGGCCTATGCTATCTGAACACAGATGTTCTACTTGTGCCAAACACACAAGGATGGAGAACAATTAGAATGATATATGTATTTTTCTACACCCTAGCTGCAAGTCACTTGTGTTTGCAATCCTCCTTGCCACTCTTCCGTTATTTTCCCACATTCATATTTGCTGCACTGAGGAAAGCAGAATGGTTTCAGTTCAGTTTCAGTTCAGACTGTCTTACTCATCAATCTCAAAATGAAAAACAGACATTTTCCTTCAGCAAAGCAAAAGGCTAAATTCTTCTTTACAAAATTGTAAAGGTAATAGCAAAAGAAAAGTTTCAAAGGAATCTAATGCAAGTTTGAAATATAACTGGCACTGCTATCTCGAATGCATTTTTATACTTCTCAGCTTCTTTAGCTGAATCCCTTCTTGCCTTCAACTCTCCTCCAAGGTGCTGTTTTATGAGGTGAAGTAAGGTCTAGACTGAGTCCAGAATGGGCTCAGGTGCCCCCTCTCCCCCTACTTTGCTCATACCTGAAGAATCCCCTACTACTTCATTAATTTAATTTTAAAATTCATTAAGATTCAATAAATCTTCATTCATTTATTCATCTCTGCTTCTTTCTTCCTTGTTAATTAATCTTACTGAAGCGTGTTGTATTAGTTTGGAGGCTTATGGGAGTGAGGTGTTGGTTTTGGTTATTTAGATCTGCTTTTGCAATGCACTCGCTCTCTGCTCTGTTGATTTGCTCCCCAGGCTCATGCCCCTGTTCAGTGTTAATTGAATGGCTGCTTTATTGGGTTCCTCCACCCCAGATTGCCCTATGTTGCTGTATTTTTCATGGCTTCTTTACAGCTTTCATATCATAGCAAATATTCTCTATAGTTCATTTTCCATAACTTTTTGAAGGAAGCTACAATGTGGGGCATCCCTGATAACCATCCAGGGCATCTCTAGTGTAAAGATGACTGACCTGTAAAGGTTTTGAACTGTGCCAGTTTGCCCCTGCTACTAGCTTTTGAGATCTAAGCTTTTGCCATCTGTCAGTGTGCTATATTAATTAGTCTGCTGAGGAAAATAACTGAGCAGGGTAGAGCTCTGCAAGAGATTTTAATATGGAGAGAAGTTGGTGGTGAGGGTTCTGCTTCCTCTTTTCTGTGTGTGCAAAAGAGGAGATGCAGTTGACAAATTTCTAGAACGTCTGTGTAACCATCAGAAGCAGACATGAAATTAGACATGCAGAATTATTTAAACAATCTTGCCTTGGTGAATATTCTGTAATGCAGATCGGGTTATTTCCTCCTAAACCTTACAGTTATGTAAATATTACAGAAGTAAATGTATTTTGAGTCTGGACAGTTAAACGTTTCCTTTCATTGTGCTCTTAATACCTGCGTTTTACAGAAATTTCATTAATTCTTAGAATTATATGGCCTGTATAAGAAAACTGTTCTTTCTACTTCCTGAGGTAGTAATTATTAAGAAATTACCATCTCTTGTGAGATTACCCATCTTGAAGATTACAAATTCTGAAATTCTGTTTTGAGGATATTAACCAAGTATACAGAGGACTTTTGCTGGTTCTTCACTCAGAGATGAATTCCGCACACAAAAGGTGGGTTATATTTGCTTCATTATTTATATTTTTCCTTTTTGTTATATGTATTTTGGACTCAATTAAATCTTAGGTGTTGGACTTTCTTCACAGTTGGAAGATATTCTTGCATTTTGAAATTCTAGTGAATATGCTCAGATGTATGTTTAATGTCAACAATGAAGAAAGGGAAAAATATGTTTGGTGTGGCAATTTTCATTCTCAGCTAATTCTAATTTAATACCATAATAAAATAGTGTTGAAGGGGTAACCGTTTATCCTTAATATTGCTTTGCAAGACGTAACTGCTTTATTCTTTGACTGTGGCACTCTTCAGTGCTATGCATTGTCCCTTATCACATAGCACGCACAGTAAATTAAAATTCATCTGGCGATGGAGCACAGGCAGAGAATATCTTTCTGTTTTTTTCACCCTTCAGAACACTTCTTTCTTTGTTCCTGACATTCCCTTTGCCCAGGGGGAAGTTCCCCCAGCTGGTTGCAGATCAAAGTTTATTTGATTCAAGAGGTTCTTTACCAGCCTGGACTCTGAAGAACAGGGTCAGCTGCTCTTTGAAGGAATCAGGGTCAGATTTCCTTGACTTAGTTCACCTTGTGAGTGATACTGTAGTTCGACCAATCATCCCAGCTTCATTTCTACTCTGTGCTCAGATACCCTAGCACAGGATTTGACCTCTCAGTTGGGTTCTACTGAGGTAGAAATTTATACTTTACTGATCTATTCTTTTAATGCTTTTGGTGATGTTATTTACATGTATTTTTTATTTACTTAATTAAAAGAAAACTTGATTAAGCTTGGTAGGATAGTTGGAGGGGAAGGGATGAGTTTTGATATCAGTTAATCAAATTATTAGGGACTAACACATTATAACGTAGAACTGAAAAAATAGGCTTTTGGTTTTTATTTAACAAAAGATTACACAGGGGCAGAATTTTAAAACTTTGGGTTTTTACAGACAAAATCAGCACAGGAAAAAAAAAAATTGGGGATGCTTGTCTCCTGAAACAGTTTATGAGTTGTCATACTTAAGGTTGTCTGTCTGTTATGTTAAATGCTTAATGACAAGAGAGTAATGCCCAGGTCATGGTTTTTCATGATAGGACTGATGCCTCTCCAGATCTTTGTAGGCTATTGATAGACATGACCAGATACTAATTCTGCTGGACTGTTTTCAATATCCAGAAAATCTTTCCCTCCATGGGTTTTTGATCCTTAGAACTAGATTTATTGTCCCTCGCTGTTTCTATAGAGGTTCTTTGTCAAGTTGCAACTCTGGGGTAATTTGGAAAATGTAGAAAATTTCCTGGTACAATTAGGAAATTGTGGAGTATTTGGAAGTGTCAAGATTCAGATTTTGTGTCATTCTTCCAGATTTTGGGTGCCAGTACTTCATATGTAGTGTCTAATTATGCTGCTGTTTTCCTGTTAGTATGGTTTTGGCCAGACTGGCATTGCAAATTTCATGAGCTCATATAATTCCTCCGCAAGATTCTTAGCTTACTGGAAAAATGGACCTCTGTGTCCTTGTGCTATAGCAAAGACAAAGCTGGTCAGCTTCTCTGATTGGCTGACTCTGAGGGAGTGTATGGCCATATCTGGGATCTTTGGGGTGTGAAGAGGGATATCCTTTGTCTCTTCTGCGTGAAGAGGTTGCTTTTGCACTGGTTCCTGTGAGGGTCCATGGGGTTTTTGGAGTTCTGTCCCCAAATGTGTGTGGACATGGAGTGTACAGAAAAAACAGATGGGAGGCTTTTTGTGTTCTCCTTTACTCCTAAATGCATTGATGTGTGTTTGTACCAGTTTTGTATTTTTCAAGACTGTTGAGAAATGTGTATTGCTTAACATCTCTGTGTTTGTTTAACATACCACCAATTGTATTCCCCCCATTATGAAGGAATTAATTTTTACTTAACTGAGAAAAATCAATCATAGGAATTAAAGAATGTGGGTGAGGAACTTTGATATGAACTTAGAACAAGAATATGTGAAAATAAAATTTGTATTACATACATTTTGTATTGAATTTTATTTTAGCAATAAAAAACAAATATAACAGTTCAACAGTTTCAGCAAATTCCATGTGTTTCCTTTTCATAGGGCTGGACTCATCACTGAGACACATTGAAGAGAAAACAAAGATATGCTTCTGTGTTTCTGTAAAAAATCAAGATAAACCTGCAAAGTATAATGAGACCTCTTACAAATATCTATGTCTTTTCTTGTGTCTTTACATTCATGCTATGGAATAATATCCAGCCAACTGTGGAAAATGAATTTGTTGCAAATTATTCAAACAGTTTGCTAACTAATGTTCCAAAAAACATTCCCATCCATACTCAAGTATTAGATTTATCACATAATAGGATCTCTGGACTTAGTATTTCAGAATTTATTTCTCTTCCTGACCTTCAAGTATTAAATCTTTCTCATAATCTAATTACAGAGCTTGACTTCAGTGTCTTCATTTTTAATGAAGATTTAGAATACTTAGATTTATCTCATAATAAAATTTTGAAAGTTTACTGTCAAACTCTTGCATACCTTAGACATTTAGATCTTTCTTTCAATAACTTTACTGCCCTGCCCATCTGTCAGGAATTCGGGAACATGTTTCGTTTGGAGTACCTAGGATTAAGTGCTATGATGATACGAAGGTCGGACTTCAGGTATATAATACATTTACAGCTGCACACTGTCATCCTAACCTTAGAAGACTTTTCTCTGTATGAGCCTCAGAGTCTGACAGCCTTGAATACAAGGAGCCTCCACATTGTTTTTGCAGCAAACAAAAACTTCAGTTTTTCCCTCTTGTATGATGGAATGAGCACTTCAGAAAACTTAAAAATAGTTAACTTAAGATACACCTTGAGCTACAAATATTTCCCCTCTCCTCCTTTAGCGCTTCTGAAGAAAATCAAGACAACAGCTCTAATGCTTGACACTGTGGACTTACAATGGGCTATCATTTTACAAATTTTCCTGCTTATTTGGTATTCACCTGTGGAGCATTTGACTGTGAGAAATTTGACTTTTCGGGGACCACTGGGGGAGCTGAGTGAATATGAATTTCTACCCTTATTAAGCTCTCTGGAACAATTAATTTCTTTGGATGGCTCCATGAAAGCACTAACTTTGGAGCATGTTCGTAATAAGGTTTATTATTTCAACCAGGAGATTCTATACAGACAGTTTTCAGAGATGAATATTGCCAATTTGACAATATATGATGCATATATGCCACACATGCTTTGCCCCAATAGAACGAGCTCATTTCAGTATTTAAATTTTTCTCACAATGCTCTGACGGATGAACTGTTCCAGAACTGTGGCACTCTGACAGATCTGAAATTACTTATTTTGCAGAGGAATAAATTTGAGAGCCTTCACAAGGTAAGCTTCATGACCAGCCATATGAAATCGCTGAAATATTTGGACATGAGCAACAACTTGCTGCATCACGATGCCGCTGATGTGCAATGCCAATGGGCTGAGTCTCTGACAGAGTTGGACCTGTCCTCAAATCAGCTGATGGATGCCGTGTTTGAGTGCTTGCCAGTCAACATCAAAAAGCTCTACCTGCAGAACAATCAGATCACCAGTGTCCCCAAGGAGATGGCTGAGCTGAAGTCCTTGGAAGAGCTGAACCTGGCATTGAACAGGCTGGCTGACCTGCCAGGGTGCGGTGGCTTTACGTCCTTGGAGTTTCTGAATGTAGAGATGAATTCGATCCTCACCCCATCTGCCGACTTCTTCCAGAGCTGCCCACGGGTCAGGGAGCTACAAGCCGGGCACAACCCATTCAAGTGTTCCTGTGAACTGCAAGACTTTATCCGTCTGGAGAGGCAGTCTGGGGGGAAGCTGTTTGGCTGGCCGGCAGCGTACATGTGTGAGTACCCAGAAGACTGGCAGGGAACGCAGCTGAAGGACTTCCACCTGTCTGAACTGGCTTGCAACACGATGCTCTTGCTTGTGACAGCTCTGCTGCTGACGCTGGTGCTGGTGGCTGTCGTGGCCTTTCTGTGCATCTACCTGGATGTGCCGTGGTACGCGCGGATGACGGTGCAGTGGACGCAGATGAAGCGGAGAGCTTGGCACAACCACCCCGAAGAGCAGGAGACCGTTCTGCAGTTCCACGCGTTCATTTCCTACAGCGAGCGGGATGCGTTGTGGGTGAAGAACGAGCTGATCCCGAACCTGGAGAAGGGGGAGGGCTGTGTACAGCTGTGCCAGCACGAGAGAAACTTTGTCCCTGGCAAGAGCATTGTGGAGAACATCATTAACTGCATTGAGAAGAGCTACAAGTCGATCTTTGTGCTGTCTCCCAACTTTGTGCAGAGTGAGTGGTGTCACTATGAGCTCTACTTTGCCCATCACAAATCATTCAGTGAGAATTCCAACAGCTTAATCCTCATTTTACGGGAGCCGATCCCTCCGTATATTATCCCTGCCAGGTATCACAAGCTGAAGGCTCTCATGGCAAAGCGAACCTACCTGGAGTGGCCGAAGGAGAGGAGCAAGCGTGCGCTTTTCTGGGCTAACCTGAGGGCAGCTATTAGCATAAACCTGCCAATATCCTCTGAAGCTAATGAGGAGCAGAGTGATGTTACTTCTATTAGTAGTATAATCAGTATGTGAATAACTGACTGTCTTAAATTGTTTTCATCAAGTTTTTATTGTTTTTTTACAGTATTCCTAGTTTGTAGCAAAATGTAATTGTGATACATACAGAAATTGCTCTTGCTTATTCTAGTGATGAAAGTAGTCAGAAATCTTCTGTAGTTGCCCATCATCGACAAAGAGAAGGAGAGAAAAATTTTCATAGTGATTGCACATATTTTTGTAGACTTAGACTCCATTTATTTTGGACTTTTCCCATTGAAATCAATATTTGAAAGTAACAAAAATACTGGTTGGTTCCATGTCATCAGGACTGTCATAGCATGCATTTAATCTTTGTTCTGACATGGATGTTGTGAGGTTTAGGTGTGATTTCTTTCCTTGAGTTTAATTAAATACTACAAAGAAGAAGAAAGCTCTTCTTTAAATCCCTTCCTGCCAAAGGTACGGTATCTCTACACCTTCAGCCTGCTTTCCTGTCCCGAAATTCTTTCCCTTCATCACAGACAGAGACTTCCCTGGGTAAGAGCTGAAAGTTGGAGCCATTAGTCCATGTTTAACATTCTTCTTGCTTTGCTGTCCTAAATTCCCACTTGCCTAGATTAGAATTCACTATTTGCTGTCTTCAAAATAATAGTTAATATCTGAACTTATGAAATTTTTATAGTATTATAATATTGCTGCTTTCTGCTATGTTGTTTGTTGCTTTTTTTCTCCTGTTTTCTAAAACATTGAAGCTTGATGTTTGGAGATGAATCCCCTTAATATGCCCAGACTTTCAGTGAACTCTCTTAACCTTGCCCTTTTAATCAGCAGGTGAAAAAGGAGTAATTTTCACTGGGAAATAACTTCTCTGCTAAAATAAAACTGATTAAACTAATGGTATTTGATGATAGGAGACATCTAATCATTTGCTGTGCTTGGATTTAATTTGACAATCTAATAAACCTCTCATTTTTTATCTGTTATTAAATTTCCTGGTGTCATTTCACTGGTGATGAGGAGTTGTATAATTATACTTAGGGCTTAATGGAAATGCAGAGCCCTTTGATAGCAACTGTGAGCAGCACACGCAGGTGAGCAAGACAGTAAGAGGACATGATCCTTAACACTTGCTGAGGCAGCTGACTGAGCACCTGCCAGGCATGAGTGGTGGTAGCTAGATGAAGCAGTGGATGGGAAGCTACAGGAGAGTTTCCTGCTGTCCAGAGATACTGAGACACTGCTGTGTGCCTACCTACCAGCTCAGGTTAACTGGGCATTGCAGTAGGATGCTATGTGCCTGGCTCTCAGTGTAGAGGTTTGGAAAGAATGGCTAAAAATCTCTGTTAAGTCTTTTCAGGTGAAGGGAAGTTGGCTAATGACTGCTGTGACAACACATAACTGAGATCTCCCCCTTTCCCAAAGCCAGAACCAAGCATTCTTTGTGTACCTTAAAAAGGGCTGCTAAACCCTTAGTACTTCAGTGGGAGCTGCTGGATGCAGCATGCTTGAAAAGCAAATTATTTATGATGAGGGGAGATGTTCAAAGACACAGAGGAGCTTAGTGCTCTGCAGGAGTTCAAGTCAGGAAAGCTTTACCCTACCCTGAGAGTCACTTGTGCTTCATGGCAACCCAACGTGGTGGCCAGGGGCATTGGGCACCATTTAAGGGTTGTGTGCTATACAGCTCTCGGGTACTTAAGGAACTGTTCAGCCACAGAGGCCAGCGCACATTAAGCTGGTTAGGAGATTTGTACCCTTTACATCTCCAGGGCTCCTCTGTGCTTTACAGTGGAGAATGCTACCAGAAAACCTGTGCCACTCCTTCCTGAAAGATTTCTTCCCCTCTCAAGCATTACACTCTAAGGACATGATTAGCATTCACACTTCGTGGTAATGTTTTAATGGACACATATTATGTCCTGTTTACTAGACAAGAAAAGAGGAAGTAACATTTCTCAAATCAGGCTTTCCGGTCCCTGTAAATATAATGCATCAGCAAACTGGGTTTTATGTCCTAAATAAAGTACAGGGTCTGGGCTGTGGAAGAGTTCCTCACCTATAAGACTGTTCTGAAACCTAAGATGTTGATAGGTGTGAGAGGAATATTTTCTCAAGTCTTTCATGTATATTGTTTTAGGATATTAACCCTGTAACACCCCTTTATACTCTGTCCTTCCTACCTCACAAATCATTCTGCACATGCCAAGTATTTCAGTTGTTTACATACTGTACAGTACACTACAGCTGAATACACTTCTGAGTTCCTTTGATAAAGCAGATTAATTCTGATTTGTTGTTGTTTTGTGGTTTGTTGTTTGTGGGTTTTTTTTTTGTTTTTTTGTGGGTTTTTTTTTTTTTTTTTAGTTACCCTTTGACAGTGTTTCTCATCACTTCTCTGTTGGAACTTCCATTTTCTTGTTCCCTGAAACTCAGTTTCTGTTCAGACCATACATAAAGTGTTGATTATTTTTTGGTTTGGCCAAATGTAGCAACTGCTTTTCTTCACTGCTTTTTATGATGCTGTTGAAGAATTTTTATTTTTTTTTTTTGAAATGTGTTCATAAAGCTGCTTCTTGGGAAGAAGTTTGCAAGACTTACAGGACATGAGTATCTGGCTGAACTCTTGAAATATTGTCATACTAACGTCCATGTTTATAAAAATGATGTCAGGTGTTGCTCTTCCTGAGCTCACAAGGCTTGAACCACACATGAAAGCAACATTGTGTATCGACTTAGTGTTCTGCCAGGCCAGAGTTCGTAAGCTTAAATTTTGCCTTTTTCTCAGGCTAAGGGTGACACCCAGTGTCCGATTAAGTTATCACTGTTTCCTGAGAATGATAGCTCATGCTGGAATACACACAACGCATTTTTGCCTTTTAGGAAAACTGAAATAGATAATCATGTCAGCCCAGCAAATGCAGGAGCCACTCGCAGGTGTGCGTAGGCTAGAGAAGAGAGGTCAGGATAAGCCCTTCCTTGCGGCAGTTCCCACGCGGGGTCAACGGCTGTGACTCTGTCCCCGATGCCATCGTTCCCTCCCAGGAGTAGGCTGTGGAGTGCAGATGCCGACTAGTTTGCTGACAAATGAACCTTGTAGATCAACAGGACAATGTGAGCACTGACTCTTGCTTTACAATGAGCAATCCCTATTTTCAAGAAGAATGCCAAGAAACACATGCTGGTCATTTTCTCACACTCTATTAGCAGGGTTTTATTTTTATACCTCATATACCTGCTTTCCCTTCTGTCTGTCACTAGCATAGGCACTCACCAGCCTGATCTGCGGGGTCCCAGGCAGCAACAGACCAACATCCAGGTGCCATTACCTCAGCAGGAATGGGAAGTATTAAGAGATGCATAGGGAATTCAATTCGGCCCACTCTTTTTAGGCATCTGAAAAAGCGTGAGGAAGTAAAAACCATTCTTTGTCAGCTCTACACATCATCTCTCAGCAAAGCCTGCGAGTATGCCCAGAGGGGATCAGGATTCGTGTGCATCAATGCGTTGGCAGTGTGCTCCTGCACTGACTGCTCTGCCACCCTGGCCTGGGAAAGGGCTGTGGGGAAGAACACGGCTAAAGGAACAGGCCCAGACAGCCATTTTGTGAGTGATAAAATATGCAAACTTCTTTGTTCGGTGCTCTGGACCCACCAATGGACTAATGAGAATGCCTTAATTAGAAGCAGGTAAACTATTTTCACGCGTTTGCCACTAAGTGCAGTGCTGGGCACAGCTCCTCCAGATGGCACAGGAGGTAGAAGAAGCAGTGCAGGTGTGCACAGGCAGAGCCCGCTCCTGCCCTGCCCCTGGTCGTGCGCAGGCAGGTACACACAGGAGGTGTGCATGGGCGCTGCAGAAGGGCCACCCGAAAAACCAGGGGCTCCCACATACCTGGCCCTTGTGACTGCATCACTGCTCTTTGTTGTCCAGCATATGATGACATGACCACAAACATTATTCTGAGGGTTTTATTAACAAGTATAATACATAGGCGTTGTATCCTAAATATAGTATGAGGACTGTACAGTACAAATTTATGTTCACAGTCTGACATGACAAAATGTCATTACTGAATTCCCATTGGACTACCAAAGTAGAAACAGTGAAAGTATATTGAACATTCACATCTTTAGTAAGAAAAGATTACCAAAATGTCTCCGTAGTTGTAAGTTATAGTAATGCACACTAGAAACCTTTACTTATCCATTCAGTCTTATTAGCTTATAAAATATATTACATTTTATTTAAAAATTTCTGCATAGTTTATACAAGTCTGAAAGTACATATAACATCCCTGCTATATTTGCAGGTGAGAGATGCTAAGCAGAAAGATTTTGACCCTCTAATATTTAATTTTTTAAAAAGTGCTAATACCTGTAAAATATAATGAAAACTGGTGTAGCCCTCTATGTAAAATGCTCTGTAATTTTTTATAGTAAGCATTTGTGTTCATCTACATGTTGCTAACCTTGACAGAGACAACAACATATTCGGGCAAGATGTGGCATTAGAAATATCACTGCAGAATGGTGGTGTATATTTAAATAAAACCAAACATAAAATCGTGGGGTTTTTGTGATTGTCTTGGAAACCAGTAATTTTTTATAATCAAGTGGCTTAAACAAGCGCATTTTAGTAAAACAGTATTACCTGTTACTGCACAGTGTGTGTAAGTACTGCTAGGGAAAAAGGTGGGTTTTAAAAATATACATGTTTTGCAGGATTAGGGTTTTCTGTCTTTAAACTGGCTTCTCTTTAGGGCCAAGATGGAAGGACTGGCTTATTTAGCATTTAATTGTGTGTATTTAAAAATTACAAGATACCCCTCAACTCAATTTGCTAAAATGAATCAATGAGCCAGTTAAGAAGTAAATTCACATCACATATTTGTGACTTTTTTGACATCCCACAAAAAGACACCACAGACACAAGTGAAAAATCCTATAAGCAAGGCATTTATATGAAATAATCTCAAATATTTATATTTAATATTTAAATTTCTGTTTTCCTAAATCAAAAGGCACATGAATAAAGATATTTTAAAGTCTCCACTGTATTTGTCCCTACCATTAGCATAAATATTATCAGGAAAAACATACATAGGCTAATGAATAAGCATGGCAAAATGGCAAATAACCTAGATTAAATTCTCCAAATTAACTTGCAGTTACAAAGAAGTTCTGTTTTTAGGGTACTTGATTTTAGATTTCTAAATTTAAAAAGTTAAACATTTTGTGAAAACCTTAAAAGACAAAGAGACCATTGGAAAGAATGTTCCTTAAACATCCCAGATTTTATGCATCTGCATTTGTTAAGCTAAAAATGGGACCAGCTGCCATGAAACTGCTTAAGGATCTCATCCACTTTTTTCCCTAGAATATAGTAAGAGAATTGTTCTCATCCCAGCATACTAGATGTCTGTAGACTTGTGACTGATGCTACAGGGGCTCTACAAAGCCTCTGTTAGTGATGTGTCTGCATTTGTAGAACTGCCATTAAAACCTAGAGCCTAATGAAGTAGGCCAATTCTGCTACCACTGACAATAAAAATATCCAACAAAAATCTCCATTCTAGAACAGCTGCTCATTAATATAATTCTCTTCCCTGCAAGTTCCTCAATGTTAGTAACAACCTGGCCTAACAAAAAATAGATTAATTCATCTCCCAGGTTTCTCAGCTCCCCAGATAATCAGATGAGGGCCAGTTACAAGAATAGATCTAGAGTTAACTTCCCTCAGCCCTAGCAAAGTGGTGAGGATGTATGGTGCTGTAACAAAACACACGAGTCTTCCTCACAAAAGCTTTGCAGCAACATTCCCATCCTGCTCTCCTCTTTGCAGAGCACATGTTCAGGGGCCTATTCCTTAAATAAAATTGCTGCTTCCATATTCCCATGTGTAAGCTTTGTTAAATAACTGGAACAACACTTTGTATTTCACAGCAATTGCTGCAGGAGCTTTTTTTCTCCAAGAAGTACAGATCCTCTCCTCCAATTCTATGGGTATGTGGATGTCAGCAGAACAGCTGGTAAACTACCACCAAGGGAAGACTTTGCACTCAAACTCTCACATCTGCAAGATTATTTTTGTTTGCTGTTGGACTCCACAGGGTATAGAAGCACAGCCTATCTGCTCCATGAGCTCAAATACACCCACCTGCAGGTGGACACTCCACCTGCCTTCTCCGGAGTTTTATGAAACTTCTCCCCTCACCCCTCCATTTTCCAGTGGGTTTTTCCAAGAGAAATGAAGATCTGACTTCAGTCTGTTTGATTTGCAGGGAACCGTTTACCTTATGTAGGGGTAAGAAAATACTCTGGTGCCTGAGAGACTAGAGAAATACATCCAGTTTCCTTGCAATGCCACAAAGTCTGCCAGCTAATAAAGACAGAAACCTTCCTTTCAGCAGGCTTCCAGAGACAGGAACATTTCTAGGGTCAACTGCAGGTTGCCTGAATTCAGTTTATTTATTGAGTTGTGTCTCCTAACTGACATGGGGGTTAGGAGTGCTGATGTAATATTTTAATGCAACAGACACATCCACAGGGAAGCTTCAACCATCTACTACCAGACTCACAAATCAGAGTTATCAAGTTGGTACATGTCTTTATCCAAAAGAGATACATGACTCAATTTATCATCAGAAGTGCTTCATATCTGATGCGATCTTCTCATAAAAATACTGTGGATTAATAATTTTAAACACTGTAGTGTATTGAAGTGGCACTGGCAACAATACAGGTTGGAGCATTTTTCACGACTGCTATTTTCTGAGGTACGGCAAAGAGAAAAAATTCTTTAGAGGAAATGTAGGGGAGTGATTGTAGAGGGATAGTCTATATCCCTGAAATGAGGTGTGGTAGGCTTCTATGACTATCATTTAATGCCACGTCAGTGAAGAGTACCGTGTGTGTTCCATCCATACATTTGCACAGAAACCAGACATACAGTGTCACACAAGGTCTTCATTTAACAGATCCACCAGGGCATTACGCAATAAAGACAAGGATATATACTACACTATAATACAGAGGACAGATGACATTGGTTTAGATACACAGTATTATGTATAGACCAATTCCTGCCAATTTTAATTCTTGACTGGGGTAAATTATACTGTGACTCAATCTTTCTGTAAAGTAATTATATTGTTTAGATTTATTTCTACAGTGTTATAACTGTTTGGGCAGAGGGGATTTCTGAATCAGGTGCCTTTCTAAAACTGTTACATTAACCATATTGCAGAAATCAACATGGTTCATAGAGTCCATTCATTGCATTGTTAAGCAGAAAATGAGAGTGTATCCCTTACAGGGTACATAAATAGAAGTCTCTGGCAAGGACTAGCATTTTGGATATTCAGTAATATTTACTACTTTATCAGTATATGTTGGGTTGATTATATGAAGAAACCAACAAAAGCTGTTAGTTTACAAATTCCCTTATTCACAATGGAATACATTAAACATACTGTCTGCAGAAAGGGTTTGCTTAGCATCCCCAGGAGAAAAGAAAGAAGTGTTCACATTCTTTAGGTCTGACCCGTGGCAAGGACATAGAAGGGTTAGATAACATCTGTTACTGACCATACATAAGCTTTTAATGGTATAAACTCCAAGATTCAGACCAGCTGAATCCAAATTAAAATGTATGTGTGGGGGAAAAAAAAAAAAAAAAAGGTGTGACAGCAGTCAGGGACAGAAGGCATTCAGACTAGCATGTGGCGTTTTCTGTGAAGAGCAAGATGGTCCGAACGTGAAAAGCTACGGTCACAGTCTGGGCACTGAAAAGGTTTGATTCCTGTATGTTTGCGGAAATGCCGCGTTAGTTCATCAGAACGAGCAAACTTCCACGTGCATCCCTCCCAAGTGCATTTGTACGGTTTTTCACCTGGAAAAAGAAACACAGAAGTGGGGATTTAAGACACAAACACATCAGTTAAATACTTGGCAGATTTATCCTCTTGCCTTGTCTAATTTCAGAAAGTACTTTAATGCTTACTCAAAAAACCTCCAAACAACACTGGACTGCAGAGTACTCTGCACTAGAAACTGTGTAGTCAAACTTAACAGATCAAAAAATTGTTTCCTGCCACAACTTATTTTTTTATTGTTTTTGTTCCTCCCTCTGCCATATTAGCACTTGTTTTGTCTCATCAAGCTCAGAAGTGTGAAGGTTTCAGCACTTGTTCACATATTTTCAAAACCAGGACTTCATATTCTAGACTTAGCTGGGGGAAAGTACTGGTGCTACTATTCAGCATAGCAGGCAGAAATCTTATTGTGATCTCTTGAAGTTACTGTAGCAGAAATATCTGGCACCACTGTCACAAGTAGCTCCACTTAAAATCTCTCTCAATCATTACTTCCTAATATGTGATCCTCCTTCTCCTTAACATCATTGTGCTGCTGAATAGGTGAAGTGCTGGCTTGATGTAAGACAGACATGAACTGGGCTTCATTCTACCTAAAATGTCCTCTATCTTTGTATAAACACTGGATGTGCGTATGTGCATTCAGTATGTCAAGATGAACGTTTCTGTGGAGAACAGATATGGGGAAATGTTTATTGGAGCACTCAGAAAAGAGCACTATCGGACCAGTGGCTAGCATGTCCACATAAAGCAGATGTGTGTGTATTTGGCACACGGTCCAGATTTTTACAAATGGGCTACTCCCATGGAAGTCTCAGTCAAATTTAACAGTGATGCAAGAGGTGAGGTAGTGCAATTTGAACTGATTTGGTGTTTACGAGCTGTGCAGAATGAGTAATCTGTGAGCAACTGGACAGAAAATAAGCAAAGAGCCAGTGAATGTAAAGCACACCAGCATACACTGTGATCCTGCTTTGGCTTACAGTCTCTCGTTGTGTGTTTTTCCCGCTACATCCTCTGTCTTTTGCTCAGCCTGTAATTATATTCAGAACAATGCCAGATCTAACTTCTGTTGTTATTCGCACCTGTGATCACCTGGCCATTAGCACAAACTAACAACTTAGTCTACTATTTTACCATAGACTTGATGAAAGAAAAGCATAGCAATGCTCAAACCTGTATGGGTTCTTCTGTGAGCTTTCAGATGGGAGCTTTTAGTGTAGACTTTGTTGCAGCCTTCATAATCACATCGATGTATTCTGCGTTTTCTTTGTGTGTCCGGAGATTCCACAGGTAAAGGTCTCTTTCCTGGCTGAACTATAACTGAAGGGTGATTCCTGCAAATGTAAATTGAATGTTAAAAATGAAAAACATTTAGCACAGCAAACCTCAGCTAATCTGAATCATGACAGAGCCCTTTATTCATTACCACTCTGCCTCTTGGCAGGAAGAGCGACATTACATACATGTCGAAAAATTCAAGAGGGTTTAGCAAATTTCATGTATTCTAGCAGTTATATTTTTAAAAGTCTGCTCACTTAGTGGTATGATGTAGCCATTTTTACTACTCCCTAGCTTTCTTTAAGCTTACAAAGGAAAAAACCCCTTCAAATTCCTGATTTTCAGTCAAATCCAGATTTCTCAAACTCTTGAGTTCATAGTGAACTCATCTTGTATTTGTTCACAATTTTTCATCTTCTTCCTTCAAAAATAACTAATTGACTTGTAATGGGAAACAGCTATTCCATATTATTAAAGAAATTGTATCTTTAGGGTTTTAAAGCAGAACTCAATCTTTATTGTTCCAGCCACTCCTTTAGAGAGTAATTAAGAATTTCCTGTTTGGTGCTCGCAGAAGGGTGCGGCCTCCCTATACCACTGACGTCAATTCCTAAAAGTAGAGTTTAGCCTGTGTGGCACACCCACAGGATGTCTGAAGTCGTCCCTCCACCTTCATAAACATAATTTTTTGCTTTTGAAGCCCACAGGTACAGTGCAGGTAAGACACACACTAACTACATATGAACATCTGTAACAAACAAAACCACAAACATTCATGCATGTGAAAACACATCAAGCTTCTTAAAAGATGTCACTGACTGTGGATATTTAGGTTTGAATACCACCCCTACTATAGAATTGGGGACAAACTGGTTCTTTCTTCCACTCTGACGTTAGAAAAAGAAATAAGTATGTTGATCTAAGTGGCATTACAAATCTTGCAACCTCAAAAAGTTGCATTTGTCAACCTGTTAGCAGATCCGTATCACTGCTTTTAGTGTATTCTTTAGCTTCTAACTGAAAGTGAGTATATAATGTGCAGATATTAACACTCCTTGTCACGAAACCAGCTCCTCCATGGGACAGAAATAAGCTTTCTAGAACTCCTGTCTTTTCTCATTTACTGTATTTCACATTTCTTTATTGATCGAATTACGCTTTTCTAACACTAGGTTACATTAGTTACTTGCAAAGCAAGTTTCTTTAGGGCCGAATTTTCATAAACATTGAATACCTACTTCTCTCAACAAAGTAAAGGGAATGTGTTAAACACAGAAAATCTTGTGTGTGGTTTAACAAGAAAAAAAGTTTCTATTATTCTCCACAGCAGCATGATGGGAATTACCGATGTGCAAGAAGTTTAATTCTGTTATTAGTTCTTTTATTAGAGTTGTAAGCTTGAAATTGGGAGCCAAAATCTCTTTCTTGGGTGTTCCTGTGACTGTTGAGTGATGTACTCTTCCATCACACATTAAATCTATCTAAATATACTGTAATGGCGGGAAACCCCAGATGGTGATACGAGACACAGATGTACATATGCTTAAATAAAAAAGGCAGGTTTTTGAGCTTCCAAATAAATGCTTCTCTAAAGCAATGCTCAGTTTTAACTCTGTTGCATACTAGTCTTGGAGAAGCTCTGGCTTAGGACAGCAAGCAAACTTGGTTTGAATCGCTATGTGTGGAGGCTAGTCCTGGTAACATCTGGAAAAAGGAAGAAAAAGGATATTGGCTGTATACCATTTGTGATGGTTTTCAGTCTAAGAGCGTGCAATAAAAGTGCTGAGAATTTGTCTTATTTTTCCCTTTAGAGGAAAGGAGGCTGGCAAGCCTACAGAATGTTATCAATAATCAGATAGGGTGTGGCAGTTTTAAAAAATAGTTAAGGCGGTGTCAAAAATCAAAGGTAAATATTAAGTACATGCCAATAATAAAAGCATAGCCCTAATTCTTTCATTCCCCCTTACACAACCAGATACAAGTTCATGTAAGTCTAACCATTTAAGCATCACTAATAGATGAGTATCGTCCAAAAATCACGTTACAATTTCAACACTCTTTTTTCTCCTTCTTTACCAACAGACCAGGCTGTGTTAACAGCATGAGTCAGACTTTAACACTTGCAAGAAAATGCAGTGTTAATGAGGCTTCTTATATTTGGCCAGAGATTATTACTTTGAGTTTGATTTTATTAATAACTGCATAGTTATGTCAATTATCAGACATACTAGAAAGTCCAGCAATCTCTACAGAAATGCCAGCAACATTATAGATATATATAACATGTATGCCAAAAACTAACACTAAAGCAAAATCAGTCACTTAAAAATGAGACTGACGCTTTCCTATGCACCTTTAATGCAGCTTATGTGTCTGAATAGTGCATTTTGGGCATTTGGAACCTATGAAAAATGAAAGAAAATCATTGCCTAACTATAGCTCACAATGCAGAGAGAGGGGCTGATGAAGCTGTGAGACAACAGGATATTTTTTATAACGGTCAAGGTCACTCATCTTGTAACTTGTGTGATTTGTCTATTTTTTTAATGATAAAAAGATAGAAACTACCATTTATGAATTTCTTATTGCAGATACAGCAGAAGGTGAACTTGAAAGGGCTGGCTTTAGGAACGAGCAAGAACTGCAGCTCTACAGGACAGCTAGGAAGCAATTTAAGCCATTACAATGTGAAGACAGGGTCTCTCTAAACATAATGTTCTGCATGGGCAAGCAGAGGAGATGCTTCAGAAACATGGACTATTCAAGTGTTTTTTGTAGTAACACTACCTATACATTATATGAAATTTTATATTCTTTGGTCAGCGGATGGGTTTCCTGTGGAAACTGGAGTCATTAGGAAATAATTAATGCAAATCACTAATGCAAGTGACAAGCCTCAGCCTTGGAGGAAGGGTGTGGTAGGAGAGGACCAGCACTTACTGTTTTGCTCTTGTTAAAGAGGCCTAACAATGAACAGAAATAAACTGAAACATTTAATAGTCCTGACCTAGCAGAAATTAGTTCCACGTACACGCAGACCTGACTCCCTTGTGCAGCAGGGTCCATTATGGAAGACAAGTAACTACCTCATAAACATGGATGTTTACTATTTTATTATATATTTATTATAATAAAATATATAAGGTTATTTTTAAATACACAGCATGTAATTTATAAAAGCTATCTGGCAACTAGTTAATTGCAAAGAGCCTGCAGTCTACAAACTGCATCAAAGCTACTTAAGAGACTTGAAAATGAGAAGAGGTGCCCACAAGAAGGCTGTGCAGAACGTAGTTAGCCCTGGAGCCATGGTGTACCTTCTAACCTGCAAACGGTCAGGAGCAGGAGGAAGAGGCTGCCTTCTGAATGCAGAAGACCGCCCATCTCATGCTTCCTCTCTCTTTCTGAATCACCCCAGAGTCAAACACAGTTTTTGGAAGCCTGGCTTGGAGCCCTTTTTCTGCACTCTAGGAGGTGAGGTCTCATATAACTGCTCAGAGGGCAACCATGAGCAGGAAGAAAGGGCAGGAATGGATTCCAAGGTCATATACTGTGAGCACAGCTCAATTCCCAGTTTCAGCTCCTGCCACAGCCATGCCAACAGCCTGCATGCCTGCTCATAGCACTGCCTGCTGAAGAATGAGACATTCCATGGTTTTAGTTAAGTTGACAGCATTTTACATAGAAAAATGGGAGACAGAAAAGTGCCCATGACTCCTCAGGTACTTCCTGAGAAATTTTTAATATTTCCAATTAAAAAGTTTCCAACCCAGACCTCACTGCATTCTAGCTCTTTCTCTGCCTTCTGCAAACAGAACTGTTTTAAACCCAATTAGATCTTTGATCCAGTTCATGCAGTGCCCCCAGTAACAAACAGTTGTACCAGCACAATGAGTTGGTACTGGGGTGGAAACAAGCGCCTGGGAGGAGAGCATGCTTCAGGAACTACTTGAGCTGCCAAAAAACCCACCCACGGAACAATGGCTTCAGATAAACATGGAATTTCACTGGATATACACAGAACTTGTAGGCCTGAGGGGGTTCTTTCCACTAAGTAGTCAAAATCTTTTAAAAGACAAAGAGGTCCTCCAAGAAAAGAAAGTCACAAGACTCTTTTTAAAGAAAGGTATTTTAGGTAATGTAAATACAGAAATCAGTATGAAATGTCTTTACAGTATCTTTCCAGTTTGCTGCTGGTTTTACATTAACAGGTATCACTGCCTTATTGGGAGTTGTACTTTTAGCAAATTGTCAGATGGGGACCAGAATTGCTTTAGAAATGCATTATATAATGGCAGATCTATGTGGTTGTGATGTATAAATACGTATCAACTCCTGTACTGCTAAAGGGAGAAAAAAAAAAAGTTGAAATCACATTTCACAGTGGTAGTGATGGAGAAGGATGTTTTTTCTGTATTTTATCACATGTTCTAAAGCACAGCAACACTCCCTCCTACTCCTCAAAACTGGTAACTGCTGCAATAAACTCCTTTTCATTCTTCTGCTGATTTTGGGACTACTGTTTGCTACTTACTCTTGCAACATTACTTGCTGAGGAGACAATGAGGTCATCATTGGAGGTGACATTTGTTCAGGATAGAAGTCAGTCTTTGATGGTTCACTTCCTGGCTCTACTTTGATTGTTTTTTTCAGTGTAGGCTTCTCATAAGACTCAATGACAGGCACTGTATCAAGGGAGGGTGGGAGAGGGAAGGCAACACATCAGAAATATGAAGATTTACGGAAAATAAAAAACATACGTAAAAATCTATAGTTAAAACAAAAGAAATCCCCCTGTTCTATATTTAGTGCAACAGTTTATGCTAAAATACAAAATCTTCCAGTTTAGTCTATCTCCTAATGAACTATAACTCAAACCAATTCTATTAATTTTCATCAGTCCAACATTTTTATCAGTCCAAATCTCAGTAGATAAACAGCTGTATGCAGGTACAAATCACAGCAGAATATGACCTTGGTAAGTTTGGTAAAATATTTACAGAGTAAATTCTGTGCCTGCTTATTTCAGAAGAACAGGAATTATGTTCCATTTCCTAAAATGAGAAAGCCACACAAGAAAGTGTTTGGCTATATGGTTATTTTCCTAGGATGAGATGGCATAATATAAAAGCTCTGACAACACCAACCTTGCATGCTACTTGGAGTTTCCATCTCGTCAGCAAGAACTGTGGACACCATGATGGGCTGCTGAAGATGAGGAGCATACATAAAAGGAACCGGCTGGACCACAACAGGCTGTATAACTGGGAGTATTCCAGGGCTTCTCAGTCCATGGCGTGAAAGAGCAGCGGCCATTACAGGTGGGATTGTTATTGGCATGGAAATAGGCTGTACTCCTGGGGGTGATGGTGTGAATTTACTGAGAGGTGAGCTGGGTGAGGACAGAGTCAATCCAGGTGAAGTTCTCCTATGGACAGTCTGAAATTTTAGGGGGGAAGGAGAACTTCCAGTTGAAGATGGTGAGCTCCGTTTGTTCACCGTAAGGTCTACTGGCTCCATCTGGATTCCATTTGATAGTCCTTCGGGGTTTGAGTAGAATTTATTGTGCAACATACTTGGTGTTGAATAAATGACGCTGTATTTGTTTGGCTTCATTTGGTCCATATAACTGGACGGGTATGACTGTCAGAAGGAGAGGAAAAAAAAGAAAATCAAATAATAAATCAACACACACAATTACTTCTGACAAAGAAAAGTGGCTAATAAAACTGAGGCAAAATTAAAAGTTTCAAGAAAACACTTAAAGGTACTTCCTAAATAAAAATGAATTAAATAAAGCCCAAGATCTCACACAAAGCAAGTTATCTGAATACTGATTCAGTGTTTCAGAAGCAATATAAAACAGGTAAAAACAAATTCTCAAGGCTTATTCAACTCTTTTTCTTCCTTATAAACTCTTTCTCATATACTAAGCTGCACATTACTCAACTGACCTGGGAGATACATGGTGCTATGTCCAGCATATAACTATATACTGAGGATCATGAAGTCAAGCAAGAGAGCAGTTAAATTTGACTTAGAATTGCAAGTCATGGCTCCCAATCAGCTGCTTAACTAACTAACTGGGCAACAACCATCACTAATGCAAGAAATTATGTATCTGAACCCTACAAGCAATAAAAAAACCCCACAGCTGAACTATATAAGCAACAGGTGAGAAACTCAAGAGTGCAAAAGCTAAATTCTAAAACTTTTTTTTTTTTTTCCCAAGAAAAAAAGTAGCTAACTAACTAGTCTAATCTTGAAAACTAGTACAAGGATAAACAGTTGGCGTGTTGGAAGAATATTCCTGTCATAGTGGTTGTGAGCAGCTCTTATCACAAGACCATATAGAGCCCAAATCTAATCTTGACCTACATGACGATCTCCACATTTTAGTGGAAATAGTCTTTGTAAACCAAGAAGTATTAACATTAATTTCAGAGTATAGTATTATTAAACAACTATCCAGATCAATTTGGCATTTAAACAGTGTTGAAAACAGGTTGTTTACTAACAAATAACTTACAGTGGAAACCAATGTGATGTTCTAACATAGCACATAGATAAAGACAATGCAGTCCAGAGTTTTTTAGCCCTTAGATGCTGTAAACTCTTTTAAAAATGCTATCCTTGTAATCTAGGTAAGTAAAGCTTCACATTAAAGCTAAGTAGTTTCACACGAATATTAAAAAACTGCTGAATTCTTTGGCACCAAAAAGACTTTGATGAGTGGGATTAAAATAATGTTCAAAATGATATAAAGCAAAACAGATTAAAAGTACAGACTATTCTATTTTTATGCAATTATTTCCATGACATTCCAATTTTTCCTCCCCGAGGTGAACTGGTTTCATATCTGTCTTCCCTGTGAGGGACAGATAGTTGATTTTAAATGTCAATGTTAACTAAAAGTATTTATGCAAAATGACACAAATGTGTTTTTCTTCTTTCCAGTTATTGTTTGAAACAGTGAGTTTAGAAAATATTAAATTTTCCTGCTGTGTTCATAGCACTGTGATAAAACAACAAATTTGAGTCACCTATTCCATAGAATACTCGAATAAAGCAGCGTACACCGTGATGATTAATCTTCAAACAGTAAATATTACATTAAAACCTCTGAAACTTTATTTATTCTACATATGACTATTCTTACAAATTCAATCTATAAAAACGTTCATCTATTGAAATGCCATTACTGCTAGCAGTGCTGGCTAAACCAAGTTCTATAGACTTGCCACCAGGGCTGAGCTAAGCAATGAAATTATTAGCATTGAAAGTGATGAAGGCGACTTAATATTGCTAGAGTTTAATATTTACAGTATTTAATATCTACTAAATTTGATAAAGTTATGGGCATAGGCAAAAATTCAAAATTTAAACACATAATAGATATTAAGTACTTCTGTTAAAATTACTGTTACTGGTTTATGGTCCAAAGGCTAATCAGCTTCAACAAACTGTAAACGTTCCACCACCAAGCATCAGTACATTTACAGTGCTGCGGGTTTGTCAGGGATGATCACTACCTAAGAACATCTTTTTTCACTGCAAGCATACTAGAAAGGATTAGGAATAATGATTTTTTTAAAGAAGTGATTATTTTAGGGACTTTGTATTTTGCCCCATGTGCCTTCCATTATTTTGCATAGAAGATGTGCATTGCTGTAATTAATCTGGCACAGATTTAACATAAGCTTTTTTTTTTTGGCAGTTTGGGGAAGTTGATTAATTTTTCTAAACTTTTCTTCCTTCTGCCATTTTAATTGCTATGTTTCTAGCTGAATTGCTGATAAAGTGATAGAAAAATGTGGTGCGAAAAATTATCTGTGTTGGAAATAAAAAGGGTGCAAAGTCAAGAAGGATGCTAGAACAACGAAAAAGGGAATATCAGACAGTATATTGGAAATGTTTTGCTTCACTATCAATAGTGTGGCTGAAACCCTGTTCATTTAGAGTCACACTCAGACCTATCTCCTGGTTCTGAAGTTAAGCTTCCTGTATCTTTCAACATTGCAAAGTTTTAGTTTCTAGCTCCCTGGGACTCAGACAGTAATTGTCGTTAGGTTGAGATGAACCACTGCTTTCAGTGGGATGGAGAGTAAGGAAGACTTCATGGTCTCTCTCTGTAAATAGGGAGCATAAACAATAGCAAACAAAAACCAGTCCAACTACCTCTGCTTGGTTTTCTAAATGCCTCCAACTGCAGGAAGCAGGAGTGTACTTCATAGCCTGCAAGAGCCGTCTTTTCTCACCTGTCCTAGAACTTATGCAAAGTATTGTCGTGGAACAATGGAAAATTAGGTATAATTGTTCTGTTTGCCTGAAGTATTTGAGATGATAAGATTTTCTTTGGATTTCTACTGTGGGAAGTAATAGTGTATGCAGGATTTGGTCTGATGTGGATTGAAAAAAACGCAGCAAATTTCCACTTTCCTGTAAATTCTGCTTTCCTCAACGCAGCAAATTTCCACTTTCCTGTAAATTCTGCTTTCCTCAACATCCCTGTGCAGAATGGTATGTCACTACAGTAGATCATTGCAAAGATGCAGGATTGTATTTCAACACATACTCCTTGACAGTCTCCATCTAGCTCTTTTTATATTTGATATCATCACTTTCCCTATTTGGGCCTTACAAAGCAATTCATTTATCTATCTTTCCTTGCTGTTTGTCCGTAACAAAACCCAGAGCACTAAAGCCACAAAGAAAATGGAAAATAATTCAAAGGAACTTCTAATATTTTTGAGTCATATCCATGTTCGCTCATACAATTAAATCAGTAAATCCAAAAGGAGAATCACCATGCTTTTGCTCTTGACAATCTATCAAGAATAAAGACTGACCAAATACATTAAAAGCACACCCATCACCACCCAGAAGACTGATGCTTCCACAAGATGACATTAGCAAGCACTGATCTGATACAATTCACTAAATTCTGTTATACTGCCACAAGGAAACATCATCTTTGTTGTACAGGTGAACATACTCTGAAGCAATTCACAAAGTCTTTTATAGACTACATAACCCTATGAATTTAATTTTAAAATTCATCCAGCCTCTTGGAAAAACTGCAACAGGTGAAGAATCTACTTATCTACTTACACTATTTGTCAAATCAGTATCATTTAAGAGGATGAATAGGATTTAATCCAAATAGTAGCTAATACATGAAAAAGCATTCTAACCATATGGAATTTGTATTCCAGTACATTACTTAAGACCTTAACCCCTTATGTAGCACATCACTATCTTTAAGAATGGGTGAAACAAGTAGTTTTAGGACTGATGGAAGGGCAGAGAAAAACTCTTTATTTCAATTCAAAGAAATAAAGTAACACATAAAAAAGCAACTTCTTCCACTAAATGGTAACTGGTACTTGTCTGAATATTTAAAAAGTCCTTGCAGTAAATATTCAGGTAGGAATCAGATGACTCTGTCACTAGTTCATTAAGAAGTATCACAAAATGTGTTCGATAATTTAATTCAATAAATAGCATTAGCTGCTGGTAGTGATGAAATACTGTGGGTGTGAGCTTCGATCATCTCAGAAGTATAGTTAATCCTTTTAGCCACACACCCTGAAATACAGTGGTGTCAAAACTGTAATTTGTTTCCTTCTCCCACCCCAACTAATGAGATTTTTTTAAAGACAGACTTCGTACCTACAGACAGTGTATGTTCAGGTAAAATAAAAATTCCTAAGGGGCTTCACATAGTTTGGCCTCTAATGATACTATCAGAATGAAAGACAGAATACAAATAAATCCTGATTTTAGATTTCTGAGTTATGTCAGCCTGCAGTGAACTGAATGCTATGCTCAGCACTTCCAAAACAAGTCTGTCCTTCCTTCTACCTCATCTACAGAAGGTCAAGAAAACTAACACACTCAGTGACTGCTATCCTTTCCTATGTTCTCTCCATACCATGATTCCTCCCTTTAGAGGTGAACCAGAGCAGTTTCTGCTGGGGAGCCATGGCATGGCAGCAGGGCTCCAAGGAAGCCACGAGACCAAGCAGCGCTGGGGAAGCCAGGACCTCGAGGGCTTGGGGCTAAACAACCTGTGTGCATACAGAAGCTGCAACACAGACACTCCTCAGCCTCTCTGGCATAGTACTCTATCTGAGAGGAACCTCACTCAAAAATCATCCTTTTCTCTGGACTTCCTGTTTTGCCTTTCCTGATTTTTTTTTTTTTTTGTTACGCAGTAACAAAAAGGAAAGCATACAGATTTGGTAAAATTCTCTGAATACTCTCTAACGGCTGGCCAGAATGATGACACTGAGCTGTAAGAACACCTAAGATGACTCCAGCATGGAGGGTGCCACACCTCTGCAAGAAGCACGTGGTATAAAACAAGCAACATTTGGAACTACAGTCTTGAAATACCCTTGGCTCAGAAATGCTCCCTTGTTCTTCCCACTGCAGTTTTTCCTGCATCTGCTGGTCTGGGTAAAACGGGTCCCTCCTGTCCCAGTCGGTCTGTTGAGTGACTGACCCTGTCAACCTTGCAGAAGCACACAGGCTGTCCGGGGCAGGATACTGTGTCGCTTGTGTGCATCATCTCAAGCCACTGCAGAACCTTCTTTGGGAGATGAAGTCAGATGTGTACAAAAGACAGCCTACAGTGTCTCTATAGAGATTTTCTGTTATTCATGTAATTACACTTTTATTGTAAAAGTGGTCCATTTTCCGTCTTTGATGGACGCCATTAGCTATCCTTAGGTAATTGTAGATAATCACCACTAATCTTAGTAAGGTTATGCAATAATTGTGATTGAAGTGACAGACAGACTGGCCAATACTAAGGTTCTTTCTTGACCCAAATATTGGAATTTGTCATACTTACACTCTCAGTGATAGATCAGTTATTTTTCCATCATTGCTCTCAAGTAAATAAATGCCATGAAAGTCAAATTATAATTTTAAAATGCATATAAACTTAACTCTCAAGAAGTATTATTAATAGCACTGAAGAAATGAGACTGTTTACAGATGCGTTTAAATTGATGACAATTACTCTACATTTTAAATAGAACAGGAAGCGAACTTTTCATTGAAAGATGCCATTTGGAGCATGAATTTAATGCACTTTAATTTATGCCCACTGACTTTACCCTTTTAACTGATCAGCCTTTCTAGGGGTGTGGTTTCATGTTACACTTAATCTGACTTTACTGCAGGCTACTGCTGAAAGGGGAGGTCCCATTCCCTCATCCTCCCCTCTTCACTTGCTCTATTATTGAGTAGCTGCACAGAATGAGTCAGACCAGCTTCCTGATCCAACATAAAAATAAGGGTATTTTTGGAGGGTTAGCAATTCTGACCATTCAGTGAGCTGATCCAAAGGATCCAAATCACTCTGTGGCGACACAGTCGCTTCATGTCATACAAAGGAGACACAAAGCTGGAAAGAAAGGAGGAAAGCCTGAACCTTCCCTTTCAGCAGCAACCTACAGCTGGATAGGTGAAGTATGCATAAAACTGCTTCCTGAGGCTGTATTTCCCTGGCAGCCTAAACTGTCACAATTCCCATTGTGCCCCTTCCAGCTACATGTTCCTGTTGCTATTGCTTATCAGACTGTTCTCTGAGATGACCCTATACACCAAGCTGACAGAAAATTAACCCAATGGAAAAGTCACCCCTTCTTTTTTCCCCCATTCCTCCTACGGTTTCCTGATTCTCATCTGTTCACATGGTAACGTAATGCACCTGGCTTATCCAGCAAAAAGTCATTGCTTTTTTGGTCAGGATTAATTTTCTGCTGTTTAGAGTGCAGTTAGCCCAAGCACATGTTGTCAAGACCAAGAGAGAAACAAAAAAAGGGACAGTGAGAAGCTGTCCTTTTGGTTCAAAGGTGTAACAGAAACCACGGGCTCTTGCCACTTCACTGTGAAGCCTGGCAATTTAATTTCAACCCACCTCCATGAGCAGCATGAGCTACAGAGATCCTATTTGCACTGCAGTGGCTGAGGAGTACTTGGATGTTCTCTCATCTGCTCTGGGGATGGGACCACCAGCAGAGGTAATGGGGCAGGTCATTTAAGGGCAATAAATTCATGAACTATGGAAAAAGTTTTCCTAGAATGTGGATTTGATTGCCCAAAGAGCAAAACATATCTTCACAGACCTTCCTAAGCTAGTCCAAAGCTTAGAGAAATCTTGGTATGAATTTAAAGGTGGAAAAACTACAGTCTCATCACAAAGGCTAATGTATTTTATAAGTCTTACCACTGAAACAGGCTCCATGGCTTCTTGCTTGATAGGGACTGGGTCAAACATTAGCATCTTTTTTATTCACCTGTTCTGATGCCTCTAATGTCCTGGCCTGCTGGGGAAAGACAAGGTGTTAGAAAGCAGCAAGAAATCCCCTAATCAACTTTCTGAATCATAGAGAACTTACTAGTTTGTCAGATTAATGTGAATATTTATTTATCTCTAACATAAGATCTTAAATATTTGACTAGGCTTCATTTAAATATTTCACTTATTTTAAGTTTATTCTTTCCCAATTGCCATTGAAACAAAGGGCATCTGCTCATTTTAATGAAAGCTAAGTTGAATTTTTATTGTGCATCTGAGCATTACTGAGATCACAGAATTGTCATTTTATTAGCTGTAAGTGTATAAACACATCACAGTTTAGACTAGGCATTTCTCATCAGCATTACAACTTCAGAATAATCTTGTTTATGTAAGTGAAGTGATTCTGTAGAGGGTATCTCTTTTCTAACAGTCCTGATAGAGAAGTGGAAATTTTTGCATACAGTGATACTGAAATCAACACAAAAGAAAGATGAAAATCCAGGACTAATGTGAGAGGTACATTCAATATGCTGCAATAACTCAACAGTAAAAAAACCCAGTTATTTCCCTGAGATAATAGATTTACTGACAATTCAGTAACAATTTGTGCTAACGGTGCAAAAGAAAAGCACTTCCAAAAATCTGGTTGTATTCTGTGCAGCTTCAGTTTTTTCCAGAGTGTTCAATCTTACTTGTCCAATTCTAGCTTATCTCAAACTACCTGAAATAAAAGTATTTAGCATAAAGCATGCCATAACTATCATACTACACATCTGCCACGGTCAACTCGGAAAGGTGCTGCTAAGGAAAAGAGAAGATATATCTTCTGGGCAAAGCCATAAGGGTACAGAGTAAAAACAAAGAGAAGCAAAGGAAAGTTGTTCCCAATCACATTTAGCTGTAGGCAAGCTTTTTATGTATCACTTGAGGTTATACATTATATGACTTATGCTGAAGGAACAAGTTCTGACCAATATGCTCTACAGTTCACAACTGTGCCTGGAAGTGGTACGACCTCTACTAACATGAGGACAAAAAAAAATTTACACAAATTTAATTTTGACCAGTAGATGGCACTGGAAAGAAACAAATGCAGCCAAACTGTATCATCCAGACAATTTTACCCTGAAAAGTAGGCTAAAGGCTCAACAACAGATTTGTAGTTGTGGCCCGGAAATTCTCCCAGCAATTTAAATGAAAATGTCAAGATGTACCTGCTCAAATTAAATAAGCCCAAACTAATGAACAATCTTGCAATCTATTATCACTTGTGTTTATAGATAAAAATATATAGATATATAGATAAAAATTCTTCCAAAGAATTCAAATATGTCATGAGTTGTTACAAGTCTATCATTAATTACTCAGGTATATGAATAAAGTTTTAAAGACTTATGGAAATATATTCTTCACAATTCTTCTTACAAAAGTCAAAGTCCTGACAAAAACAAATTGCAAACCAAAGAGCAGCTCAATCTAATTCCCTTAACATGCTTTATTTTAGAAGCAGTTGTGTAAGATGGCACTATTTGCTAAAAGTTGTTATCATTTTGTAAATACTTTAAGTAGTTTGTGAAAAGGTTATTAATTATACTGTATTTCTTTGAATGGTTATCTTTTTTTCAGGTTTTTAACATTTCACGTATCTAGGATTAATGTTTCAGAAGACTGTCTTCCCAGATATATATCCATATATCTATGCTTTAAATATATATGTGCGTATCTATGCATCACTCACACACGTTCCCACACATATACATGTACAGTGAAAACAGAAAAAAAAAAAAAGTTACAGACATTAAAAAATGTTCACAGTAAAATGTAGCCTCTCAGAACTCACATAAAAGAGTTTGGAACTTTCAGGTTTACAGAAACTTTCAATTTTTAGTTTATATGTGCATAGATAAAGTGACACACCAATTTGTACTTTAGTGAAAGAAGGAGGAAAAGGAGGAAATGGAAGGAGGAAAGGGAAGGAGGAAAGCAAGGGAGGAAAATGAGAGAGAGAAAGATAAGGAGAGTAGTTTGTTCTAAGTAAGCAGTCATGCTCCCAGGCTGTTCTTTTTGTCATTTTTGTTGTTTTAAAACTGGATTTTATTAAGAGTTACTCCTTTTCACCTTTTACTCCAAGACAGTGCATGAAAGACACCTGATACACATTTCACATGTCATGCTACACATTTGAGTTATTTCCTGAGAGGGCTCTAAATTACTGTGTAGGAATTAGACTGACATACACAACAGAAAGTGTACTGCACTGAGTAAAAGTGAAAAGTAATTCTCAATCTTTCTCAGGTACAGTCATCTAAGAACACCAGAGGAAAACGTTACCCTTACTGCTGCATCACAGTGCAGGAATTGAGCACTTCTTTAGCACAAGTTACTCCTTAAGTGGTAGGTTTCTTTTCCCTATTTGATAGCAACTAGAAACCGATTTTAAAGAAAAGAAAATTAATCCATAACGCTTGGCCCTGACAGTCCAGATCAGAGGGTCAAATTCTTATTTGGTAGAAACTGACAAAGCTGGCTATAGAGTCAATACAAACCAGCTTTGGGTCTGGCATTTAAAATTTACCTCAGAAGGACACCTTCCTAAGGCTGCAAATAAACTTGCACAACAATTCTCTTTGTATTTAAAAATAATGCTCCAAATTGATTGCTTGGACCACATTCACAAGCAAATACATGCATGCACACACACACACAAATAAAGCATGTTACTTCTAGCAAGAAGTCAGTGTTTTTTCCTAGTATATTTGTGAAATCATGCCTACTAACTCAAAATCTCTCTCTGCTAAACATCTGAGTAGGGGCAACAGGGAAGGTAAACAGTCTTATCTGTTTCTATTACAGAGGAATGAAAAAACAGTTGGGTTCTACTTTACACACTGATTTCATAATGTACTTGTTTGAAAGCCCACAAGTTGTTTAGTAAACACAACTAATTTCTGGAAAATCAAAATATTGTCTCTCATTCCTGAGGTACCCTGGAAAAAACAGTGAGGAGACAACAATGTATTCATATTAAGTGTATAAAAAATAAGGGCCTTTGTCTTTCACATTATTAGATAAACTATTTTGCATTAAAGGGTTTTTTTCATGTGGGTTAAAAGAATTTAAAGCGCATGTAATCTGAAACTAAATAATTAACTACAATCCAGTAGGCAAACATTCCACCCTTCTTTTTTTTTTTTTTTTTCTGCTAACAAGCCACCCAGTTTTACTTTCTTGCCTCCTCCCATTCACTCCACCCTGTGGATCTCTGCCAAGTCAGTCCAACTTGTCCAAACAGGACATGGCTTTTGATAAGATTTTGCTCACACCCTGTACTTCAGAAAGACAAATGAAGCAATTGGGGTTTGTATGCAAATAAGGACAGGTGTAAGGTAAAGTCCAGGCAAAGTCCTTCGGTATTTTCCCATCTGAAGTCCAGTGAAGACAGCAAGCCAGAAAAAACACAAACTCCGCCCTTATGATCCAATATGAAGTGAAATATCCCTTCCAGAAGGGAAGTTCATCACTGGTAGAGCTCATCTCCTTGTCAGTACTGAAGACTTCTTGATATTAACTTCCTGACGGGTATGGTTTACTGCTTCAAAAACATAATTAAGAGTAAATGAAAGCCTAAAGGTACTTATCTCGTATTCTGATAATAAGGACTTGTACAGATTATTTACCCTGGATGCAATGAACAAAGTGGTTAAAGAATGCACCCAGACTACACATCTGCACTACAGAGCAGCTGGAGAAGAGCAACTGCATTGCAGCTACTCCCAGTAGCTCTGTACATCTACCTTCAAGGTCCATCAACTCTGCAAACCTGTTATGAAAGGAAAGGGTGGGGTGGAAGGCCAGTTTTAACTGTGCACATCCAACAACTACAGAGCCTCCCTCTAATACAGAGCTTTTGCTCTCATTAAGTACCTGGAAGAGCAGTCAGTGACCTGACTCTTGTTGCGGACAGAGGGGTGGTGACCATAAATTCTGTCTCTCTTCACCCTACATGAAAGCATGCACAGGGTTTGCTTTCTCAATCTTTGTGCCTGGGGGAAACAAGGAATGCTATCCTGTGGTACAGTGAAGCTTTGTCTAGAAGCTTCAAGGTATGATTGTTATTGTTGGTCTAATTACAGAATTATGTAATGATATCTGCTAAATTAGCACTGCAGGAGTGCCCTCTGCAAAGACACTGTAGCTCTTGTAGCAGTGTTGGTACCCAGCAGCCAACATAAGCCATGTGGGCAAGGATCTTCAGTCCAAGCCCTTTGGGACTTAGGCTGTTGCTCCAAAACTATTACTTCTTCTGTGAGCCTCGAGTCAAACTTCCCCTGATACTGATGAAATCCAAAGGGTGGGGTGGTGTTCTGAACCTAGGTAAGAATTCTTCTTCAGTGGAACCTTGAAAGAGTTCAACAGAGAAAAAACAGTTTCTGAGAGCAGGATTCCCTGGAAAAGGTACAAAAGTGTTTTCTAAGGCTAATAACAGATGTGTTTGCACTTACTGTACCAGTTGCTCATCAAGATCTGAGTCAGCAAAAAAGTGTTTCTAGAGTTCCATTAACTTTAATGGGAAGTAAGTAAGAGCTTAACTGCACTGGGCCCCAAAATAGCAGCAGGCAAAGAAACTCTCCAGCTCAGCACAGCAGTCAGACTCAGTCAAAGCAAGCAAGAGCAGGGGAAGAAGCAAAGGCCCAGACAGGGTGCAGGGGGAAGAGACTGTAGCAGCCAGCCCATGAAGAACAGACCAGAGAATCATGAAGAACTAGTGCAACAAGAAAATGTTTCCATGATTGGCAGCCTTATGTATTGACTGGACTTCCACCGGGATGGTAATAACTGTTGAAAAACTTAGGATGTTGAAAAAGTTAGGATATCATGTAAAAATAAAATGGTACCTGGGCAAAACTTTTCTGCTGAAGGTTATACTTGATAGAACAAAGAAAAAGACTGTTTCTGTAAGATTCTGTTATTTAGTATTTCAGACTATTTTTGCTTCTTATTGACTTGAAAATATTTTACCTTCCTCCTTTCAGAACTGCAAGCAGACTGAAAAATCTGGTTTTTTGCACAACTTGTGCATCGTAACTTTGCTCACATCACTTTGTTTGACCTAAAACTGCTCTGACATAGTAACTTATCAGTTGTGTAGCAGACTAATTAGTATTTCCATTAAATTTACAATAATACTGTTGCAGGCTCTTTGAACCCACATGCCTGAAAATGCCTGTCTTGTATGTAAAATTTTGGACAAAAATGTTCTTGCAGTGCTCATTGAGAAAATGTCTTCTCCCAATAAGGAAAGATGGAGCCTTTCAGTTCTACATTTACTGAATGTAAAGGAGAGAGAAAGAAAACCTCTTGTGGCACCTCCATTAGACAATATTCTCCCTTATCAGTGCAGACTGCTGTCTGGTTTCCTGTCTCAAGCTACTTCTTAGGAGGAGAAACAGTCTAGTAAGGATAAAAGATCAGACTTTTGAAAACAAGTGAAGTATGTGGAATGGTATGATAATCTTTCCCTTCCAAACTGAACTTCGTTTTTTTTTCGTTGTGTCTTTCTTAAGAGGTTAATTTTGAAGACAATTTAAAAGAGAAATATAAATCCTACCTTTTTATTATAAGGGAAGAATGACAGAAAATAGTCTTACATAAAGGGTTCTGCTATTTCATGAAACATATGAAACAGAGATACAACATTTTTGATAGGATGGGGAAGAGGAAAAAATCTAATCCTAAAGAAAGGAAGTGTAAATTTATGAATAATAGGCTAAATGATTAATTTGAATGAGGATTTGAATACAGAGCAAATGTCGATGAACTTCTATGTACCTTCGGAAGTGGGAAAAAAAAAACCAGGGAGAAGAGCTGGATAGCATAGGGGGTACAAATGAGACAGTGATCAAAGCATCTTAGACTCTTTAAAAGTGGAAAGTTTGTCATGCCTTCATGGATCAAGTTAGTTTGTTGGTAACACACACTGACTGCATGATAGGCAGACCATGCGTTTGTTTTTTTTTCCATTCTGACTTAGTTTACTATTAAAAACCTGTTAGAGCTTTATCTTTCCATTTGGCTGATCTACACTTACACTTCCTTCCCCTGGGAGGTATCAACTACAGCTAAAAAACCCTCAAAGGAAGCCTCGGCATCAAGTGAATGCTTAACAGGGAAGGGTTAAATCTCTCCTAAAACCAGCTCTGCCAAACTTCATATTCTGGACTGGAAGCAACTAGCCTCAGAATGAAAACACAAAGCTTCAATGCTGACAGCATAAAAAGAACTCTAAAAGACCTCCTGTTAGTGGTGTTAATTAATATTAAAAAGTTGGTTTACAAAACTATTATAATTTTAATCTCAGTCCCTGATTTTGTAGAACTTCTGGCTACAAAAAGGTGTGAACCACAAAATTTACTGCATTTATTATACACCGGTTTCCAATATTAGATTAAGTTAAATGAAGCACTTATTCCTGTGTCATGGGAAAAAAATATGTTTGAAATCTTGTGCAAACTAACAGTACGAGAATTAAGATATTGGGTTCTAATGGATAAACTCATCTGTGGTATTTGAAAATTAACAGAAAAACAACTAAGTAAATGCAGCTGAGAGCGACAAATTTAAGTAATTAAAAAACAACTTACCAAAACTGTGTGGCCAAAAACTTCTTATCTGGATTTCTGAATAGACAAAAAAACAAGTTGATGTAAGGATGTGCACATAATTCAGTAAAGATTACTTTTTCACATACAATTAAACCCCAAAAGGGGAAGTTTAAAGCATGTATTTTCGATACTTTTTAAAAAATATGTGCAATGATCACAAACAGCTAACTTTTAGCACTGGAAACAGCAAGAACTAAAAGATTACTTTAAAAATGAGTGAAATAAAGAAAGGGGTAAAACGAAAAGGTGGAAGTATTTCTGTGTGTACAGAAACCATGCATATTCTGGCCCATAAGTAACAGACAAGAATAAACATTCCATCTTGCATTTTCATCCAGGGCCTGATTCAAAGCCCACTGAAGTTAATGCAAGTCTTTCTCTTGATTTCAATGAGGTTTGGCTTGGGTCCTTTAGCTCTTCTTCTGTCAGATCCAAAGCAACAGAAAGATTTATGTCCTTTCTGAATTTTCTCTCTATGTGTCTCTATGTCTGCTTGCAACAAGGGGGGGGGGGGG